CGTATTATGGTAAAGAAAATACTTAATGCGAATTTATTCACTAATTTATCATTCTTAACACCGATATTACTTTTAATTCTAAAGATTTATTGTTCATCAACTTTCCTGGAGAAATAAAGCAATGTATTATTTTCACTTTTAATGCTAACCCGACACCTCTAGTTAAAATTTAAGAATATAATTTTTATCTCTTTTATTTTTTACTTATATCAATATCTATTTTTGAATATAAAATTGTCATCAAATTTATTGGATTGAATCTAAGAATACAAAGAAAATTATAGACATTTTCTTACCGTAACGTGTTTCACATGGTCTTCCACCAGTATTACATGCATCACCATAAGTTCCTAGCGAGATACAAGTCTGATTTGTCGTCAAATAGTATTGTGTAGTTAAACATATACATTGAAAAGTGGCGCCAGTCACTATTGGATCATTAAGGCAAAGAAGATTATCAATACATTGAGAAGTCGATGTACATATTTTACCATAAGTTAATTGTGTGATACAAGTTCCTGTTGTTGTATCATAATATAAACCAGAATTACATTCACATTGATTCGAAAATGGTGATACTGATGTGCAACTAGCATTAGTAATACATTGATAACTTAGTGTACATGTTTCACCAATAGATTTTTTACGAACACATTGATATTCAGCTGTATCAAAATAATGATCTGATGGACATTGACATGTTGTTGTTGAACAATTAGCTGATTGTACACATTGTGAATTTGCTGAACATGGATCATTAACATATCCTAAACGTTTACAAGTATTTGAACCAGAATCATAATATGATGTTTGATTGCAATCACATAAACTAACTTTACATACAAATGGTGTTTGACATTGATCATCATTAGCACATGGAACGTAACGAGCTAACAGGGCTGTACATACACCTGTGTTCTACAGAAATTAGAATAGAAAAATTAAAAGATTTCTAATTCAGAAATGAGCTAATAACGAACTTGATCAAGAAAATAATTAGTCTCGCAAATACAATAACCATTTGATGCACAATAAGCATTTGTAATACATTGTTGATTTGTATTACTTGTTGAACAAGTAATACCAACATGAAGGTAAGCAGCACAATATGACATTGAATAATCATAAAAATAACCCGAATTACATTCACAACGATTATTAATACACTGCGAGTTAGCTGGACAATTATTACCTGTACAACGAACATTAATTGATGATTTTCGAAGTCCTAATCCAAGACCTAATCCTAATGTTAAACCTAATAAACCTAGTAAACTCAATGCTAATAAAAGCCAAAGCCACCATGGAAAACGAATATAAGGACATCGAGCTGTTTCATTCAAATAAACATTATCTGTTTCAGTATAATTATAATCTGTATTCGGGTTTTCAATGATATTGTTCGTTGTTTTTCGAACAATTGTTTTATTTTCATTACGAACCGCATTGTTATTATTGTTGTTACTGTATCGAATGATTCTGGTATTTTCTATATCATCATCATCATCATCATCATAAGTTTGAATTGGTAGTGGAGGATTTCGATTAGAAAACGCATAAAGACGGCGCATTTTCGAAAGTGTAAAAGAAATATTCTATTTGTAACATAATAATAAACTGATTCGTTCATTCAAGCACAACAAGAAGAAACGATGGCGAAGAACTCCTACTGAGATATTTATCATGATGACAATACAAAAAGAAAACAATCTCCTGTGTGTCTCACATACTTACAATTGATGAAGGATGAATAATTGAAAATATTGTATGAGAGAAAAAATAAATAGAAATAGAAACTGAAAATTGTACGAGAATATATTTTGTTTTTGCATTAAACAAAAAATCTTATTCAGTTTTATAACAACGTGCTTGCTTTTTTTCATTTTGACTTCAGTACGAACAAAGTATTTATACAATGTTGTAGTGTGCGTAGGGAAAAGATACAGAGGAAAAAAAATAAAACACACAATCTATGAAAGTAACGTTTGAATGATTTCCTTCTTTCTAACATCCAGGTAATGTTCCTTGAAAACTGTCATCATTTGCTTGCACTAATTTATGTCGAACTAGAAATGAAGCAATACAGTCAGCAACTTGTTCAGGTGCATCTTCATGTACGGCATGACCACTTTTGGGTACAACATGCATTTGAAATTTTCCTTGCATTTGACCAACGGTCAAATCACGATCAAGACGGTCAACACCAGCTAGTAGAAGTAACTTTGGACATTCACATGATAGAAATAATTTTGATAAACCTATGAAAAAAGAGAAACTGTAAATTCACGGACGAATAAATAATTTTGCGAACCAGAAAACCATCCTTTCCAAAATTTTTCTGTTTTTGAAAGATCTATTCTCCATGTATATTTATTTATTTCATTTGAAACATTTGATGTAGTTGGCTTTTGAGTATCAATAGAAGAATTATGATTATGATTATTGTCTTGTTCTTGTTCTTCGTCTTCTTCACGAACAGTTTCACATAAATGAGAGACTTCTGGAAATGTAGAATTCGATGCGGCTGCTGCAGCTGTAGAAGAACTTCCTTCATTCGATTGAATATTGATCATTGGTTGAATTTGTCCGATAACAGAGACTCGAGCTGATTCAACATTACGTACTTGACCACTTCGAACCATATATTCTACAGCTTGCTCTGGAGTGGAGAATTGTTTTGGTCTTGAACTAAGAAAACATTGCATTGAATTTAAAGATTCTAATGCACTTCCTATGAATTAAAATGATGAAAATGTATCCTTGAAAAAGAAAACCATGTTTTCTCACCCTCAACAACATCGATAACGCACAGAGCATCAATCAGTGTTGGATTTTGTTTAGCAACATGCACAGCAAGCGCACCACCTGTAAATAAATATTCTATTTTAATAATCTTGACATGATTTGCTTTTTATATACCCATTGAATGTCCAATGAGAAAAATTGGAGTTTTATTTTCTTCATTAAATAAATAATGTAGAATTTGGCATATATCATGGGTAAGTGTTTCAATACTCAAATCACTTTCATCTGTGGTTTTTGTTTCTCCATGACCACGAATATCTACAGCAATACACTGGCATCGTACAAGATTTGTCACTGCTTTTGACATAAGAGCCCAACTTAAACCAGAAAAGCCACCGCCATGTAAAAAAAATAAAATCGGTGCTGAAGAATCAGGAATACTACGCGAATATACACAAAAAATATTTTTTTCTATTGCTATAAAACGTTTATCATTAAAGTATGTATTCCATTCAATCGGTTCATAATTACGAATGGATGATGATTTGTTTTCATTAGATGATAATAACTTTTTAGATGACGATGGACCAATAGGTGGGAGTGATTTAGAAAGCATTTGTTTACGTAAATTTGACATCTGGAATAAGAAATATGATAAAGATTCTCGTTTTTGTTCATTCAAATTAGTAATTATAATAGTTCTGGTCTTTTTTCTTGTCAATTACTCTTCTTTAATTATTTCCCTCTCTATTTCACTCTGTTTGATCGATAACAAAAATATTTTAACGAATGATCCACATATGACGTTGTAGAACAAAAATGAACTGTAACTTTAATATCATAGTCTATGGACAAACATGCATTAGTCATTCGAAAAGTGTAGAAATCAATATGCATCTATGCAATTGTAACGAAACCCACTTTAATCAGCTAAAATTTTACACAAAATTAGTTCTTTCCAAATACTTCTAGACTATGTAAAAATACTTTCTGGACCCTCAAAACTTAAAAGTAAATGCGGCGACATCTATTTCATTGTACGAATATGACTGGATGTACATTCCAGCTGAATGAATCGAATGCAGTTCCGGTTTCAGGTTTATGGTATTACTCATGACTTCGGTCGATAAATCATACGAAATTGTCTAAATACTACTTAGTACCTATACCATCAATTTCAGAGGCCCGTCCAAGTCCTGTGGTCTAGATTCAGTCGGATTCGATAGTGAGAGATCCGCATGTCATTTCTCAGGCCGAGAACCCGATTATCAGAATGCTTCTACTGAAATCTATTGAGAATAAAACATATTTTGATGTCTAGCAAAGCAAATGAGCACAATCACCACAGGAGAAAAAAGAGATAAAGGAACAATCAATCGTTCATTTTGACAATTGTATTCATATCTACTCTATTTACTACAAACTAATTATTTCCTATATTGATTTCAATTTATTAATTTCCATCGAACGATGCCGAAAAAAATGCGTAGTGTATAAAAGAATTCGAAACTTCCTCGAAAAACATTTACATTGATATAAATTCAACTGAAGTAACTATCATTTCAACAAAGATGACAGTGGCTGAGGAATAGTAAGGAAATTTACACGAGATGTTTTGAGACTACAATGTAGAAACATCCCATGGTTTAGAAAGTTCTTGTGGTATACAGTCCTATTCAGTCTTTATATAGTTTGATTTTAGAATTTATAAGCTCTTTAGTTTTAATCGGATTCTAATGAATCATATTGACTGCATCGACTAACACAACATACTGATTCCTAGGTGTCAATACGTTCACTTGACATTTTCACAGAATATGTTAGCAACTTTTTTTCAATAGAAACCTGTATCAGATGAAAGAAGTAGCTATGGAATTTCAGTTATATCAATATCATCACGTGGATCGTTGTTTTTGATGAATGATGATAATGATAGATTTCAGCATGGTAATTTGATTTTGATACATATCAACTACAAGTATTCAAAGAATACAACTTAGCAAAATGAATTCATTTCATATGACTACTTTATCATTTTTCTGTATGTTAACGACTAGCTGTTCAATCCCTCTTCTAATATAAATGAGAAATTAAAAAAAAACGCTTTCAAGTTTTGATAGCTTCAAAGAGAAACGGAGCTTTCTGCATTGCCAATGTCTAATTTCACTAGCGACGACACAAACAAGACGATGAATTTACTACATACAACATATTTATAAATTCAACAGCAAACCTCTGTTAAAAACTAGAAATACATTAAGTTTTATAAATTCGAAGGAACCTTCACACAATGCTACAAAAATCGTCTGTAATGCTGCAGTTTGAGTATACGTCTGTGTGTGTGTGTGTGCGAAATCGACTACGTCCGTTTTCCGTTTACCACACAGTCAACTTATTCCTTTGTTTGTGATCAAATGGGTCCCTCTTCTGTGACATCCACACATTGATAGATACTTTGTGGTCCTCTAGGACATTCACATCTTCATTTCAGGTTATACCTAGAGAATCCTATGGAAATATTTTCGAATTTATAAAACTTCATCTATTTCTATCTCTGCTGTTCAATAGGACTTCGTCGTTCAATAAAGTTTTTCTTTTTTTTTAAGGTTGTTTTGACGTGAGTGCATTCTTTTTTCGGACTGTAAAAATTTATTCAGGTCTTCATCGACATTCAATATCGAATAAAGCATCTATTGAGAAAAACCTGTCGTTTACGTTATTTTGTTTTCAGTTTCTGTGATCCATCATATTTTTCATTTATCGGTCTTTGCATCATTTTAAGAGAACATTTTTTTCATATATTGAGCAATCTACTATTTAATAAAATTAGGTTTTCTTTTTAAAGTAACATTACGACATCTTATTCTATTTTATACAAAATAAAACAACAATGCTTTTTATGATACCCATGATCCTCTAAACAGAGAGATCATTAACTCGAGACGACGTTAATTCTTGTGAAGCAAATCTTTTTCAAAAAATAGAAACATAGTTTTAAAGGAAAATTGATCCAAACTAGTTTCTATCATAAATTTTTCTTGTGGCCTTTGCACACAAATATGTTCTACTACTGGTGCATTTGAACATGAATTGTTATTTTCCGATTTTCCTTTTTTCTAAACAGAATCATAGAGTAATGAAAACAAGAATAGTAACATGAAAAACTATGAACAGTCGTAGCATCAAGTAACAAAAACGAAGCAGAAAAACGTAGGAAAGCTGTTATTGAAACGACAATAAGAAGAATAGTATGCATGAATTGAAAATGAAATTCATTTTCAATCTTTATTGTCATTGTTTTATTCTATACCATCTTGTCTTTCTAATTCACCAGCAACAATTTAATCGTGAAGTTCTTGTTGATCATCAGTTAATGTTTCTTGATTATCTAAATTAGGTAAAACATCGGCCGATAATTGAGCGTCATAAAGTTCACTATCACCACTAAGAACATGATCAACAGACTCCATCATAAACTCATCATCTTCCACTTTATCATTCGATTTAAGACAATCATTGGAAGTTGAACGAGCTCTTAATCCTTCGGTATCACTCATACTTGACGCATAACTAAATTCATCAGGACGGATTCCGTTTCGTTCTTGTTCATTAATGGCAACATATTTACGAATTGTGGCAAATAGATTAGGTTTTGTATATTGACTATTAAGAAAACAATTATGTTTACTAGTTAATTTTACAATAGAAAATGAAATTTCTGTTTCATACCGATTAGCCGATTGTGGTTTTGAGTTTAGTCGAGGTTGTTTCCATTCAGCTGATATACTATCATTTAGTTTTATTTGTCCAATAATATGTTCCAAAAAAGTATCAGCTGCAGTTAATAATCGTTGTGGTAGATTATTTAAAAATGGTTTTTGTTCTATTTTATTTAATAGAATATCGTTTGTTTTTTTAGTTTTAACTAAAACTTGTACAATCCAAAGTCTAAGCCACACTAGTGATGGTTGGAACGATTCACAAACCGAACTACACAATGAGCCAACAGTGGACAAAATTTGATTGGTTGCAGCGGCTATTTTGTTAGTATTGGGACGTTGAACTAGAAAAATTAGAAACACATTTAAATACAATGTCGTATTCATCATAGTTTAGAATACTTTTTGGTACGTGTACTTCATAAAATGAGAATACAGAATCAGCTACACCCGATGCCTTATTTACGGTGGCTGTTGCAACATTAGAAACCTAATCATTAAGAAGTAGTCGAATAGAAAAATAAACACATAAAATAAATTCTCGTACCGCGTCTTTGCCGTGTTGAATTGTTGATGTTGTTGTATCCTTAACCGAATTCATGACATTCACAACAGGTTTCGTTTTTGCATGGAATGTATTCATGACATCTTCAGTTGGCGTATTAAGTACAGGGTATTTATGCTCGATTTCACGAATTGTTTCAGCAGCATAATTATCGATGAGACTTACTATATTATTAAAACATAGTATATGAAAATATTTTTAAAAAATAGTACGAAAAAACGAAACTTACCGGGCCCAGATAATGGTTTAACCAGAGGATTAGCAATCATCACAATAGCTTTCAATGCTCTATCAGCAACTGTTTCGGCAAGGCTACATGGAAGCCGAATGAATGAACTAGTATCTTTAGCTTTGGAATATGCATCTTGAAGTTTCGTCGTTGACGAACGAACAACTACATAAATGAAGTGATATAAATTTATTTTGAGTAAAATAAAATTTTTCTTGCCTGGTATCTCTTGAAGACACGAAAGAGTTCGAAAGCCTAACATGATTCACAAAAAATATCAATCTAGAGAAGTGATAACTATAAGCACAGCTTACAATGAAAATAAATAATGGTCGTTCTTCTCTTTATATATGAACAATAAGATATACATGTGTGTGTGTGTAAAAGAGCAAAATTCAAACTTGCATCCGCTAACAAAGAAATGAGATAAGAACGTCAATATATAAGAAGATAACGAGTGGACTATAGTCAAGGTGAAAATATAAATGGGCAAAGAGTGAAGATTGCATGACTCATAGATCAGTTTAATTCAATTCAAACAGTTGGTTATCATTAAGAAAATTCTTATCTTCCAACATAGAACAGAAAATTCCTGAAACTAATGGTGTATTTACATTGAAAATTTTTTCATTCATTTTTTATATGTAGGGTATACTAAGTTACCTAACAAAGGTACTGTAATCATAAAGTCAAAGAACAAATTGTGACTGATAGGCGATACAGTCCACAGCATGTTGATATGTAAGAATACATCACAATGGATTTTTTATTCTCTCTCATACAAATAGGTATTTATAACATATGCCCACTAGTTGTCTGCATGCCTATCTACGTGTCGCTCAAAGTCTATTAAACTTGATTACATTTGAAAAATACGTCAGATAGAGAAAAAAACTTCTTCCTTCGAATTAAAACGATTAATTATGATCTATTAAAATCAACTGAGTTATAAAATGAAGTATACTTTCAAAATAGATAGTTATTTTTCATAGACATCAACAAAAGATGATTAAATACATATCAATATTACATTTTTCACCGATACATATGTTTTTGAATAATCTTACTGCAATCAATTACTGATATTCATAAAAATCTTTTTGTCTACGATTCCTTTGTATAAAATGTTAACTGTTTGTTGCTTGTTGATTTCTAATTTTTTTTAATATCACATTTATCATACTTAGATCAAAGTCGTTTTTATATCATACGATGCAGAAATGCATTTTTACGTTCTTAGTATGACAAATTGATTGGTTTAAAAATTCATACACTAATTAAGATAAAATCATATGATTTATCGGTAATCTTCTATCTAAAATAACAACTCAAACCCAACATGCACAAAGCAAATTGCTTTGGCGCTCAGTGAGAACAATTCAAAAACTAAACAACAGAAAAAAATAGCATAAATCATACAAATAAAAAGCATGAAATATAATGAGTGAGATTCGTGATCATTCAAGACGTGTGTTAGAGAATTGCTTTTTCATTTTTTTGTTTTTTTCATCAATTGCTAGCATAGGACGATAGTATTTGAACAATATTATCGAAACCACGTTGTTTGGCAATTTGTAAAGGTGTCATACCACGACTATCAGGCCATGAAATGTCGACACTACCATTATCTAATAGGTAATGAATACAATCAACAGAATTATAGTTTACAGCCTAGGAGAAGAAAAAAAAACAAGATAATCAATTTTATGATTAGACAGAATAAATAATTTACCAATAAAATGGGCGTTCGACCATCATAATCAGCTTGATCAAGATTAGCTCCTGCTTTATGCCATGCTTTCAATCGATCAACTTGATTATTTTTAACACAATTACATAGATACATTCCTATTTCACTTGGTTTTAATGTTGCTGTTAATTTTGCGCCATAACGAATTAACAATTCAATCATCGCATCATTCAGTTGAAGAACAGCATAGAAAAGTGCCGTAAAACCAACTTGATCAGGTTCATTAACAAAAGAATTGTCATTACTTGAGATACGAAGAAGTAACTCAGCACATTTTATCGCATCATGTTTAGCGCAGATATGAAGTGGCAATGAACCACACGGTAATACAGCATTAAATTTAATACCACTTTGAACTTGTTGTATATGATGTAGAGTAGCTATATCATCCGTTTGTGCACATGTTGCTATTAACCAAGGTATTAATGATTGACGAAAATGTACCGATTCCTTGAATAAGTAAACAGAAAAACAGAATAGATAAGCTCTTCTAAAAAACATAAAATTATAGGAATCAATATGAAAACCTCGTTAGTTTCATCATTGGTCGCATTTAATATCCAATTGAGATTGATTTTTGGACATGCAACTTTAGTTGAATCTGCAGACATTTCTCCTCGCAAATTCTCAGTCATTTTCATTTTCATTATTTTCTTATCCGATGAATATTTACCAAGAATATATGATAACTAAAATTGAGCAATAGATAACAAGAACGTTTGATTTTCATTTGTATTTAAAAAAAAACAAGATGATTTACCTTCATTAAAGCAGCTTCGATTGTCATATCTAAACCTGAACAAACACCTATTTTTTGTAGTGCTGTTGCACCTTCATAAATATAATGAACACATCCTTTTGCACATTGTGTACAATTAACTATGAGAACACCACGGTCACTTGCTTTACGTAATTCGTCAATTAAATCCGGTCGATTCGTTGGTAAATTTCCTGCTCCATATGTTTGTAAAACGATACCTTGAATTGGTGGTTCAAGAAATTGACGCATTGTTAAATAAGTTATACCAGGAAAAAGACGAAGAAGTGAAACATTTCGATTTAAATTTGTATGAACATTAAATGGACCTTCGGATGAACGATCGAAAACTAAATCCCATTTAACTAAAGATAAACTATATGTTTAGGTATGCAAATTACATATAATTAGATTTTTTGTACCTTCAACTTTAGTTCGAAATTCTGCTAAAGTTGAAAAATTATGTGAATAGAATGCATTTAAACCTTCGGAATCAATTTTTGTTACACGATTCCCTCGATATAGTCGATTTCGAAAGTAAAGTGTAACCTTAAGTTATTCAAATAAAATATCTCATCGTTTCTTTTTTGTCTTATTTGATAGAAATAAATAACCTCTGGAATACGATATTGCCCAGCTAATAATAAACTTCCAATAAGATTGTCTCGACCATCACTTCGTGTTTCAAAGATTGGAATCTGAAAGAAATGACAAAATTTTCTAGCGTGTAGAAAGAAAATATATTCCGCATACTTGCGATCCAGTAAGTACAACTGGTTTTGAAAGATTTTCAAAAATAAATGAAAGAGCTGCTGCCGTATAACTCATTGTATCAGTCTATTTCAAAATTATGATTAAATAAATTATTTATCATATTATTTATTATCTTACACCATGAAGAACTAAATATTAAAACATAAAAAAAAGCAATTTCATTTAAATAATAAATTATTAACTTACTTACAAACCCACTGAATAAATTGTAGACCTCCTGAGTGAAAAAATAAACAAATATCATGAAACTATTTATTTCTTAAAACTTTTTGTCTTGCCTTTATATCAAGTGCAATTTGAATGTAATTGTCATATGTCATATTCGCTGAGTCGAGTAATGGAGTATATTCTTTAATATAATATGCAATCCATTCTTCATTTGCAAGTCTAAAAAAAGAAATTACCTGCATAGACTTTTTTTATTACTCAGAGGTGAAAATACTTAACGGTAAATAAAGAAAAGATTTTTCTGGGTCGATTTCATTCATTTTTTCTGCAAAATTAGTATCATGCATAATATTCATACCACGCAGTGCGGATAGTAAAAAATGTGCCACTGGTTCATATGCATTACGTAGTACTTTCATACCAATAGTACCACCTAGAACAATAATCAATCATCCTTTGTTTTCTGTTGTTTTGCGTTGAAAACAAAAGGTTTTCTAATGCGAACCTGTATAAAGAACGAGTACTTTTGGAATTGTCAGTTTTGATAATGCTTTTTCTGTTTGTGCATCTAATAATGTCATGGGCTTTAGAAGCATATCATTTGACGAACGTCTCAAACTTGATGACGAAAGCACTTCCACAGTTGAATTACCAGACATATATATGTATTGATATAAGCTAGAATACGAAATAAAATAATTGTACGTGTTGAGTTTCTTTTTTTTTTATATATATCAAAAAATTCCAAGCAACTTTTATTTATTTTTTGTTATTCTAAAGAAAGTTTATATAAAAAATAACCAGAAATATGCGATGTTAAAAATACAGAACAGGAATTCTCAAACCAGTGCTTTTCCAATGGTAACATACATGCAAATGATGATCATGATATACTATCAACTTGTTTTAAATAAAATTTGTAATTTATATAGAAAGATGTTTTTTTTATATTCTGAAGTTAATACTGAGAATGATTACGCGGCGATAAACGAACATAAACACACAACATAAAGAATATAAAAGTAAGAAACGAGAACGAAACAAAGACAAACGCATTCCATGCCTGGTGAAGTCCTTCAGTCAACAAACGCATGTATACAAACACCAAAACTATATCGAGAAAAAAAGAGAACGTCTAGCACTTAATTCCACTTCTCATACTTAATTAAAGAAGAAACGAAAAGAAAAACAGTTTAGCATAAATTGTCCATAAAATCAACATTTGATCGAACATCAATGAGTAGAATAAATGTAAGTCGTTGTTATTTTCGTTGCTTAGGGTTTTTTCGCTTTATTTGGCAATTTTGCTGTTACTCTATAATGGAAATAAAAAATAGAATTCAATAATAATTCCATTTAAAATAGAGTTTACTTGGCCAAAAGTTGATTTATTTGATCGAGTACTTGTTTAGCAGTACGATCAATGGGTACCTTTAAAAACAAAATAGAAGAACAAATTTTACACGAAAATTAAATTTTATTCATACTAACTTGATATACTTCATAAATTTTTGGTACAGTAAATAAGAAAATTAAGCCGACAAGTCCCAATGTTAATGTGTTAATGGATAGACCAATGTAGAAGAAAATGAAAAGTACTAGACCAAACTAAATTAAAAATAAGAATGTTAAATTTATAAAGATCAAATATTTATCTATGAATATTATGTACCATAGCTGAGTTTGTTAAGTTTTGCCATAAGAAAATATTTCTTGCATGTTTTAATAAGCTTGTTCCATTGACTTGTATCTGTTTGGCCAATTCATCAGTCTGTTGTTTCGAGATAGCTAGATCAGATGGAAATATTGAACTAAATAAATATCAATGAAAAATTCATTTTTTATTTTAAGATCTTAATTTAATCCTACTCAAATATGTCTTGACGTGCAGAACCAACGAATGTAGCCATGACATAATTGTAGAATTTACTGAGTCCAACAACAACAAGAAATGCTAGTAACCAAAATGAAATGGCTGCCAATGATGATAAACACATGAATGTTATAATAACAGCTAATGAAACACCAAAAAAAATGCCAGATTGAATTGGTTTTCGCCAATAAACCAGATTACAGGCTACAAATCAAGAAAAAATATATGGAATAACAAATGAGCAAATGAATAAACTTAATATTTATACCTGATTTCGGTATCATTTGAGAGGTTCGTTTTCGTGCTTCAACAAGTGAATGACGAGTTTGATCCCCTAAATTAAATTATATTACAATAAATAAAGTTGGTTCTTCGCCAATAGGAACATATAATCTAATGAGTTTTTTTTTCGTTTATGACAATGTTGAATTGAAGAGGAAAAAACAACACTAGATCGGCTCCGAAGTACATCCATCATCATTCAGACTTTTTTCTTTCTTGTTGCCGTTCTTTTTCTCTTTCGGATCTGGTATGAGCAGTAACAGACGATAGTGAGGACGAAATTACTAAAGGGAAATCATGATGAATAGCACGCGCACAATTATATATAGAATGATCTGTCATTTGACTGTTTGCTAGTTAGATGAAAGAGGAATATGTGAACTAATATATTTCTTTCACTGGAGAATATTCAATAGATTGGCTAAATCGGATTTGAAATATGGAAATTAACGTGATGTTCGACGACTAACAAACCGCATACTAAAGAATGAAAATAGGACGCACACTTGTCAAATATAACCAATTTTGAACATGAGGAAAAAAATGATGTCAAGGTCGTGCTTCGTTCTGTAGTATTGATTCCCAAGGCTAATTTACTATAGTTGAGCAAACAAAAAATTTCCTACATGACTAAATAGAATTCAGTAGAGAAGCAGAACCATTCATAATCTTTAGAGATGTTGACAAATGTCGATGACTATAAAACTTACAATGTTGTTGTAGAATTCTTTTTGTCTTGGAAACAATATTTTCCGCATGTTGCTGACCTTGTTTTGATTCAGTTCTTCCTTTCTGAACATATGAATCACCAGCAGGAGTATAATTTTGATGTGTTGACTCCGGTGCTGATACTTCATTGCGGTCGTTCAATGAACTTTTATTCCAACTATCTGTTGTAGAATCCATAATGAGAAGATTCTGGTGCTTTCAAAATTTAATGAAAAATATCTGAAACATTTAGGAGCAAAGGTTGAAATGAGTGTTACTGATGAGTCACAATATTCATGGAAAAGAAAAGAGAATTTTGGATGATGCAAATATACAGATGGTGACCTAGTCAAACTTCATTGAAACTACTGTGGGCTAGTTATGAAACGCGAAAGAAGAGAATGATTCTTCGAGCGACACACTACTACATCAACGCGGCGGACGGAGTATTCTTTTGCTTCGCTTCATCTCTCTCTCTCTTTCTGTCTATTTATTGCTGGTTGGCAAATCTGCACGCCGATGTTTCTCTTAGTAGCTACTAAAAGTCGGAGCACACGCACACATATATATACATATATTATATAGAAGATCGATGAAAAGACAAACAAAGACAAAATGACAGAAAGAAAAAAATCTAATGATTACATTTGCTATTATGCCTAGTTTGGTGACATGAGCAATTTTCTACAACGACATATATACAACTGATAAGTAATCGAACAAGATATTACTCAGCCAATATGAGTGTCAATAAAAAAAAAAGGGAGGACGATGAAATCGAATCTCACCTTTAGTCTTTTTTAAGTGTATACTCGCCTTTGAATGCTAATGTGGATGAGTATATATTTATAAAATAATTCTTTTTTTAATATCATAAACGAAGTTAAAAGATGCAAGCAATGGATGATGTCTTGCATTGAATCTTCGAGAAACATTTAAAAATGAAAAGCATAGCGAAAAAGATAAAGACCGATAAGCAATTATGTTCCTATTTTTATCTAATTCAGCTTCAAGAAGAAAAATAGAGCCGCGGGCGACAAACTCAATCACATAAAAATTCTGTACATGACTAGATTTTACTTATTGAAAAGATATATAGAGAACAAGAAAAAAGAGTAACGAATGTCGAACTGATGTATTAACTATCATTTCAAAATTGTTCGCTTGGTAGATTTTTATATTTAATTTGTTGTCAATATATATTACAAAGGTGAGTCAATTTTAAAACGCGAACACACACGTCTCATACTCTCGTCATATGGATGAGGCAACGACAGTGACTAATGTGGCAAGTCGAAAGTAATTGAATAATGACCTAAAAGTTTGAATCGTTCGTCTTACAAGAACCTAAAAATAATATAATTCGATGATAATAAAATTGTAAATTAGAATAAAGTTTACAACGCAACTAAATCTTAGCAGTAAAATAAATCTGATCATAATAATAATATATTATTTATCTATCTAATGATTGATACATGTTGCCGTAGTATATAACAGCCAATGAGCAGTAGCGACACTAAGATTGATTGATTGAAATTTTATGTATCTACAACTACATTTTAGATGTCGCAAAAGTTATTATTTTATTTATAAAATATTCTGTTGTTCTTAATTATGTTAATTATGTTCAACAATGAAAAAAAAACGCCAAAATAACTTGAATTGTTCAATCGTGTTGGACATTGCTTAGCAACTTCGACATACAAAATGTCTATTATGTTCTGTCAGATGCAAAGAAAAGAGAATGGTAACTCGAACAAGAAAAAGAAAAAGAGAAAAAATCTGCTCGAAATTTTGTCGAAAATTTTGGCATTAGTACACCACTTAAAACAATTTTATTTACGATCATGACTACAATTTTATCTTCGGAATCGGCTAATTGGCTTTTACCATCTGATTCAACAGCATTGAAAACGACATTACCAAATTATGAAGAATCTTTACCAAATCGTGTTAATAAAGAAGGCATTTCAAATTATATTAAAAATCGTGGTACTTTGTGCTTTGGTGAATCGGCGACTGATGGCAGAAGAATGTCAGTATCAACATCAACACTAACACAACCAATAAATTCAAGACGAGATAGTATATCGACACCATCACCTAAAGTTCTAGGATTTGAAGCGACACGAAATTATACACGAGATCGTACTTCAACACCAAATCTTATTTATGGTAATCTTGACCCACCTAATCCTCACCATCAATTACGTGTTAAACGAGAAGGTCGTGCTAATTATGAGAAAAATCAAAATTCACAAATGAAATCATTGTTAGAAAACTATGGTAAATTACCTTTACCTTCACAGCGAATACCGCATACGCAAGGCGAAGTAATTTTGAGCTATATTAAATTTTTTTGAACTAAATATTTTAATTCTCCATCGTTTTTAGATAGCTACGAATCTCTATTATGCACATCGAGAAGGTAAGATGAGTTCAATTTTAAGCAATTATGGTAAATCTGCAGCCTCACCAAGACGAGTACCAAATGTAAAAGGTGATGCAGCTGAAGTTAATTTACAAAAAGGTTATGGTAATGCACAGATACTTCACCATAGTATTGATTATCGTCCATCAACAGCAGAACCGAATGTAAAAGGTATTCAAGCTCAATTAAATTATGATATGGGACGAGGTCGTCGTGTTAACCAACTTTTTCATGAATATGGTAATTTACCACAATCTGCTCGAATTCAGCCAAAGATTAAATTTGGTGGTGTTCAAAATTTAGTTAAAGGTCAGGGTGATGCCATGCGTAAAACAATTTCACAATGCCCACCATCTAATCGTTATCGCGAACGAGCACAATCAGTACAATCTTGAATTTAAATAGTTTTTTTTTTCAATCTTCCATTTTTGCTTTTGGAATCGATATTTGTAAATTCGTTCTTTTAATTTATCAAAAAAAAATAGTTTGCTCTCTCATACATACGTATATATAAATATAGGTTGATCATTAACATTTACAATTCCACAGGAATCAATGTTTTTCTTTCGTCCGTTTTTTGTTTCAGACATGCAAGAACAAGAACGTTTTGAACGTTACACACCACAGTTTCCGTTACCAACCGATATAGCAAGCATGTCTCGTCAAGATACTGTTTGTCAATTCTGTGGTGTTTCCTATTTAATACATAATGAAATAAAAGCACTCGAGGCTAAATGTCAAAAACTCGAAACTGATTTAGCGTATTATGCTGGTATGAGTTCACGCGAAGCTGCTCTAGAAAAATTATTACAAACTGAACGAACGCGAATTTCTGATCTCGAATCTACTATCTCCATTAATAATCACAAGTATTTTTCATGGTTGTTGCTGTTGAACTTCTGAAAATCAGACTGTTTTTTGCTTCTTATAGATTCAATGAAATGACAAGAAAATATCAACTAGCACAAGATCAATTACAACAATCAAAAATTGCTTATCAAGAAATCAAGTATTCACGATTCTTTAATTTTATTATATATGAAATTGTATTATTTTATTTTGTGTAATTTTAAAGGTCAGCATTTTCAAAGTGTTCATTGAATATTCGAGCAACATCTAATCAAATACAGAATATTCGAAGAGAAAATTCGTATGTGAAAGATCTCTACGCAAAAGAAATTCAAAATTGGAAAACATATTTAGCAACTGTTGATAAAACATTGCAAAAAGGTACTAGATTATATTTTATCGAATGAATCATATGTTTTTACTTAAAAATTTAATCAACAGAAATACAAACAACTATCGATAAATATACAAAGCGAATAAATAATTATCGAATAGAAATTGAAGGATATCAACAACAAATTAAGTAAGAATAATTTATATTTTATAAATTAGAAAATTCCTTTCTTTGTTTTCTAGTGAAACTAATAAATCTTCACGAGATTTACAAACGAAATATCAACAATTACAGATAGAATCAAGAGAATCTCACACAAAGTATGAGTTTTATTATTTTTTTCAACCTGTGCAATCAGTTATGTTTACATAGAACACAGAATGACTTAGAAGCTGGTCAAAAAGAAATTCAAATTCATCAAAATGAAATATCACGTTTACATCAACAAGTATCACAAATCGAACAAACCCGACTACAATTACAAAATGATTTAGAACAAACAAAACAACGATGTCGACAATTAGAACAACAAATGTCAGATAAAGATGAGTCAAAAAAGAATGTTGATCTTCTGATTGATCAATATCGACAACAATTAATAAATGAAAAAGAACTTCGAACAAGTAAAAATGATTTGATTATTGAATTTCTCAAGTAGATAATTATCTATCGAACTTTTTAGATGCAGACTCTGAATTAGAAAACATTCGATCAAAACTGATTAAACTGACAAATGAATATGAACTATTAAATACAAGTAAGAAAGAATTTGAAATAAATGAATTAAATACTCGACGAAAAATGGATGAAACTCATCGATCACGACAAGCTGTTCTTGATCGTACCAGAGATGAATATGAAAAACTATTACGAAAATATGCTGATCTTGAAGAAGTTTATCATGAACTTGTTACTATTCGAGAAAAAGATACTTGTAAGAATCGTATCGACTTTCTATTGAAATACATCTGAAATAAAATCTTTTTTTTTATTGTTTGATAAATGTAGCAGAATTAGAAATAATTCGTCGTGAACTTGAACGTTTACATAATGAAAATATTGAATTAACTAAACAACGAGAAACACTTGATATTACACATGATATTCAAATTAAAAAAATTTACGATAGTTATGCTAAAAGATTGCATGAAGCTGAACAATGGCCTGATCGTCTACAAACAGAATTGAATCATCAACGTGAACAACATCGAATACAAATGATTGACTTTGAACGTCAACTTAGAGAAAATTTTGCTATTGTCAGTAAATTTTTTTACTTGGGTAGTAACAAAAGAATCAAAAATATGTATATTTAGGAATTAGATATTGAAAAACAGAAAACAAGTGGTCTTCTTCGTAAATACGAACAAGATAGTGATCATTCAACGCAAAAGCTTCGGCATGAATTAATTTCAACTGAAAAAGTATCTATTGAACAACGACAATATTATGAGCAGCAAATTGAACAACTTCAACGAGATAAAAATGATTTAAAAAAAGAATTGGATACATTGAGAAATGCATTAAAAGAATTACATGAACAAACTAGTAAGAAATCGATAATGATCGCGAAGAAGATTTCAATGATGTTTTATTATAGATAATCAACGCGCGACGAACAATGATCGTATAAATGGTTTGCAATTACAAGAAGATTTACTGGCTAAAGAAACTAGTCTTTTTCAAGCACAATCAACTATAACTGATTTGAAAAAAGAGTTAGAACAAGCACGAGAAGAGGTAACCAATTTAATTGTCAATAAATGAAGTTCTATTTTTCTCATAAATAGATGACGACTTTACAAGAAACTGTACATAAAGAATGTACAGAACGTGAACAATTAAAAGATGCACTCATCGAAGCACGTCAACAATTATTAGCGATGAAAAAAAATGGTATGAATTTAAAATAACAAGGAGCTAGCCTGGGTTGTTCACGTAAAAGAATATTTCTTTTGAATATAGGTGTTTTAAATGGCAAAGCAAGTCGATCTCTTCATTCTCCACCTGTAGCTTTTGAAGAAATTGAACGACGTGTTACTGGCCCTCTTCCACTGTCTCATTCACACAGTCAACAATATTCAGCGTTAGCTCATAATCAAAATTCATCATTCGTTCAATCTGAACCATCGGGACGTGAAAGTAGTTTACCTAGTGCTACTGCTGATATTATGGCTCGACCAATGTCTTCATCTCATACTGTACCATATCGTCATAAAACTCTACCACCTATTTATCCACAACAACAACAACAGCAGCAGCAGCAGCAGCAGCAACAACAACAACAACAACAACAACGCCGAAATGGAAGTGTTCCATCAACAAATAAAGCCGAACAGTTACTAGAAAATCAAAGACGTATTGCTCGCTTCATTAAGCACATTAAATAAATCAATCTTTTCGAACTTATATTATTGGATAAAAAATAGAGTTTTACTTTTCATCATTTGTTTCTTCTATGCATTCATCGAGCTTGTTTTTTTATTTTTGTTTAATTTTTATTCACTCTTCACATGGGAGCTTTGTTTTTCTTTCAAAATACGTGTATTCTTATAATCTCATCATTTGATAATCTCTTTTGATCGTTATTGTTGTTTTTTTTTATTGTTGGTGTATTCCTATTAATTCTAAACGTAATGCGCTGTCAAATATTGTAATTTATGGTTGTCAGACTTCAAATAGATGATCCTTCTCATCACAATATAAAAATGAGCTCAAACCTCGGTTTTGTATCAAATCAATCATTTGGTATATATCATATATGATCGAGACAAGTTTCTTTCTAGAATTCAAATTTTATCGTTCCATAGAATACATAGCATTATGCAATTAAAGTAGATTAAACGAGAATAACACTTCATTCAGGCCGCTTTTACTATTTTATATAAGAAAGTAAATTTTCTTCCAAGTATTCAATGATTATTTTTGAATAGGTATTTTATTGAAGAAAAGCATAACGTTAATATGATTCGTTGAGTTTTTAACTAACCGATCTTGTTAGAAATTTCAATCGGCTTTGTTCATTAAATCTTATTTTAATTTATATTTCAAATAAAAAATTCAAGTACGTAAACTTCCTTACAGGAATATAAAACTAGATGATATATGAAGATAATCATGAAAAGTACACGAATTAAATTAATGAACCGAACAGAATAGCAAAGAAAATAATAACAATAAATATAACAAACTTCTGATACAAAAATAAGTATGAATTCACACAAGTCATATCTCGTTAGTAAGTCAACTTCTATAAAAAGAAATAACAAAACAAAGTACTCCTAAATAAACGCTTAATAGATTTTATTTACCTTTCGAATTCGAATGTTGAATTCCGTTTAAATGTAAACATAGTATTTGATGATTTATCATACGAATACCAACCTAGTTCATTTATAAAGTATAAAAAAATAGCATGAAACAAATTAACAATAAAATCAATGCACCATTGTTTCCAATAACACCCTTTGCATTGATAGTAATTAGTGTATGGGATGCATCTTGTTGCACAAATGATCGAATTGGATTTTTCGGAATAGATAGGTTTTCATTCGTTGTTGTTAATTCAACAAAAAATGCTTTTATATGAGACGTTTTGAATTAAGTTCAATGGTCGTCCTTGTATTTGTATATCGAATGCTACTTGTTCACATGTTTCTCATTGCGAATGTGGTTCAGTAAATAATTGAGACGGGCTTCATTCAAAATTTTCAATCATAACGGCGATTGCTTCACTTGTAACATAATCATCGATACGATAGTATCAGTATCGAAGACTTTTTCATATGAACAATATATAAATACATTAATTACCTCTATCACTGCTTGTCCATTTTACTTTATAACTACAAAAAATGATAAATTTATAATTGGGTTGATTGATCCGATATGATAGTTGATTAAGCTATTTTATTTTGTTAATACTACTGTATTAAGATGTATAATGACAATAGAAAATGATTAAGCATTTAATGATAGTCATTCTTCCGCAACAATAAATTTCAATGTTACTATAAAATGACTCAATTAAATTTTAGCAAAAGTAAAAAGAAAAATCATTGGATATAGATTTTAAACGGTAAAAAGTCAACATTTAGAGCTTAGTTTCCTACACTGTATCTCAGTAAGTAACTTCAAGAGATATTTTGTGAAGGAGAATATTAAAACTTTTCCAAGTATTCCAATATTGCCCTGTGTGTGTGCTTTTGTGATACAAACTTTCAACAATAGATAACCAATGTAAAATTTGTCCGTAGATGAATATCTCAATTTTAAGATATTCGTTGCCAATTTTGGTTTACAAGTTTAACAGATATGATTTCTCTAGGAAAAATATGGACTTTTTCTAACCACATGAAGAGTTCTGACCATACATCGCAGTGTTCTGATAAATCCCGAATGGGACATTCTTTGTAAATAATTTTTTCGCTGGAATTCTGGCAAGCGCTGCGATGTATGGTTCTAACAGATTGGTTGGCAAGGAGACGATTTTTATAGCGTGATTGTCTACAAGAAAAATATTACATTCGTTTCAATTCTGTGTGTGTTACATTCTCTAAGCGGCTTACAGTTGCTTTTGATTTTTTTTTCGTCCTTTTTACACTCGTTACCTTGTACATGTTGTGGTTACTCGCCGTTAAGAAAGAAGGAGCAATCATTTTACATATTTTCATATTGAGCGTCATTGATAATAGTATCACTAAGAATATAAACACGGAGTTAAGTTATTTCGAAACTTCCACTCTATACATAAAGTATCAGTAAAAAAATAATTATTAAATATTCTCTGATAATTACAGCCGATTAAATATCGGTACAGAGTCCTACGGCATCAATAACGTCTTATTCTGTTTTTATCGAAAGATGTTTTTTTGTTCTTTTCCTTTCCATCGCAACAGCGTCAATAGAAACTTATAACTTTGCACAAGACATGATTGCTTGACTCATAAAGCATTCATAGAACAAGCAACATTACATGGCATAATCCATACCTACCAGTATATTTTTGATACTCAAACATTGTTGAAAATTGACAGTAGACGACAAATTATTCAGTTATTCGCGTATATTAAAGCACTCTTCGTCACAAAATCAACTTAATGTCTGATAGCAGAACTACCAGAATAGGTATAGTGTTAACTATATTTGGTTTATGTACTATACCGATATCCTTGTCCCAGCTGATTGTTGGCAGTTTATATAACAATGAATGTCCGGCGAACCAAATGATGCCAACTTTTAATATTGTTTCTGGCGTTATTGGTCTCTTTGCAGCATTACTCTTTTTGATTGCTGGTATCTCACATTTAAAGAAAAAAGACGGCAGAACATGGACAATCGTTGCTCTGATAGGTGGTTTTATAATGTATGGCGTGTTTATTCCATGGTATATGTACGGTGGAACATTAACTTCGGTTGATAAATCTGCAAAATCCCGACAAAGTACTAATTCTAGCGATAGTACTACGTACTGTATATCTTACATTCAACAATCGATCGATGGCATAGTTCTATTATATTGGATATCAATGGCAATTTTAATTCTTAGTGCATTAATATTCTTTCTGAAAAAAAGGTGATATAAAGATATTTTATTTTGTAATTTATTGAAACCTGTCGATCTGTGATTTTATTTATTTTTTTTCAAAAAATGCTTACATAAATACTGATTTTCATTTGGATTCGTGTGCCTAAAGAGCTGTGCGCCAACAATGAATTGTTGCAATGGATACTGAAAAATTCATATTAGAAGCCATTGACAAAAAAAAATCATTATTCTGGAGGTTTCATTTCAAAATATGAGATCTTAAGACTCAGTTACAATCAAATAAAAGTAAAACATTAACCTCTTGCTTCGCATATCCATTTTTCATACACCGGTTTAGGATTCGTGTCGATGTCATAAACTATTCAGCAGTGTATGAACCAAAAAGTTCATGAAAACACATTTATATGAAGGCGAAATTAATTTAGAATCAATAAAAACGAATTCGGTGTGCAAAAGAGTCAACGAAAACAACTTTTCATTCTTTATTTTAAAGAATAAATTTTTATTATTGTGAGTGATGGCGCTAGTGTGAAGCTATGTGCAAAAAGATACGAATACTTTTGAAAATACCTTTAAATTTATTGTAAACATTCCGACAAAAGAAAATCTACAAGAACGCTTCATGTCGTCCCAAATATGCAGAGTTTTAGCAAGAAGTGTGGGAACAGTTAGGAGAAAAAACAGAGATTCAGCTGACATGTAAAAGGCATCCATATTGATAAAGAAAAACAGAATTAAAAAAGATCCTAATTTTTATTATGTGTGACTTACTTCAAGAAATATTTGTAGTATATCTTAGATTTCACTTGATGAATCCAAAAAGATCGAGTAGCATCATACACTGTAGGAATAATTGAGAGAAGAAAATATTAAAAGATGGCATTCTAACAACATGGCCACTATATGCATTACTGATTTTAACGGTGGTATCTACCTTTTGATCATCGTCCACTAATAAATTGTCATTCCATTTTGTGTCTATTATAATCACAAAAAGAAGCGTTTTCTAAAAACTATGCTTTCTATTTCTTTTCTGATATCAATAGCTTGGCTATCAAATTTATACCAATCCATAACACGTTTCTTATTAACACTTTTAGAAAAAATGTTAAAGTTTTCAAGGAAGATGAATACGGGTTGATGTTAAGGAAATAATTTCACCTAGTATTTATATTATGCCATTTCCGACTGTAATTGACATCTGATTAAATCTTCGTTGTTAAAAAAAGTGTATTAAATCAAGTTTATTCATGGTTTTTGAAGTAGAAATATAATGTTATCATGAATGGTGAATGTCGTGATTCTAATCCTTACGTGCCTATTTGAGTAGGCAATCAAGTACATTCTTTTTTAAAAATTTGTATTGATATCAAATACACCATAATATCTAATATGAATATTATTTTGTCATAATTCTTTAACACTGATATACTTTTTCTGATGATTGTATTGGTGATATCAAGCCACATAACGCTACATTCAATGATTAATATTGAAAGGATAATTACATATACTTGAAATTATTGTTTCTTGAAGCTGATTTCCTTGATGTAGTTATTTAATAATACACAATTTTGTCATTCGTTTCTCTATATTATCGTATGTGACGTGAATAGTTTAAATTCTATTCAACTGCGTATAATGTTCAATCGATTCTAGACATACACAAATTGTTCTCAATTTTTACAAGTTTTAGTATTGATCAAATGAAGAAAATCATTGCAGGTAATAATTGACAAGGATATGTTACTTCTTTGATATTGTACCCGGTACTTATTATTTCTGGAGTTATAGTGTTAATTATCGACTCGAGACAATATAGGACATAATCAAAGTTAATTTTCAACCATGAATCAGTAGATTTCATTGAATAGTACTCTCAAGTTATTTCAAAGAAACGATTACTCTGCTGTATTTAATAAATTTAACTAGTAAATTGTGAAAATTTTTATCACTGAAAACAATAAATCCGAATAAATCCTTGATATTTAATGTGCTACTTTTTTTTAAAGAGTATTTTTTTCTATTTCTATCGTGTAAAACACTTGCCGATTATATTTATAATCAAACTGTAAGACATTTTTTTGGACAGTCTTTCTTTTTTTTTTTTTTATAAAAATCTATACTTTGTTCTTTTACGAAGTTGTATGAAGTGTAACGAAAAACAAAATGAATAAATTTAGACAAATAATGCCGACTAATCAGAGAGAACTATATATTGACTGTCTCTGAGTAATTTTGTCTTTTTATGTACACAATTACAAATCGTCGCTAAATGAAACAATCTTCCATTAAACATATGGAGGTGCATAAAAAAATCAAATATTCTTCTCGTCGTTGCCTTTGTCGTCGTTGTGCATATAAAGTAAGAAAAAGGTTCTTCATAAAAACAGAGATTAATTCACCAAAATACAAAGCATGTCTTCTGCACAACCCAATAATCAAAATGATGATGATTTCATTGTGGTTTGGATTGATGAAAGTGACGTTGATACAAATCATTGGGCCAGCACTCGATTCGGTCATGCTACTCATACTATTCGAACATTTGACGATGTCGAAGAATGTATTGCTTACATCCAAACAACCAAGAACGAGAGTATTTTTCTCATTATATCCGAATTATTTATTCAACAGTGTATCTTTCAATTTCATGAGTTACCCCAACTTCATTCGATCTATATCTTATCGTCACATGAATTAACATCAGACGATGACTACCCAGCAGTGCACAAGAAAGTGAGAGGTAACTATTCGGATATTCTCTCACTTTTTGAACATCTAACACAAGATATTCGAGTAGCAGAAGCTACTACTTCACCAATCAGCGTTCTTAACCCAACTTTAATATCATTCAAAGATCTAAATACACTTGATTGTTCTTTCATCTTTTCACATTTATTCAAAAATATCATGCTCGAATTTAATGATAATGTTCAATTACAACAACATTTTATTGAGTTTTGCCGAGAAAAATATGCTAAAAATAAAGGAGAATTGAAGATTATCAATGAATTTGATGAACATTATCAAAATCATTCGCCAATATGGTGGTATACAAGAGAATGTTTTCTATCCAAGATGCTTGACAAAGCTATGCGAATGCAAGACATCGATATTTTATTCAAAATGAAGTTTTTCCTTCGAGATTTACATCAACAAATCGAGCAACTGCATTCCACCATGCCGACCAATATCTTTCATGTTTTGTACCGAGGACAAGGGTAAGTATTTTTGTTATCACGCATCTTTTATTCGTAGCAATATCATTTATACAGATTATTTAACGAACAATTCGAAATATTAAAAACAAACATTCATGGCACATTGTCTTTTAATAATTTCTTCTTGGCCAATAGCAGTCATGACATTTCACTTCGCTTTGCTCAACACTCACTCGATAGAGACAATATTGTTGCTGTTATTTTTGAAATTCATATAGATCCATCTATTCGATCGACACCATTTATATCTCTAGATGGAATTGGCTATTTTCCTACTGAAACCGATATTCTCTTTTCTTTACATTCAATATTTCGGATACAAGATGTCGAATACATGAATAATCGTATATGGAACATTCGACTAGCATTGATCAGTGATAATGATCCTCATTTACGTTCGCTAACTCACTTCATACAAACCGAAATTCAAGGCTTCAATTCTATGCATTGTTTGGGATCATTTATGTTAAATATGCATGAATACAGCAAAGCCGAATATATTTTCGAACGTGCCCATAGTGAATCTTCACACAAATGTAAAAGTGAACTTGCTTTTATTGAAGATAACCTTGGACGCATCTGTTACGAAAAGAACGATTGGAAAGGTTCACTGGAACATTATCAAAAGTCACTCTGCATCAAATTGACTCCTCCGACTGACAGTGATCCCCAGTTGGCATTGACTTATGTCAATCTTGCGTCTCTATTCAAAAAAATGGATATATTTGATTCAGCGATGGAACAATATCGATGTGCACTGAACATACAATTGAAATCTTCTACACCCAATCAAGAACAAATGGCTTTGTGCTATATGAGCATTGGTGATCTACTATGTCAACGTAGCAATTTCGAAGAAGCACGTCAAAATCTAAAGAATGCTTTGAAGATTCAACTCCGCGTTCTTCCAGCTGTCCATCCTGATTTGACTAAAACGCGCAAACATTTATTTGATGTTTGTTGTTCTATGGGCGATTATCATAAAGCACTCGAACAAGCGAAAGCATTATTGCGCATTGCTCAAAAATCTTATCCAACAAATCATTTTCAACTTGCCATTGCTCACAATAATATTTCTGTTTGTTTAGATAAACTCGGACAATATCAAGAAGCACTCGAAGAAGTCGAAAAGGCGGTAAAAATTGGTCAACATACTTACCCTTTGGGTCATCCTAAAATGAGCGAACTTGAGACTTTGCTAGAGCTGGTTCGTTGGAAGAATGCTCAACTTTTTGATAATCATTAATAGAACTTTAGTACTGAATTTAGTTCGTAAATAAAATAAAATAGACACATATATGTTGACATATTCCAAACAAATTACACCAGTAGGTTTTATACAGAATGATGATTAAAACTTCAATCTTTCGAAAGATCAAAAAATATTAAACAAGACTACAGTATATGAAAATAAAACTATGAACGGTAACAGTAGACGAAGCAAGACATCACGAGAAATCCATATTTTCATAATTTGTTTTCATCTCATTGCTCTTTAATTGTTTTCTCTTTTGAATTTTGAGATTACTAGAAGTGTTCCGCTTGAATTTCGAAAATATTTTTTGGTTTCATTATGTTATCAATAATGAATGCTAAGTGAACTGATTTCTTTTCGGATTCAGTTTCAAGTCAAGACATATGATTTTTTCCAAAAACCGTTCTTTGGATTGAACGTCATTCTCATAAATTTGCTCTTCGGATATTTATTGTATTTAATTTATAGAACTTGAAGATTTTCTAAATCCATACATTGGTGGATTCAACAACACTCTTTTTAGGAAGAGAACTCTTTGTATGAAACGATGCACCGAAAGAATATCATTCAATATAATATTTAATTCATAAAAAGATAGAATATCTTTAATTTCATCTAATCAGTATTTTAACCTACTTATTCATGTTTCTGTTACGATCAAAAAAGAAAACAACTTGCTATTAGATTCTGGAAATGTTTTATTTTTATCAATAACAATATTTCTATGAGAAATAAATAGCTATTTTTAATATCCTTTTGAATTATATAATCAATTAAATGATATAGATCTTTACTTGAAATCACACCTGTTCTTTTTTTTTATAGATAATTGATTAGATTGCAAATCTGAATAAATTTATATAGACTGCTTTTTAATGGTTTTCTGCTATGAAAAAATTCAATTCGTGTTAGATCACAGCTTTTTTCAAAAGAAAATAAACAAAAAAAATTGGTTTTGTAAAATAAAATGGATTTCATTTCTGAGTTTTATCTTTGAATTTTAATGTTGTTGCTTGTATTTGTTTAGCTTTGTTTTCTATTGATAGAATATATTCAATGAGCTTAATGAAAGAAAATTCTATTTTCACTAACATTTACATTTATTCGCAATAAATGAATAATAAATTAGCATATAGAGATCACAATTAACTGTAATAGTTAAATATGGAATGTGCAGAAGCAAAACAAAATAGATACTAACTAAAATATACTAATTTTAAATAAATATAAATATAGAAAGATAGCTTTATTATTGTTCTCGAAGAGACTAATAACTTGATGTCATCGATTTTGACTATCAACATAACGAATTACGAAATCATTATTTATTTCCAAAATAATAAAATATATATATTTTAAGAGAACAGACCAAATAACTTGCAAATTCTTGCAGCTCCATCTATTTCAATATTAAGATCAACTCCATATTGTGCTTCATAACTTTGAGATGTTTTACCAAAGCCATAAAATGGTCCAGCTAAGTTTGAAAAATATAGTTTAAACAAATCGATTGTTTCACAAGCCAAGCATTTTAAATTAATAATAAAGATCGTCACGATTATTTGTTATTAAATAAGAAAGAGAATCTTCTTTGCAATAGCCAGCACATTAATATATATGTATAATTTAGTTGTTCATCAACATCAATTGGAGCGTTCCATACTGATCTAATTGTCGAAAGTATTCATGATCAGCAAACATTCATTTTGTTCAATCATCAGGAATTGTGCATTGGGATACCGTATATTGAGGATTGCCTGTTTTTAACTAGTCACTTTTGATATCATCATTTAGCCATACCGTATAGAATATTTTCATTTAAATCTTGCTGGATGATATTTTTTACATTATATTGGAGATATAGGCTAATGATTTCTTTGAACTGAATTGGCTGAATGTCATAACCACTTCCGTCGGCTACAATAAGTACATGATTGTTCATCAGGTGTTCATTTGTAAAATTTTGAATTCTCCGTTTTAAATAACATGACCAAGATCACATTATATTGATCTACTTTAGTATTTTATGAATCTTAAAAAATGGGTGTGAATGTGTGTTTGGATATAAGATATAGAAAAATATCTCATGAAAACTAATTAATTGACCTATTGGTCGTTGACACGATCAAACGATGTCTTGCTAGCATCTAATGAATAGATACTCAGTAAATATGTGTGTTAATAACGAACAAAGTTGAATGATGTCAATCGAATTGAATCAAATAGATTATCGATGACATTCACTGATTTACATATACCAAAACAAAGGTGCTATGCTTTTCTATATTAGATGATAACCTTTCGGCTCAAGTTACAGTGATGTAGTAAGATGAGAATTGACTCTCTAAAGTTTTTACTATTTCAGTTTTAAATAGGCAAAGGTCTCTCCTTCAATGTCGTCTTTACTTCAGTCAGGCATAATTAAAGCATATTGGCGTTTATTACCAATTCTGTTTCTATCATATATCATTGCATACGTTGATCGTAATAATGTTTCATTGGCCAAACTTAAAATGGTCGATGATTTACCATCGTTTCGTTATCGAACAGAAACTATATTTGGTCTTGGTCAGGCAGCCTTTTTTATTGGCTATTTACTTCTCGAGATTCCTGGTACATTAATTGTGGAAAAATGGAGTGCACGTAAATGGATTTGTCGTATCATGATTACTTGGGGTATTGTAGCTTCATTGACGTCAGTCGTCACAAAGCCATGGCATTTTTATATAATTCGTTTTTTACTTGGACTTGCTGAAGCTGGCTTCTTTCCAGGTGTAATTGTCTATTTAACACATTGGTTTCCGTCACAAGCAAGAGCACGGGCATTATCTCTATTTCTCATTGCTACACCGATTGCTCAGTTCATAAGTCCGAAAATATCCTACTATATTCTTCGAATGGGTACCATTGAAAATGGTATCTACTACAGAACGTTATTTAAATTAAAAGGTTGGCAATGGATGTATATCGTTTGGGGTGTACCATCAGTTATACTTGGTATTATTGTTCTGATTTTTCTAACTGATCGACCGAAAGATGCGAAATGGTTGAGTAGCGAAGAACGTGAAGTACTTGAAACAGAACTTACGCAAGAATTATTAGCACGTCGAACAAATGCTGGTGGACATCTAACACTATGTCAAGCACTACGCAATGTTAAAGTACTTCTTCTTGCTTTAGCATATTTTTTTATTGTAACTGGTAATTATGGTGTTGAACTCTTCTTACCAACTATTCTTCGCGATTGGTACCATCCGAGTGATCGTCTTCTGACATGGATTTTAATGATCCCACCATTGGGTGCTCTTTTTGGAATGTTACTAATTGGATACACTTCAGATCGAACGAAAGAAAGACGTTTTCACGCTGCTATACCTATTTTGATCGGTGCAATCGGGCTTGGTCTCACATTAATTCGTCATCAACCATTAACTACAATGATTATTCTTTTTACAGTAACATCGATTGGTACGAAAGCTTATCTACCAGCATTTTGGTCATTACCAAGTTTATTTTTAAGTGAATCAGCTGCTGCTAGTTCTATTGGTTTCATTAATTCAATTGGTAATATTGGCGTGTGTTTCACAGCTGTGATTGTTATGATTCTTCGTTTCGATCGACATTATCGAGAGGAACCACATAAAAATATACGACATCCAACTATCTCAAGCAATAGCAATGAGTTATTTACCAGTGAACAACAACACACAGAGCAAAGATCACTATTCATTTCTGTTTTATTTATTATTATAACGAGAGAATTGAAATAAATTTTCTTATGATTCACATATCACTGGACTAATGTGCATATTAAACAAGATAAAGTGCACAAATATATAAAGGTAGCGATAAAAATAAAAATAAATAAATTAATGAACTGGACATAAAATCAAAAAAAGCAAACAACAATAATTATCACAAAACTCTGGAACTAAAAGAAAACTTGATCATAAACAAGCAACTGAGTCAAAATTAAGAAAAATAAGATGAGTTTAAACGATAATTAAAAAAACAAAATGAGAATATATATTAGTTAGAAAATAAAGAGAATTCGCAATGACAAGATAAGCGATTACTGAATCTGACACAAGAAATAAAAGAAACCAGAATAATCACTGTTATGAACGATATTTCGTTTTTTTGTGTTTTATAGGGATAAATAAAAATAAGCTTTTTACTTTATATTCAAATCTTTACATGAGTTTTTTGAGCATTACTTTCTTGGAGTGGTTAGTATAAATAATTTTCCGCCTTTGACAGAAATAATTAAATGACTGAGATCTTTTGTTAAACAAAGACAATTGATCTGTGTTCGAAAACGAATGGTTCGAATTGTAGTCATTCTTAAAGAAGAACAAAAAATTGAATTTTACCATATGTAGAAAATTCTTACTCGAACATATCTTTAATAATAATTCTTGCAACTGCTGCTGATGCTGCATCCGGCTTTTCTTTCGACGTTGAATTATGATTAACAGCAAGTATAATATATTGATCAATTAATATCATATCAACAACATGATATTGAAATTTTCTTGTACGTACAAGATAACCATTAATTGAATATAAAAATAAATTTGTATCATCATCTTTTGTTTGCACAACAATATGTCGTTCATCCGATAGTTTTAAATTAACAATTGGATCGTTACTAGCATCAGTGGGTCGTAATGTACGTACATAAATTCCATGTTCAATTGTATAAATATTACAGGTACCATCCAGTGAACCCGAAATCACAAGATCAAGTTCAGATGAAATACAAACACATGTTATTTCAGAAATGTGACCATAGAGTGTTCTTGATGGTGTCATTATTGATGTTGTATCTTGATCATTCATATTTATCATACGTCCATTATCATCCGAAGACAAATACCAAATAACACAAGTTGTATCTCGTGAACCAGTAACAAGAATATATCCCGTTGAATCTAAAGCTAAACATGTTATAACATCTGTATGATGAACAATGGAACTGATTATTTTTGATTTAAGCAAAGAATAAATGCACAAAGACCAATCCCAATAGCCACCACTGAATATAAATTTACCATCATTTGAAACAGCAAAAAGATGTGAAGTTATATTGACTGAAGATGCAAATGGTGTAAATTTAGTAAGTCGATTTCTATAAAAAAAAAACAGTTACAAAACAAAATACTCGTAAATAAACACTTCATGGATTATATTTACCTTTCGAATTCTAATGCTGGATCTCGTTCAAATGTAAAGATACCATTTGATGATTTATCATATGAATGCCAACCTAGTTCATTTAAAATAGAAAAAATATATTTGAAACAAATTAATAATAAAATCAACATACCATTATTTCCAATAACACCCTTTGTATTTATTGTTATAAGCATATCGGGTGCACCTTGTTGCATGAATGATCGAATTGGGTTTTTCGGAATAGAAATAAATATAATGGGAGTAAATAGATTTTCATTTGTTGTTGTTAATTCAACAAAAAATGCTTTTATATGACTTATATTTTGAATTAAATTCAATGGTCGTCCTTGCATTTGTAAATTAAATGTTGCTTGTTCACGTGTTTGTCGTTGTGAATGTGGTTCAGTAAATAATTGAGATGGAATTCGTCCAAAATTTTGTATCATACCAGCAATAGCTTCGCGTGTTACACAATCATCGATAGTATCAGTATCGAAAACTTTTTCATATGAATAATACATAAATACATTAATTGCATCTATAGCTGCTTGTCCATTTTGTTTATAACCAAAAATAAGATCAATCCATTCATGAAGATGTGCTGATACATAATCTGATTCGAGCGCTAAACGGTGTAAACGAATAAATTCTTCTGGTGAATTATGGGCCCATGGTGGCAGTTGAACATCATTTAATTCTTGATTATTAGATTGAAGTTTTCCTAAATCAAATCTATTCGAATTTACGAGAAATTCGGGTAGATAAAAAAATTCCGGTATCAATTCTTTTCCATCATTAGGTGAATCCATTATATTTGTCCATGATGATTGAAACGAATGAAATTGTCGATCTGCTATGTCAAATCTAAATAAGATTGAATAAAATATTTCCATGTACAACAACATTCTTCTTCTTACTTTCCACTTTGTAATTGAATATGTAAAGTAGTAAATGGTTCCATGCGAATAAGATAATGCATCACACTTGCTGCATTTGAATAATGTGTACCATAATGAAATTTTCTTATCAAACCAGATGGATCATCAAATGATTCATATCTATTAAAAATTAAGAAATTAATTTTATTTATTTAAAAGAGAAAAAAGAAAACTGTTTTTCTAATCTATAAAAGTAATGTTGCTATGAGTGAAGCTTACTTTGATTTAACTTCTTCAATATGTTTTGGATTTTGAATTCCAATTGGTTTTGAAAAATCTCGAAAAACATTTGGATTATTGATATCTAATACTTGTGATGTATAATCTTTCAATACCCATGGAAATATTGGATATTGATTTAAATCATTATAAGTGCGTCCGGCAATTGTATTCAACATCATTAAGTAATCAAAATTTGATAGTTCATGCGTAAGCCATTTTTGTGTTATTTTTGATTCTTTTAAAATTTCGGATGGTATCATTGTTGTTCCTAAACTTGAGAAAAGACTTATTGTTGATGGTAATTTGAATGACATCAACTTTTGAATGATTTTTCGACATATTCTTTTGTCATAATTTGCAAGATTTTTATCAAAATTTAGAAGAAAATTTGTTTGATTGATAAGAAAAAATTCTAATGCTGTCGGACGTAAATTATATCGGCGTAAAAGAATATCTTGTAGCCATGATAATGGATATTTGAAATTATTTTGACAAGATTTTGATAGTGTTAAATCAAAGAAATATACAAATCTATCTGTTATTATAAATTCACCATCTGCTATGGATGTTGAAGTTATTAAAGAGCATTTTGTTCCAATAAGACTATTTTCACAAGAAAAACAGTACAAATCGATTATTCATTTTTGTAAACTTACATATTTTCTTTTTCTTCCAAAAAATATAATTTACTTTCATTTGAAGCATAGAAAAGTTCATGTTCATCAATCCCATTTCGTTTTTGTTCGATTTTTGAAGTTGTATTTGAAGTATTTTGCTGAGTTTGATCTATTGTAATAATACTTAAGTTATCACGTAATCGACTTGATTCTTCATGATTACTGAAATAATCATTTTCAATAAGTTTACATCTCATTCGATGAGCATTCTCGCGATTCGACAACATCCAGTGACGTTCTTGAATATTTTTATCATTTAAATATAGACCACGTTCACCATAGAGATATTTCTTTCGATTGTTCAATTCATTCTCAACATAGATTTGATGAATGCGATTTTGTTCCTTTAATTTTAATGTTCGTTGATCATCGAAATGACGGCGTTGATACCATGGTTGAATAATATGATTCTAAAAAAAATATCTTTCGATTTAAAAATAATTTTCAAAAAAAGTATCGTTTTTACTTGAAATTTAAATTTTTCTACTTCAATTTGTCGATTACGTTTCTGAATGCCTATATTCATCATTTCATGACACTGATTCCACCAAATTTTCATATTCATCTGAAATGGTTTTACAGACATTGATTGATAATGATCAGCATACGGTTCAGTAATATTTTGAATAAATTTTTGCCATTCTTCATGATTTGTTGATGAGATACATTGACGTAAATCATCTAATGTTGTAAATTTTCTTTGACATCCAGGAATATTCGATAGGAATAAGTCGATTTGTAATAAATTCGACGATTTATCCATAATTATTTTCATTAATGATAATAGATATGTATAATGTTCAGAATCCTCAATATTTGAAATTGTTGAAAGCATATTGTTAACATTTGATAAAAGATAAGCAGCTTCTTCTCGTCCATTTAACGGACGACAATTTAATAATGAATGAATACGAATGGATGCTTGCCGACAAAATGATGCATTCGAATGAGTAAGAAGAATGAGAAGAATATGAAGACCAGTTAAATATGTTTCTGACCAATAACCATCAGACGATCTCCATACACTTATTGATTCACTATCCATACGACCGTTTTGAAATAAAAGCATTGTATCAAGTATTGGAATGATTCCTTTCGAACAAAATCAATAGAACAATTGCTTTATTTTATTACAAAATTAGAATTACCATTGACAATATTCTCAGTTATTCTTTCGCTATTATCTGATGATTGTGAAAGAAAATCATAAACAAGTTTTATTAATTCATGGCAGTTGATTTCAAAAGCTGGTGTTTGTTTACCTAAAATTGAAAGTAATTTCTTTAAGAAAAAATCAAAGCAAGCCCAAAAAAAAAGAAAATGACAACATTCAATGATTAACACTGACAATAGGATACAGTATTTATACATATAGAGTACTTACGTATATTACTGAAACTAATACGACGATGACCTAGATGAGATCATAGTTAAGAGTTACTTTTATACTTTTGTAGGAAGAAAACGATAAAATAAAAACAAAATAAGTTAAAATTGTGTACCTCCATCTAATTTGAGATCATTTAAACAGGCTTCCATACTTAGTTCTAATATACGTCGTTCAATATAATCTAATGGTAAATACAAATCGTATTGGCGATGAAGATGACGAAGTGCCGAAAATATTTGGCCACGATTCTAAAAGAAAAATGAATGATTAAAATGAAACATGAATTTCAACAAGATACAAACCACCCAAGCAGCATTATCACAATCGTCAATTCCTTTCCATACAATCATAACAATTACTAAGATTAATGTTTCGCACATTTCTTCAAGATTGCTATCGTCATCACTATTGACAGATGAGCGAACATTAAATGTTGAATCTTCAACATTGCTTACACCTTAAAAAAAAGAAAAATATACACACATTACTTTTGTTTATTCAATTTATAAAAAGTATTTGCTAAAATTTTAGTTGGACTCAAATATCAATTAAACCGACCCAATTCTGTATTTCCTAGGATTAACGAAGCATTATTTTTTTCCGATTTCAGGAAAAGTTAATGAAGACTTTAATTGACGGTATAAGCCTCAATAATAAGCCAATCTTGAAACTTTCTAAGTATAAAAGAACAAAACCATCTACGCCTGGTTTTTTCTATTACAAAATTATAAAATTGTACCCTACTTGTCATGGTAGTTATTCGTGGTAATGATGACGATAAATCACTGTTGTTCGAACTCATTTCAGAAACAATGCCATTTAAATTCTCTGTTTTAAGCAATAGCAGATCTTCTCTACTTGAAAAACTTGATTGCGACGGTGTCATTACTTCATTCGAAAATAAGTGCACATCAATATTTTCCTCTTCTTTATTATCTAAAAGAGCTACCGATGTATCAAAACAATTTGATATTAAGGAATTTTCTAAAGATGTATTTGTTAATTTTGAATTTAAGTCCATTATTGTATTAGCAACTGGTGATAAATTCAAATTTTGATCGCGTGTCTCTTGTGATGGATCCTCTGAACTTGATTCTATATCAAATATTGATATTGGTGTCAAGTTTATATGTTTATCATTGATATTTTCAAGATCGGAACTACTTTGTCTTGAATTAAGATCTTGACTGATTTTGTATGTTGATGAAACATTATTGGATACGACTTCATCTGGTAATAGTTGTACTATACTCGAACGGCGAGTTTTAACAAAAAAATTAGCTAATGTTTCTTGCCATCCATAACATTTAGCATAGCATTGACACGCAGATGGTTGATTGATAAAATATGTAATTAGCTATATTTTAAAAGAATGATATCACTAAAGAAATTAAACTAATTTAATGCTTTTGCGCTTTTCTTACCGTACGCACAGCTATACAACGAACACTCAAAGATGCAGCACTACAAAGTGTTAAAATAATATTCAGATGATGAATAGCAATCATTGAATCTTAAACGGAAAACAAAAACAAAATCCTATTTCTATTTCTATTTCTATTCTCTAATCGTAACATACTAGAGGTAATAATTAAATTAAGAATTTCTTGAATCATCGATGAATCTAATTCGCTCTGTGTCATTCCAGAGATAATACCACCAAATCCAATATTTTTTGTTTCTAATCGTAATTGAGCTCGTACTTGTTCTGGTACTCGTTTAGATTCACAAAAATATTTCATTATTTTCAAAACAATTTCTTTTGTTTCACTGGATAAAGTATTTACAACTAACAGAGAATACAATCCTTCAGCCATGTTGGGTTTACAGAGAAGTTCAATTATTCTTTCAGTCATTATTGATGATGTTTCAAGTAAGACTAGAATAACATCAAGTAGTTCATGAGTAAGCGTATCATTTGATAGCGATAACGTTGATATCGTAGAGAGAAGTGCATTTAAATCTTGTATACGAATAGAACTTTGAATAAAATATTTAACTATTCCATAAATAGAATTACGTAATTGTTGTTGTTCATCTGTATCGTCTCTAAATAAATCCCAACAAAATAAAATTTAGTCAATTCAATGAAGCAAAACATTTTCATATTACTTAAAATGTTGTTTAACAATATCTAAAAAATACTGTACACCAAAGTTTTCTTGATTAAATTTTTTATTATATTGTATAATTATTGATAAATACTGTAAATGTAACAGTCGTACATGAAATGTAGATTTATTCCATAAATTAAAATCAAATAAAATATATTGAATTAATTGATCTGTTAATAAATAGGATGAATCTATACATTGACTTGATTCAATGAATTGTTCAATGGAAACTAATAACTGTTTGTCAATAAAGCACGGTGAAATATTTATTAAATATTTTCCTAATAGTTCAATATTGTGTTGTTTGGTCATTTGTTCAATTAAAATCTTTGCCGACGAAGATGATAGAATACAACGAATCAAATAAATTATTGATGCTATCGGATTAGAATATAACTGTGCATTGATATTCGATGAAGACTTCTTTAAATCTTTACATTCAGTTGAGAGTAAGATGTTTTCTGCGTCATCGTAATCATTTTCTTGGAACAATTCGATCAATGGATAAAGTATTGGACAACCACCTAAATTAAGGATTGATTGAGAAAATGAATGAACACGTAAACATAAACCATTGATGAGTCGACCATTTAATCGAGAAGAACTGCCTGATATATCAATGCATGTGTGGCCATTGCATGCTAATGGATGGTACGCTAGCAATGAATGAGTTAAAAGAAGATCAAATATAGTTTCCGATTTTGAATTATTATCACGAAACACCGATGAATACGATTGCCGACAAAAATCACTACCTAAAATAAAGAGAGTTCATTAAGAAAGAAGAAAATACGTCCATAAGAACTCATAAGCAGCGAATCATAGTGGCTTCACAAGAAGTATGAAGTCTAATGTTTTCTCGCTGTCTCAATGTTTCTAAGCTTGCTGTATATTCTAGTTGATTACCCATAGTATGCAAATGCTTTACGTGAACCTCATCTAATGTTTCCGCTAAGATCCAAACACAAGCTAATTGTCCAAATAAGCAAGTTGATGGACCAAATATCGTGTCTTCAACATTTGGATCAATAATTATGACATTTTGTGAATAAAGTCCATGACTTTCCTTCCGATTATTTGAATTTTTCGTTTTCGATGAAAGTAATCCTTTTAACGGTTGTATTGATTTGACGATTGTTGTTGATAACGATTCAGTCTTCATTTTTAATACTGATGATTTTGGACGTTGACTTGGTGAACCAATTGAGGCTAAATCAATTGAGTCATTTGGAAATGATATATATTTAAAATCCTTGATTTCTTTTCTTATTAAACCATCAATATAAATAGTTAAATGGCATAGTTGAGCTGTTTGAAATGCTGAACCAAATAAAGATGGTCGTAGTGCTTTATGAACAATTGTTAGCGAATGCCAACAACCATCAATTAAATCATTACAATCATTTAACTCAATATAAACAAGTTCACGGTGATCGCTTATCGATACGAATAGTGATGAACTACGTATAAATGCTTCTAAACCCATCGAATCCGAGTAGAACGAATAGATTTGACGACGTCCTTCAAATGGATATGAATGAACTTCATGATTAAGTTTCAACCAACAATGAAATGAAAAATGATGAGCTGGTGATAATGATGACCATCGACGAATAGTCGGCAAAATAATTCCCTAAAGTTCAAAAACAAATGCATTTGAATTTAAACCAGAAAAAGAAGACGATTCAAAGTTTTTTTTACACTATTTGCTTGTTGTAAATCGAAATAAGATGAAGTACATTGTACATCTGGATCATCATGTTTAGCTGATTTTATTAAAAATTCTAATAACTGTTTTTTAAATAATGAATTTCGATGAAATAATTGGCATGTATATCGAATTTCTTGTGGACTTATTGAAAATCGAGATAAATTTTCTAATAAGAAAAAAATATCAACTAAAACGTTTTCTTCGAGTTTATTTGAATTCTCATCAGTATTATTTAATATTTGAAGTAAAGCAAGAATAATCCCGTTTGAACAAGCCATCATTTTATTTTGTAATGAACGTAATACAATTTTAGTTATTGAAGATATAATATATTGTTGAAATGATGCATCAATTAAATACGGTATCCAATGTATAAGTGACACAGTAATATGTGGGTTAATAAAAATAATATAGGAGTCCATTATTGATGCTAATGAATGGCCACTTCTTTGTAATGTTGATTTTTGAATCATAAGAATTAATAATTGATCAATAAAATTGTTGGTTACTGAATGTATATAACGAAGTGAAGAAAAAAATTTCTCATAACCATTAAATTTGAGGAATTTTTCTTGAACATTTTCAGAATTATTTAAAAGTTCAGTAATAAATTCTAAAATTGATATTATATTATCTGCATTATTATTTAATTTTTGATAAATTGTTTCTAAACAATTTGCTTTGAGAAATTCTATTTTTAATGCTGCACAATCTTGATAATCATGTAGAAGACATGTTAATATACGAAATAAATTTGATTGTTGTGGTTGAATAGATTGGAAAAATTCAGTCAAATATTCAGTCAAATCAATCAATCTATGATCAATTGTCATTTGGTGAACTGCTCGAATTGTACTTATTATTTGATCAAGATTTTGTTCGTCGATCAACATCGTTGTTCGAATTTTTCAAGGCGCAATAAAAGATACAATATCACAGATCTAAAATTTAAATTTTATCCATTTTATTTTTTCTCATTTGATTTGGCAAAAAAATAGATGAAAAAAAGGAGAATATTTATGTGGTTTTTCAAATTATGAAATGACACAAAAACATGTAAATTGTACTATCTTGACGATTCTAGTGTTATTATTGAACTTCGTTGAATATTTTCATTTTCGATATCTTTTCGATAAACTGAAGCAATAAATCATCTTTATTTGTAAATTGATCTTCTACTAATAATCCATTCAAGCAATCTGATTGTATACGAGTATGCCCACGATGTTGTGGTTCACGCCATTCTTCTCAAAAATGAAAACGATTCGTCTCTAGAATAGCGTTTAACTCCATTACTTCCAATAAACGATGTATTTCATGAATTGTTTAATTATCTTTTGTGTTCAGCTTTTTGCGTTTATATCAACTGAACGAATACAGACATAACGACAGAAATGAGCATGTGCTGCAACATTAAGAAAAATGCTTATGAATTACAGTAACGCTGAGATAATGGCATATAACTATTTGCCATCTAAAAGAACAAAAATGCTCTCTGCCTATCAACTAAAGATGATGTATTTCAAACAAACCGACAAGAAAAAAAACAGACATTCACATATGAGTGCGAAGAAAAAATTAACAAGTACCGGAAGAAAATAAGCAAGAAATATAGATGCTTCATAGATCATTATATTTGCATTCTCTACTATCAGTTTCAAAAAGATGCACAGATAACAAGATGTTTCATGTTTACAGAGGAAATTTCGGAATGAATAATATTTAATATTTTCCTAACAGAATAATATATAAAAGTAGAAAAAACAAGAACATCAAGAAAAACAAAATATTTGTATGTGTTATCATGTGAAGATTTCAATGCACAAAATAAGTAATAAATGACCCTTATCACAGAATGATACACATACATGTACACAAGGAAGTTTTCTTGTTTTTATGATCATTAAAGTCTAGTGATTATTATTTGATGTATGAAAAGAACAAATACTAATAGAAAAGAAGAATGCACCAAACAAGATGACGAATTGTCGTTTTGGTCATAATAGCGTGCAGATTGATCTTCTAAATTTGAAATAAACGAGAATTATAATATTTTTCTTTTACGAGAAAAACAAAAACTATTTACTTTTAATTCGATATGACCTAATAGCTGTAGTGGATCCTTTTATACATGAATAATCTATTTTATCAAGAGTTTCATTGAGAACTGTGTGAGTAACATGAAACAGTATGAGTGATGCATTACAAACATCAACATTAAGATCTGGACGATTTAGACGACATACATCTGTGATATCGTCAAACATAATGAGAATACCAGACGGTCTTACAAGACCTGTTTTAACCGATAAATAAACAGGTTCAAATTGTGACGATGATAACGGTGCTGATGATGTTGATTGTAATATTTCACAACGAACTTGAATGCGTTCAGTTGCAGCACCAGCACTTGGATAGATAGATAGTTCAATAATTGGACTTTCATTCGTAGAACGATTTGGTAGATCAATTTTAGATGATGCCAAATCAATGAAAGATATTAAAAAGCACACTACAAATAGGAAATTACTTTTACTTCTTTTGAAGAAAATATAACAATGGATTGTGAAATACATGAAGAGGAAGCCGATGACTTAAGAATTGTTTAGTATGAATTTGTCAATAACTCGACTGATAATATATCATAATTTAACAGATCAAAGCAATAGTTGGTTGGTATTATTTTTTCTTTTCTCATATAAAACAATTATATACGAACAATGCCACGTTCTACGTTACTCATACTACAAAATGAAGAGATAAACGAAACAAAAACGCAAATACTACTTATTGTATGACATATTTATGTCTACGTGCTTTTCTAGTTATAAATATTTAGAATAGGAATTAAATGCGTTTATCGTTAAGCTTTATCTCTTGAGAATTCGATACAATAACTGAACGATTAATCTCAAGTGAAGAGATTCTTATGTTAGTCTTTGCTTGTATTCAAAAACAAAAAGGAAACAAATGTCGACTTACCATGGAATAAATGTAGTTGCAACGATGATGCCATTTCGTCGACAATGGCGCTCGCCGCGTTCTATTAATGAATGATTAATCTTCTAGAGAGAGAAAAATCAAAGTAGAACTTATCTATTTGTCTCTGACATTTATGCAAATGACCCGTCAATATGTATAGATGTGTTTGGGGTACATTCGCACATATCATTAAAAATCAACGCATGCTGATTGACTGCTGTACACGTACCATAGATTTCCTCTATAGGCACCATTCTTTCAAATTTACTAGTCTATACACTAAGTATGAAACCTTTGAAAAATGAATATATATAGCTATGTTTTTCTTTTTTTTACTACTGAACATTGGTTAAGAATAATGAGTGTTCAAGTTTACCCGTGCGACAGAGCAGAAGTAACGAAGCGACGTGCTTTCAACAGATGTGTATAGGCATAAGACAATTTGCAAATGAAAGCAGATTGCATAAGACTTTTTCTTCGTTTTATTCTCTCTGTGAATGTATTATGCCTTTTTCACACTTATATATCCCGTCTCCAAAATGTTAACTAATGCAATAATCAAGTGGGGGAGGGAGCTTTACTGAAGGGCAGGCGTGCACATCAAATTGAACGACAATGAAAGAGAGAACGATAAGAAAATGAAAAGAGAGGGACAACGCCAGTAGATTGAATGCTTAATAGGAGCAATGGCCCATTTTATTCTGAAGAGAAGAAGTGCATGCCCCCTCATACGGATTCATCCTGTTATTCGTTACTTTGTAAATATGTATACAAATAGGATGCTAAGCAACCGTCACCGGATTATATTCAATAGACAAATAAACGATTGGAACAATCAATACAAAAACAAAAATGTAAATAACATAGATGAACATGAAGAAAATTAATCAATGACAATTAAACAAATCTACGTTCATACAGTAGTATAACTCACAAAATGAATGACATTCGTCAGATGACGAAGTATTTTCTAGATTAATTGGTACATACAACAGAAATGAGAGAAGATTAATGAGTATTTATGCAAGAAAATATGTATGTTTTACAAGTTTATGTAATAGATGATAAAGAAGCAAGAACTATATTGTATAATCATAGAAATACTAACTAATTATAAAAATCTATAACGTCAAAACAAAGTGAACTTAATTCGCTAATGTATATATTAATCTCCTTGATTGTTTCACTCAAAAAATCAATGGAATTTGTTTTGTCAAGTCTCTCTATTGTGATATTTTTAAAAACAAAAAATGTAAAAAACATACATATTCAGACGACTGATAACTGTCTTACTATGATATCGTTAAAAAGCTATGCATATTATATAAAGAATGTTATTAATGAAGTACAGGAACAAAGTAAAAAGAAAGCTAATGTCTTATATACGTAGACATACACAATGAAAGAAAAAAAATTGACCACTTAAATTTCATAGATTGGTTTAAAAAAGTAACCAATTAAAAATAAACTTACCGCGGCCGCTACGTTTTGAAGATGTTCAGAGATTCGGTTATGTGATATATAAGCATTCAGCATAAGTTACGAAATTTCAAAATAAATTTAATGTCAACTTGCACATATTATTGTTTCAATTCTATGAATAGATATATATATGCTATGTATTGAAAATTTAAATTCACATTGAATTACGAAAAAACTTCTAGTTTATTTATACTCAGTTCAAGTATAATATATTTCATCACTAATACAAGATAGTATACCAGATGAATTGTGTGTACGCGATTAAATCAGTATCAACGATGAATTTTGATATCATTTTTTGTTTGATTTCTGCAAAAAAAAGATTGCTCAAATATTCAAAATGCTGTGATTAATTTGTTGAGTGTTTTAACTAATTTTTTTTCTTTGATTCACATATATTGATTATACAAGAAACCATTACTATTTTACTCTGACTTTGAGTACCATCTAAAAACCCCTAGTAAGATCAGTCAAGAAGAAGCATATTATCAATGCTAAAGTCCTATTGGTTGGAAGCATTAACCGATTACAATAAAAAGTAAATAACACAATTTGTACTTTAACTTCGAAAAGAAAACTTAAACTTCAATGAAAATCCTCTTAAAAATAAAATCTAAGTTATAGATATAAAAATTATAGCTGTTTCGTAATCATTCAATCAGTGTCAAGTTCACAGCTGACAGAATCAGATATGACTCATTCGTTTATTCTAGTTTATTTTTGCCTGTCATTGGCATTCGGTTATCTTCGTTTTTTCTTTCATAAAGCTAAGCAAGATATTCAATTACGCCTTTTTTCAATGAAATTCTGTTAAGTGAACCCAGAAATACTTGTACTGAAGTGCACTACTAAAAGTACGATGTATTTAACCTGACGTTGATAGTGGTGAACTTTGATAGACAACATCTTTTTGAATGATTTATGTCATAAAAACTGGTAGTGAAAGTTTTTTTGTTTGAATATTGGCGACTAGCATATTTCAATTATTCATAAGTAAACTATTTCTTAGAATTCTTGAATTTTAGCTCGTTCATTCATATTTGTAGATTATTTGTTACAAAAAAACAAACTGTTGTATAAATAAAGATTTACACGATGACATAAACTAAATAATATTCATCATAGGTTAGAACAAAAAGAAAAAGAAGACTCGCTTTTTTCTCATATTCATATCAGTTCTTAACTACATTCATTAAGTGTATGTACGTTTTTATTGAAAAAATTAAACACGAAATTAATCACTTTTGCTAAAATACTAATAGAAATCAAGATGAAATTGTTGATAAAAGGTTTAGATTAAAATTCATATCGAACCATTGAAAAGACTTGTTCAATATGATGCATACAAATAGAAAATTGAATTTTCAGGATTTTTTCATAATATTTATCAGTATTAGAAATAGTAATTTTGAAGATTTATATGTGTAATAAATTTTGTTGACTTGATTTTAACGATTATTTTTAGAAATTATTCTCATCTCTCTATTGAGATGGACTTCGATATTGATGCCGTACTTGATCAATTAGAAAAGACACGTAAATTAATTTTTTTCATTCTTTTTTTGTCTTACATGAAATCTTTTGTCTTTGTTTTCTTTTTCCCCATTAATTTCAGTCAATCAATCGGATCATGAAGATAAAACAACAGAACAAATTATTCAAACGCCTTCGTCTTCTTCTACTTTAACAAAATCAGTTGATGATTTACTTTTACTTGATCTTGATCCTCTTGGACATCCAGAAGATAATGATAATAATCAAGAAAACGATGATAAACTTGAGCGTATTAAACAGGACCTTCAAGAATTGTATGCATCATCAGTTGTAATTGATACATCATCCGTACCAATACCTATTCTACCTGATCTTATTGGTCAACAAGACGAATTATCATCAACACCATTACCATTAGCTGTTGAACAACTTGAACTTGAAGTGCGACAAGAAGTTTTACAGCATACTCTTGAACAGACATCTTCTTCATTATTATCACCAGATATAACAAATATTTCGAATAGTCACCATGATGATGAAAAAGAAACGGCTATATTTTCAACATCATCAATTTCGGATGAAGAAGAACATCATCAACGAGAACTAGAAGAAAATTTAACGTCTTCACCGGACAATGAAGCAACAAAAAGATTAACTAACTTTACATTTCAAAATGAACCTGATCTGATTCAACATGAAACATCCTCAACGCAAACACAGTTTGTCTTACATAGTGTCGATAGTATTGTAAATGCGCCGATGGGATCTAATCTTGACGTAAGAAGAAACTGTTGTAGGTTTGTTTGAATAATCTTAATCAATATTTTTTCTCACTAGGATTTTATCGTGTCCAGTTCACCGATGAGTGAAATAATGCCACTTCAGCTAACTTCTGATGTTTTCTTTACATCATGTGATGATAATGAAGAAAAATCAATACAATTACCATCTGAAGATCTCATAGTTGAATCTTCACTACGTTCTTCTCCTTCGAATAATGTCACAAACACTGCAACTACACAAGATTTTGATCTTGTTAAAAATGTCCTATCGGAAATATTTGATAAAAATGATGAAGAAATACTTGACGAAAATCCTATTGAAGAAAAAGAATCTGAGTTAGTCAATATTGAAAAACATGATATGTCTTCACCAACAATGCTTTCACCGTCGTTATTGAATACAAATAATGATGATGATGACTTTCGTTTTCTTGATGATATGCTTGCAAGTATTGATGGTCATGATACTGATATTCATCAATTAACTTCAGCTGAAATTGATCGTGTTGACAGTTTACTTAAAGATATCGTTAATTCACATAAAAGAGAAGCAGCAGAGACACCTCCTAATGATATCGAACCTTGTCCACCTCCATCTCCTCCTCTTTCTGAACAAGCATCAATATCACCAAATGAATTTTCTGGTTTACAAATAGCACAGTCAGTAGCAGCACCTGTCGATGAAGAACTCATTCGTGTTGAACAAGAATGGGCGGAATTAACTGAAGCAGAGAAAACACTCGGTTCAGTTAAGCCCGAATGGGTTAGTGATGAGCTAGCAACTGGATGTACGAAATGTACTGCAAAATTTTCAATAACTCGTCGTCGGCATCATTGTCGAGCTTGTGGAAAGGTTTTTTGTTCGACATGCTGTTGGCAAAAAATTAAATTAATTCACAATGATAGTAAAGAAGATCGAGCTTGCAACGATTGTATTAAAACTATAAATCATGGTATTTATCTTTTCTATTCTTTTTCTATGATTTATTACTAGTTTTGATTTATTGTTATAGTTGAATACTTATGGAATTATAAGCGTAATAATCAAAAACCTCGGTCATCTGTATTACGCAAAAAGACAGGTAAGAATTGAAATCATTATCATGATTATCATTACACATTCGATGTTGTTGATGGAATATTTTTTAAGAGTGTTGTTGGATCAGTTTTATATGGAACTGTATAATATCTTTAAGAAATTAGTATTTACATAATTATAGTACTTTATACATTTAAAATCACTTACTCATAAGTCTTATTTGCTTCTGGTATAAAACCAGTTGGATTCGAATTTATATCTTTTTTCATTGGAAATATCAATGACGATTGTTTCGTAGAATCTAATCTATCATCTATATTTCTGTTCGATATTTCTTCTTTAACATTAATATCTTTTTTATTTTGCTTATATGATGAAATAGGTTTTGAAAATGAGATCATATTTAGATTATGATTATGATCATGATCAGGACAACAGTATTTATCATGATATTGTTTTTGCGTACCGCTTAAGATCAATTTACTATTGTTAAAAATATAGAGATCATCAAGATTTGCTTTTGGTTTATGATCTAAACGTTGACCTTTGTACATAATAGTCTGATGACATTTTGGTACTTTCGTAAGTTTTTCAATTTCATCTAGTACATGGTCAACTTGAATTCTATTAGTTTTATTCGATAATAAAAGTTCGTAAAGATCAGAACCGTATTGAATTTGTAATTTAATATAGTGAGAGGATATTGGATCAATAGTAGAATTATTCTTATTGAACGTAGTCATTTTGCTTAAATTTCTTTTGTAATGAAAAGAAGAGCTGTGATGGCGCCAGATCAGATTTATCCTCATTACTTTTGTCTTGAGAGAGAGAGAGGTAAAAAAACATGTAAAAAAATTGAGAAAAATCTTTGTTTCTGTTTTCTTTTTAAATTTTTTATTCAATCACTCTTTAAAAAAAACTGCATATGAATGCTTTTTTCATGTAATGTTCTGCACATTTTTATTTACATGGCTTATTTTATTGGGATAAAAGATTGATTGGATGGATCACAAGAGCAAAAGCGCATAAGTTGATGTAGAAATAGAGAAAATATGATCTGTTCAATTAGAGTTGTCTATATGTCATATTATTAGATTTAATTTGTTCGATTTCCTGTAATCATTGCTTCATATCGTGCTTTTGTTGGATCACCAATTAATCTAACTTGAGCATTATTATCAATGCCAGCATCGCGTAATGTGCTTTCTTTCTGATTTTGTAATTCATGTCCACGAAAATAGAGTTTTTGACGTTGAACAGGAACATTTGTTATACGTTGTAATTCTTCCATTAAATCAGTAATACGTAGATTATTTGCACTACGCAAAATAATAACATGTCGATCGGAGCCTGAAAAAGAATATTTGATTCAAATACAATTTTCTCATTAGATAAAAAAAATTTTTTTTACCATGAAATACTTCTATTTTAAGGACATCTTGATTATTACCATTTTGCATAGGATCATTGATAATGTTTGGATTGTCTAAACGCCTTTTAAATAGAAAGAAATCATAAATAAGATTTTTAGATTAATCTACAACTATTATTCTCTCTCTCTCTCTCATTCTATATAATTCTCTATTGTTCTAATTACTTACATCAATGATATATCAGCAGGACCTCCAGTGCCACGTGGCAACTGAGATCCATCTCCATACATCGTTGGTGGCATTTGTTGTCTTGCTGAATAATATTCATTAGGTGGTGCTTGTTGTTGTTGTTGTTGTTGATTATTCGATGGTTGACCTCGATACCAAAGTGAAATCACTGAATTATTACCAATTCCAAGTGTATCAAGTGGAGCATCAGGTGGATATTGTGCCAAAGACATTCCATTATAAGTAAGATTCTGATCAAGAATTGGTATATTGAAACGCTGTTGTAATTCAAATTGTAAATCATAAATTGTTATTGGATGTGGTCGACCAACGACAAGACCTTCAACTCGATCAACGAAACTAATTTGTAAATTAAGAATAAACGTAGGAGCAACAGGAGCTGCTACATTTGGATTTGTCAATTGTTGATAATAGTTAGCACTAGAACATAAGATTGATTAGTGAAAAGAAAATAGCAGGTCAAGTTAGGGTTAAGGTGTCTTTTTTCCTCTGAAAAGCAAAAACGAAAGCAGAATGAAAAAAACGATAATGTCATATGTTGGACAAGAATCAAGCTGCCTTAAGCAATATGATATTAATGAACGGAAAAGTACATCAGTAAAATCTATATGATTGAAATATGAGCTATTGAACACTTACGGACAATGATGACAAGAACAGTGAAAATTATTATAATGTTTATAAGTGAATTTGTAATGAGAATAGAAGCTCAATTTAGTTGGAAGCAATATTCTCATGCTATCTTCTATATTTAAACTATATTAATTTCAAATGTCTTCTATTTATGTTGAAGTCTTTTAGTAGACAAGAAGAATTGTACTTTTCGCTCACTTTTTCTCAAAGACACAATAGAAAATGATCTGGAATATAAAAATATCTAACCGTGGAGCAGTAGTTCCAAATTGTTGTTGTTGTTGTTGTTGTTGGTCATACATAATTGGTGCATTCGAATAGGATGGTTGCTGTTGAAATTGAGGATAAAATTGTTGTTGCTGTTGATAAATATCATTTGATGATGAATATTGCTGATCAGATGTAGCAAAAGAACGTAATTCGCGTCGTCTATCTTGTTGTGCTGGATCATCTGCTCGACAAACACGCATTTGATGATTAGTTTCAATTCCTAATATTTCTAAAAGTTCATTTGGTTTTTCACAAATATTTCGTCCCTAGAATGAAATAAAATTTAAAAAGAAACAAATAAAATTATTTACTAAATCATTAATATTTTATTTACCTTCCAGTAAAGAATAATTTGATCAAGAGGCATTTTGAATACCTTTGATGCATCTTCTTGAATATCACGAACACGTAAATCATAATTACGTTTAACAATGATTGTTTGTCGATCGGAACCATAAGCCGCTTCTATTTTAATGACTTTACGATCTGGACGGCGAGCCATTTTCTTTAGAAATTGAAATTAGAAAAAAAAACAATAATTTAGCGAAAGAAAAAAAAGTAATTTATAGGGTATCCTACGTGATCAGAGGAACTTCGTCTATCTTCGCTGAAAAGCATGGTGCGGCCTCAGGGAGTGTTTATGTGTATATGAATATTTGATAAGTGATATCACTACTAACGGTTTGACTTTCATTTTCTTTTGTTTTAACATACCTACAAGTATTCGATTTCTTTGCAGTTTTTATTCAAACACGTCTGAGACTAGTGTAAAAAAGCAGAAAAGAAGAAAAATGATTCTTTCGTTTACATAATTGCTCGCTTTTCTTGTTCTCTTTCTATTTTTCTTTTTTTTCAATCATTTAAAATCGGTATAGCAAAAGTTTGCTAAGAAACAGCTCTTCCTTTGTTTTTCAGCTTTTATCATATTTTAGTGACTTTTGCTCTTTTTTTCAATATCGACAAATGAGTAAACCAAAAGGAAAAGAAAAGTGACAACAATTTGGTATACATGTGAAATAAAGAAAGCCGTAGTAGTGTGGTTTCACCTTCACTACCGTATATTTTTACCTTCTTTCAACATCTTATTTTCACTTAGTGACATAAAATGTGTATTTATGTTTCTGTTCGTTGTCACGACAAATCATAAGCAATAGGATTCCTAATTTAACAAAAAAAAATCGTGTAGGAAAAGAAAAGAAAGCATTAAATGACAACGAACATATTAAGATGATTGATGGGATTATTTCGAACTTATGTTAACATCATGAGAACAAACAATATAATGATAAAAAAAAAATTTTTTTTTATCGTTTAATCTGAGTATTTTAACGTTACGAGAACAGAAACAAGATTATTTAATTATAAAAGAAAGAGTAATTATGTTCTTTTTAAATGAAAACGATTTAGTTTCATTGTGATTTCTCGCTATGTAACAAACCTGTACTTCGTTGTCCTGTGATGTTTTATCCATTTCAAGCGGATCATAAAGTTTGTGCCAGATACGATCATGTTGAAAGTTTGCTAACGTATCCATATTATTTGCACGACTAAATGTTGAATGATTGGCGGCGTAATTTGATTGATTCCTTGCTGTTCTTTGACCGTGTTGTCCAGTGTTATCACGGGCAGTCCGGCTATGTTTATTAGAATCATTTACTTCATAGTCGTATGTGTAATCATAATTGCTTCCCATTGATTATTGGCAATGTTCAATTTAATCTGTGAGTGTCGTTACCGACAACAGGAATAAAATAATAGTTACGAAACTGAAGAGAATTGTGCGTGACGAGAGTATGCTAAGGTTAAACAAAACAATAAAATCTCCCTTTATTCGGCTACCATGCCAGCCAATTTCTCTCTCTCTCTCACCTTCCCTTCGTCTCTTGGTGTCCTGCCGGTGAAGGTTATTTCAATAGGATTCGCAACAATTTCTCTTTCTCTCTCTTGTTCTTTATAAGTTTATTTTAATAAGAGAAGTCTTGAAAATGCCATCTATGCTTTTTTTACAAACTACTTTTTGAATTACGTCCGAAAGAGAAGAAAGAATAAATTGGGTTATTTTTCTTTTCTACCTAAACTTTCTATTTTCCTACAAGCTCTTAAGTACATAATTGTGTATTTTATTGCATTGAATAGGATTGCTAAAAATAAAGACGGATAAATTTTAGTAGTGCAAACTTATTACTACTGTTTGTGGTGCTTTTTACCTTCTAACTTCTTGAATCAATCAATGGGATGAATAAATCATTTTTATCATAGGACCATCGATTGCATCTGTAGGACCAGGAGCGGATTCGAGTGGTAGACAAGCGTTAGAACATAAGAAATCAGTAACTTTTCATGATGGCGTTAAACCGGGTGCTGAAGCAGTTCCCTCAGTGGCAGCTACAGCCGCAGCAACTAACATCATGTCTTCACTTAAATTACGAGCAAATGAAACTGATACAGATAAAGTGTCATTATTCAAGCCAGGTTTGATTTATAATACTTTGTATATATGTAATAAAAAAAAAAGATTACATTTATAGAAACGCTAACAACACCAGAACTTGAAGAAAAACTACGACAATTGAAAGGTTTGATTTCTTTTATTTTTCTATGCTTCATGTACTTCATTTAAAACGCAATTGTCATTCATTTTAATAGATCCAGACCACCCACCCATTGAATTTCGTATTCATAGTAATTTGACTGTCATCAGTAAAATTGTTGACGATTGTAAGAAGAAGCAGAATAAATGTATTTACATGTATCAAATATTTGTTTCTCATACATTTAGTCGATTGCTTCTTAACTCGTAATGGTGGCCATTGCTGGATTTTTTCTACTCGTGGCCTATGTACTGTTGCACAAGATGAACTTATTTTTATATTTAATGAAAATATTAATAGTGCCAATGATATAATTTCTGATCTTCTTATTCATATTCATCAAATATATATTGATGCAACAAAAGGTTTTAATAAGAATTTCGAAAAAAAAAACTTCACTAATAACTTTATTTAAGGTACATTTGTTCGTCATTTGGGTTTGTCACTCTTATCAAATTCTTCGGTATTTCTTGGTTCATCAACTGCTATGGGATTTCTTTACGTATCTGATCCTACATCACAATATAATTTATTTCCTGAAGCACCGTATGCTTTTGGTATTCTAATTCATCGATTGGAATTACCTACGGCTCAATGTTTCCCAATGAGACTTCTCCTTCGATTAGGCTATGAATATCAAAGTAAATAGATGTTTTGACTTTATTTAGAATGAAAATATTTCGTTTTTAGACTACCCATGGCCATTATTTAGTGTTTGCGATCGAGATTCAATGTTTAGTGATACTCAACATACAATAATGAGTTTACTCTGTGTAAATATATTTGAAAAAGAAAAAAAAACAGAAATTTGATTTTATTAGGAATATTTCATTATATTTTCTTAGGATTTTCGTTCATTTACTTATGTATTACCTATAATACGTAGTTTAACAATTTCAGTTGGTATTCAAGGTTCTGTATCGATACGTATTCCACGCAATCGCCATGATGATATATTGAAAGCACTTGAGCAAAGTAGCCCACATGCACTAAGTTTTGGTATAATGAGTGTCAATCGTGAAATACATTCAAAACATCTTGTTACAATACAAAACGCTACTGATCAACAGTATGAAACACGTCTATCGTCATCCTTAAATCCAAATGCTGAACACATAAGAATCGGTGGAAATTTTCTTGTTATTAATGCAAGCCTTCGTTCTCGTGATAGTCCATCAAGTTCACCATTAGATACACAAAGCAGTGGTAGCTTTTCCTTACATAATAATCTTAATGCAAAAGTAAATGCAATTGAAGATGGCATTATGTTACAAATCGATGGCGATGCACTTAAAGTACTTAAGCAATGTTTAAAAGAAAGAAAAGACTATGCTATACTAGCGAAAGCGCGATCAATTGCTGTTGAAGAGCAACATGATTCAACAAATGAAAATGTTATGAAAAGAAGTTCTAGTGAGCAATTGGTAGAATTTTTATGGATAGACGATGATAATGATATTAACCGGGGGTAAGTGTACTTTTTGCAATGAAATGCAGCTGAATTCATCTTTTTATTACCCTGATAATATTATAGAAACATACTTTCGAAATTTGTTGATGAGTGTATTGTCGTGATTCATTCCAAACCATATTATTCCTTATATGGCTTGTTTCTAGTTCTTCTATCTACATTTCATATTTTTTTTATCTTGAATGAATATAATTTTGGTAGACCGTGATAACAATGAATTTTATTTTATTTTTAAATTGATTAATATGAATATATATATATATATATAGAAATCATTACTTTTCATAATAGAGTTCGTTCACCGATTGATCACTTTCCAATGGATGGCATTCGTAATTCACGAATTCATTATGCTGGTCAACGTTCTTCACTATTTCGTCTTCGTTGGACAGATTTATTCTTTATTGAATGTCTTCTAAATAGCAATGAATCATTCGACCCAACACGTCTAGCTGATTCACTTGCTAAAGCGTTCACACAAGCATTAACACCGTTTATTGATATGCTCGTTGAAGCTAAATATCGTAAATTAGGTCTACGAGTTACAATTGATAGAGAAAACGTACGTCTAATGATAATATCTTAGAGAATTGAATTCCTATTTTCTACTTTATTTATTTGTTTATTTTTAGGCTTCATATATAGCCGGTTCAAATGGTGAACAATTACCACCATTCTTTTTAAGTCAGCTTGATGATCATATGATTCCCATTGTGATGAAGGCATCAGACAATGTTTCACGTTCAGCTCCATCCCTTGTTCTTGAACTTATATTTTATCTGCTTGACTAGTCGCTGAAATTGAGGTAGCGCTTCGTATGTTTCATCTGTTTCTTTGTATATGTTTATTATTTCTTCTGGTCGCTAAAGTCAGGCTATTTATTTATGAAACAATTCAAATTAAATGAAATAAATAACAATACAAAATTCGAAATTCAGTTTTTGAAAATTATATTCTACATTTTTCTTCTTCAAACAGCGATGTAGTTTTTCTCTATAATTTTTAAAGCAACCAAGTCCACAAGGAACTAAAAGATTCTATTTTTCTCATTGATATCCAACGTAGGACAGTCAAATTTATTGCTACATAATCTAAAAAGATGATCTTTCAGTTTTTGACACCATTTACTTGAGTTTCTTCTGCGATCATCGTCAGTTGTCTCATTCTCAAAAACAGTCGGCATCAAAATCCTCATATTCTCTCTTAAGACTAATCTATTCATATCTTTTAATAAAAGATGAATTGACAACTTTCTTATAGTATCAGAAAATAGATGTGTTCTTCCTATCAAAGACTCATCAATTTTACGTAAGTAAATTTACTCCGACGGAAAAGATTCCCTACATTCTTTACCCATCATTTCCAAGACATGAAAAACTAAAAAATATCAAATTAATATCTTCTTCCCAAAAATACTGCCAAAATATTCTAAATATATTTTTTTGCTTTGTTTACCTATTCAATATCATGTTCAATATACAAAGTTTATTTATTCGATTACTTCTCTTTTTTATTACTTGCATTTGTTTTAAAAGAATAATCTAACATATCAACAACAACAAAAGTAGAAATATTTTTTGATAAAAGTTTCAGTAAAAAGTAATTGTTGCCAGTAAAATGATCTTTGGTAAACGCTCTGATAGCATCGGAAGTATATTGTTTTTGATCAATAAGATGTGTTCGTATGTAATGTTCACGTGTTTTATCACTACTAACAAGACAATGTGTTAAATATCCAATCCATTTGAAAAAATCAATAAAAATAATAAATGCTAATAAAATAAACCAAATATATAAGAATGCATACATTTTTTCAACAATTATATTTAACGGTAGTATACATTCGACGGTATATGCATGATTGGATGCTAATTCACGAAATGTAAAATCACAGAGTGTTCGTTTTGGAAATGAACTTGTATCGATTAGTTCGGATACACCTGAACTCAATTTATTTACAAATTGACCAATAAAATGCTTCTCTAATACATCATGTTTTAGATGATTAAAACTGTTTGTGTCTAATGTACGTGAACCAATCATAAGATGAATGAAACAAATTTGTAATAGGCAATTTAAGAAATATAAAAGTTTTACACCTAAATAACACAGTATAAAATAACATGTATATAGTCGACTACGACCTTGTACAACGTGATGTATAGAATCTCCTTTGTCTCGACGAAATAATTGTGAATTTAAATAAACGAGTTGGTCTTCACGTAATGCTGATAGTGATATTTTCTTTCCGAAACTAGGTACACTAGATAGTTTAGTTGCAGCTTCTAGTAAAGATCTCACATTTTGTCCACTACCTGCCAGTGCTAAATACCATACTAATTTTGGCAAATAAAAGAAAAATGCTTGAACTGCAAGGATCCATGGCTAATCAAAACCGACAAAAACGTAGTGAATAAAAACATAAATTTGAAATATTTCTTATTCCGTACATACCAACCATTGATAATATATAATCAAACTGTCGTACCGTTCATTCGCAGTCGATGGTACACGTCTATCATCCGGTACATAATATGTATTATTTGCATAACAATATGCTGTGATTGCTCTTTCATACCGTCTTAATTGAGCCGGTATCCAACAAATAATAGGCACCGTATAAATTGATCTTACACCACAAAAAAATGCAAATGCACACAAGATACCTGATGTAAATTTGTAACTCAAACGATCAACAATAAAATCATTAGCTTTAGCACGAACATTAGCTATGGAGAGAAAACCAGAAAATCTGTCAGCTAGGCGTATCAACTCCATTCAAAATTTGTAATAGTTGTAACAATAATGAATATATATATATGTGCGTGTGTACTATACGTGATTACTTCTTACACTACCAGGCGCATACAAAAGCTTTTTTTTCTTTTCTCTTTCTTCGACATTACACTATGACTGACTCGCTCGACCCCTAGTTGTCTACTCACGAATGAGCAAAAAAGAAAAGAACGAAAAAAATCATTCTTTTTTGACGTAATATTCCATGCAATACATCTGTACGTTATTTTGTATGCATGTATGTTCTACTGTTTGCTGTGTACACACACACACACGTACTGATGTGCACAAGCATGAGGGGGAAAGAGAATCGTACTGAGACTCTGATTTCTAACTCGTTCCCATTGAGTCAACAATGAGTCGGTTCTCTCTCAATTTAGTGTGCATTGAAGAGACGAAATCATCAGTAACGTAAGACGAAGATTCTCATACAATGAAAAATCATTATCAAGGTATCATCATTGTGCGTAGACTCCACCTCCTTCGATGTCACTCGATTTTTTTTGTTCGAACACTAGATACGAAGAGAAAAAGATAAGTTTGTCTGTGTAAGAGAAAAATCATTGTTTGATTTGATCGAACAGGTAAAAGAAAAGAAAAGAATTTATTTTTTAATAATAAACAGAAAAAAACGAAACAAAATTAATATTCTCCTATCTTGGTCGAGTGAAAAATATCGTCGAGCCAGTCCTGTTGCCGTGACCCATCTTGATCGTAATCTTGTGATCTTTTATCAAAATTATCCACACTTATGTTGAAAAGAGATAAATTGGGTCGAAGTGAATATCTTGAATAGTCTTCTTCTTCTTCTTCTTCTTCCTGTTCTTCGATGTCTTCCTTTTTCTTGTGCACATTTTCTTGTACTAAGGATCGATAATGATTTTCTTTCATTGAAATTTCAATTCGACTAGTTTTTGCATTAGGTTGAGACAGATAGCGACGAATGATTGGCGCACTTTGTGGAACGAAATGGACGTTCTAAATAGTAAACATACGAATAATAGTACGAAATAAAACAGTTCTATTTAGTTTACTTTGAAAACAGATTCTGTCGGTTTTACTTTCTTACTATTCCTCTTCTTCTTGTTCAATGTTTGAGAAGATTTCTTCGATGTAAACAATAGACTATGAGAAATAGTCGAAAAAAATTTCGATAACGAAGCCATGGACGACCATTTCTCATTCTTTTGTGAAGACATGTTTCAATCGATGTTGTAAACTACGAAATGTAATGTAACTCGTACATTTATCAGTATATAAATTCAAGTTGAATATAAATGGTTTATTTTAATTATTTATGACAATCACATACTAATCAAAGAATCATCCTATTTCTATTCGTGTTCTTATAATCTTTGATCGATCGGACAATTGGCTCAATTAATTTACTATCATTTTGATCTTCTTATTCAGACCATGTTTACATTGACCAATTATTATTCGACAACATCAAGCATACGTATGCTTGTGTATGATACAAATGCAATGATTAGAAACATCTGCAAGGTATCATACATCTCGACGACTTATTACATAATTCATTCTGGGGTTGATGATTTCAAGCATTTCCTTATAATCGTAATCAATTAGTAATCCAGAAAAAAGAATGAAAGTTGATCAACATAATAATACCGTGTGTTTGGCATAACAACAATTTCTGGTTTTTCTTTTTCGAGAGACAGACACTTCAGGGGTGATTATGAGCGTTGTTCACTTTTCTCCAACATTTCTACGATTGATTAGGGCTAACAAAGAGTAGTGAAGTCGTTTAGTTCAATATAATATGCTCGTAAAGTAAACGGCATGTAATATGTCAGTGAGTAGAATGGCTGAGAAATGCCGATAGTGTGAAGATAAGGAATTACTGTGATCGCATTTTGGTTAGTTTTAATCAGGGAGAAACGTCTGGTTGAATGTTATTAGTGTAAATACGATGATTGGATGGGTAGAGATGTAGCAGAAGACGAAAGAATGACGTTTATGGTGAAGAAATTATTGTAAGACGAGGTATAATTGGTATAGGAAAGAAAGGATTTGTTTAATGCAATGCAATGCAATTGATAAGTAGTTCTCACCATGGAAGACAGTTATGATGTGTTCGGGAGAACATCTGGTTCAGCATCGTGGCGTGTTAGCGTTGATCGATGTGTTGGTTTCAATTGAGTAGATGTTATTTAGCGATGAATTTCCATCGATGTGTAAATTTCATTGATTAGAACATATCTATGTTTAAGCTGATGCCACGAACGGGGTAATTTGACCATGCAGCGGTTATAAGAAGTTTTCTATTTGTTTTCACGTACAATGTGGTTGGTCGTGGTTGACCTTACGATTGAGTCTTGTTCATAGTAAATGGAATGAAGATGCTTATTGAGTTTGAGTGAAAGTAAGTTTCGGAAGAAATATCGCAAACAGGGAAATACAATATCAGATAAGTAGACGTTGGTGTAACGTTGCTTATAGTAAGGAATCATTTGTATTACGGAGTGGACTTGTTGCATGTCGGAGAGAGAGTTGGATAGACGTAATGTAGTTGGTAAATAGTTCCCGTGGATGAAGACAGTGATCAAGTATTAATGAAAACATCTGGTTGAACATCGCGAACTGTCAACGCTTATCGATACATAGGTTTCAAATTGAGTAGACCTTATTTAGCTATGTATTTCTAATGTTGTTGTGAATCTTTTTGATTGGAACATATTTATGTTCAAGTTGATGCTGGGAAGTGAGCCACGCGCAGGGGTTACAAGACGCTTTTTATGTCTGTTTCAGGATAACTGATCGTTTTTGTTGTTGATCTTAGGGTTCAGTCTTGTTTATAGCAAGTATAATGAAGATACTTATTGACTTTGTTGGAAAATTAGTTTTGAACTGAATACCTCAAACAGGGAAATACAATATCAAATAAGTAGTCGTTGGTGTAACCAATTCCATTCATAGGTTTATCAGTAGTTCTACTAAGATAACTGGAAAGTTTTCATTAAGTGAAATAATGTATCAGAGTAAGAAATCGTCTAAATACACAATAGATGATCTATTACTGTTTGAGAATGAAAGAAACGTTATGAATGCTGATAAATATAATTTTTCCTTTTAAGTTTTTTCGATCATGGTTAAGGTTACCTATTTATAGAAACTACTGTTTGAGTAAAAATCTAAATTGATCTTTGATTGACCGACTTAATATTTGAGATGAACAGTGATAATTTAATCATGCAAATTGCAGAAAATGATTCAATTGACATTTTAACCCGATGTGGGAGTGCGTAGAATTATACAGTATGTTTGTTTCTAAAAACGATGCATGTATTGGTTTCATCATTGAACGAATGTTTCACGACTGAACCAAGAATATATCGACATATAATATAAATGATTTGCAACTTAGATGGCAAGTTTTTGTTTCGATCGAAAAAAAGATTTGATAAACCGAGCTTATTTTCACTTTATGAAATCCTAAATAGAACTCTCACTTTCTAGAATACTATGATACGGTTTTTGTCGGATTCAAACTATAATATCATTTGCTACATATATAGGATGGTCTTTGACTTTTTTAGCCATATGTCTTACGAAGTGGTCGTATACAACATAAGTAGGTGGAAATAAAACTATCGATCTGATATTTGATTTATTGGGTAACAAGGAAACTCTTGACGCTAGAATATGTGATAAGAAATTGAATTTCATTATGATGTTGCCTATTACACGAAAACGTCTATTCTTCAGTCTGGCACAAAGATGGATTCTGTCACTCACGAACACCAGTAAAGCGAAGGAAGATGCTTTTATCGACACTTTTGGTACCATACCGTTTAGTTTGGTAGTAAATTACTCGTACACTTTATTAACTTGAATTCTCACTTGAATGAAATCTTTACATATCTGTATAGATACCAAGCAAGCTTTAGGTCTTGATAGATGTGGGATACGGATTAGCAGTTAACGCTCAAGTTTATCGATAACAGATTCTGAAATTTTCCGTTTGATGGTTTAGTTTTACATGGTTTTCGTTAGAATCGATCTGTGTTCTTAGTACATAAATTAATATAATTAGATGCAATTTAAATTACTTTCAGACTGTTTTCGAGAGCATTAACGAAGCAATTCTCATCATTGATATACACGGGCAGAAATTGAATGTAGCTGTGTGTGCTCAATTCGACAGTAGATAGGGCGAATAACGTAAAAGAAAGGACTAGATTGTAAAGTAGTTTTGAAACTTCTTAAATAGTTTATGAGATCTTCTTGATTAAATCTATCAATACATAGAGCCGTTCTTTATAGAATTTTAACGCTCACGTTTTCTCTTGAGTAATGAAACTACGTATTGCACTATCAATATCTGATGTACATTGAAAGCAACAGCAATTAATTACTATCTCATGTTATTCAAACCGGAAAAAGACCGGCGGTATACCGACGGTTCACCGTTCGGTATAATGTGCACTCTACCGCCGGTTTTTCATGAAAGTGATGCATCCTTTTGTATAGTATTGAAACGACTAAATATTTTTTGCGTCTGTTAACACCGGCAGAATCGTGTTGAATTCAATGCACTCTGATGATGTCGATGTGCCTGAGCCGTCTACCCAGATCGACTGATCCGATATCGGATCCGATAGGAACCTGGAAATATCCTACAATCCGATACAATTCTGTTGGATTCCGGGTCGAGGAATCGATGTCGGCTCCTCAGTGTCGGAATCCTATCAACTTCCGATGACATACAACGGTTTTTCCTTGGAATCCATAGGAATCCGACACTGAGGATCCGACATCGATTCCTCGACCCGGAATCCAACGATAATTCTGTAAGATCTGACAGGATCCGATAAAATCCTATTGGATTACAGTCGGTCGGATGGGTTCCGATAGGCGCCTACTGTCGGATTGCTCGATCTGGACTGTAGTAGCCACAGATCTCAAATCAGTCCCATTTACGAGATAAATATTTTATTAAAGATGTCGCTGTAAAAATAATAATTGGCAAAATATATTGTAATATAGTTTGTTTTCGATTAATTCGAATTCTTTTTCCGAAATAAATTGGGATTTGACAAAAAACGATTTCTGGAAGCCTTTTTAGCTGGAACCAGAGCTTATAAGCGCTGCCGCCGGTAGTGACAAGAAATATGCGACATTGGATCACACATTTCACGAAGATAGTTTAGACGATTTTCTCTTGCCAATTGACGAATTTTAGAATCTATTTTTTGTATTATGAGGTTTGATGGTAAAATTTTGGAGGAAAATTGTCTTCTACTTCGAAAATACTCCAATGAGAACTGAAGCAGGATGTGGCTATAAATGAAATTATATGCATACACATGGGTGTTCCGCTAACTTTCGCAGAATAAAGTCTTTTTAGAAGGATATTTTTATAGTTCTCATCATTTGTGCGGCAATTATTTGTTAAATATAAGTTTATTAGCGTTATTTTGTCTTCCGTTTTCAACTCAGAACTCTTGGGCTATTTTTCAACACAAAATACGTATTCATGTAGCACTATGATATAAATGGAGTTTCGAATTTTTTCAGGGAAAATTGTTTGAAATTATAACAGAAATTCTTTTTGATGTATACCCATCCGTTACAACAATTTTTTGTATCCTAACGAATAATCTTCGAATGATGAGAGGGACAATTCAGTTGCCGAGTAAGTATAACTATTCTGCAATGTATTCACTTGAAGAACTTCTATGAATGTGCTAATATTTTATTTGATATATTTATAACTACTATTCTAGATCAAACAAGCACGGTCGTAAACGACTGTATACGGAGACAAAAACGGTCGTCGCATACACAGCCCGTAATATAATCTCCGTTTTATTCCTTATTTCTCAGTATACAATCATATTTGTCCGTATATGGTCGTTTACAGCCCTATATGAAATCCGTAATCGTCGACCTGGGTACACCAACAGAATTGATTCACATCAAATAGTTCGAATAGTCATACTAGTTCAGGCAGGATTATTAATATTTAAATAGCTGCTAACAGGTAAATGAACTGAATAAATTAATAAACTATTGAGACAATTAGATAGTTATGCCGTTTTGTTGAATAGCTATGAAAATGGTTGTAATAACTCGCTTGTTCTTTTAGTTAGTCCCATGAATCAAAAGAAAACATACTAAACAGTCAAAAAACTATGTTTAGAAAACCAGCAGGCAAAAATTTTAAGCAGCTGAACATTCATGAAACGGATTAGTTTATAAAAAATGTCTCTTTTTAGGCGAATCAATAGAATCTCATGGTCATAATTCTTATTTCATTTCTTTTTTTTTTCATTAAAATTTCTTTTTTGGAACATAAATTTTACCATTGAAGCAGAAGATATGATGAGAACAGATGTTTGTCCATCACCAAATACTAATTACAGTTGATCAAATAAATGAAGTATTACCAGAAGAAATATAATAAAAAAATCATATTAGTACCCAGACAGAACATTAAGACGACCTGATACGATCGTAAACGGCCGCATATGGCAACGTATACTACCGTTTTATAACGTTTCCGAACGTAAATCGCTGTAATTTGGCGTTTTGGCATGCACTGTATTACGGTCGCATTTCGCCGTGTCGTAACGGCTACTAACGACCGTAATGTGGTCAAACGGCCGTGTACGACCCAAGTTGATCGACCCGGGTATCGCACCTGAAGCTAATACAACAATTTATCAACTTAATTTAAAATTTTACAATGCTAAACTCCGTGAAGATAAATCGAAGCTTGAAGAAGAATTGAATAATATTCGTCAAGATAATATTAAATTTCAAAATGATTTTATTAAATTTCAAGAAGATATTCCCAGGTCGGCGATTATACACACTTCGTATACGGTTGTAAACGACGACCGTTTTTGCCTCCGTAAACGACACGGAGATATGCGATCGTAATACTGAACCACGTAGAGTCAGATGGGGTAAATGTAAAAGAAAAATTGAAGATGCATTTTACTTCTCTGAATCTTTTTTATGATTAGCTATTTTTTGAAATATTTTCTGTTAAAGAAATGTAGAGAAAATTCTTTTCTATCGATCAGTGAAAATATTTTCGAACAGGATGGATCGATAAGTTAGTGGTTGTTACGGGCCTACACTCACATATGTTATAATCTTGTCTTTTTCTTTCATATAGTCACCCACCACATCTATCGATGTATATTTAAATATATTATACATGTTGTCTATTCTCGAAGAAGGAGACGTGTGTGCGTTGTTTGTTGTGTTTTTCCTTTTTGCTTATTGTGATGTTAGTCAATTATCGTTTTTCTCAATAAAGAGATGGGTAAAGATATCCCCCTTAATAGTGGTGATAAATCTGCTGAGAGTCCCAACAGAATTATATATTTACCCCGTTTGAGGCAAATTTGTAATCTTGCTGGCGTTAGCGGGGTAAATGTTTAATTGCGCAGAAGCAAGTGGGGTATATGAAATTGCAGCTGAATTTGCTGATCCTAGTAAAAGTTACTTTTTTTCAAAAACTATAATTTCAAAGATATTTCTATAATAAAAATGTTTCTCCTAAAATATTGTTCAAGTCTAATATATTTATTTTCTCAATTTTCATCATCTCGAATGCATTTCTTACAAATGAATGTACATTGATAACAATAAAAGTAATCGATTGTTCAAAAATAAACGAAAAAAACAAACATTTCTAATCAAGTAGCTAATAAGGGTAAATCAGAAACCTGAGTATATCTTTCATATTGTTTTACAGTTTATTCAAATCTTTACTAAATCAGAATGAAGTAGTACAAAGGGATAATTAGTAGAGTTAGTTCCACGATGAAAAACATCTTAGGGCTATAATGGGTAGTTGTTCGTATTAGGATATTGCCAATATACTCAGCTTTGACTTGATGTATTACTTGTTTTAGATTGATCGGATGGACCCGTTGAATACGATTGAATAAGGATTCAATTGGGATTGATCAATTGGACCCTCTGCATATGATAAATAAGGGATTTATTGAGATTGTAAAACAGGTTAATTTAACATTGATATATTATAAAATGGTGGTTGATAAATTGTGTTCGAAATATATTGATGTTGCATCGAGGACACCGGTATCGTTATATTGACACTTCTTTTGGTTTTGAATCTTGACCTGCAGTAGCATTGTAGGAGTCTTCGTTATCAAAATTAAGAAACGTTATTTTTTATTATTTCGATTACTAAAAACACAAACAATATAAAAGTTTCTGAGTTAGAATGAACTCACTTTTTCTTTATCGGTATCTTTGAGTTGTTGTTGCAGATTTAGCAGTGGTTTTCTTAGAAGCTGGTTTTTCTTTTTTTCGTTGATTTTCTTTTTCCTGGACTTTTAAATAAGCTTCAACACTCGTCAAATTTTCCCCGTAGGGATGAACCTTCTACCATTCGTTTACGTTTATTAGTTGAGGTAATCATAGAAGACATGTATTTATCAATTGCTGTTGTCATAGCATTGAACACTGTTTGAGTCGTTAATTTATCGTTTTGATTTGATGGTAACGTAAAATAATCGTTACTAGATATTTCACAAGAGTTGTTCGACGCATTTGCGTTTAAATGTGTTACTAGTGGTGGTGCTACACAGTGTTTGGGTGTTGATGCAAATGTGGGCATATTGTCATTATATAAATTCTGATCTATGAGCATAAAATAAGTACTATAATCATGAAAGTGTAAGAACCTACTGAAGTACATTGATCGTGATGCTAATGCTTGATTGTTGTTGGTGTTCGCCATCATTGAAGCATTGACCAAATCTAAAATTGAAAGCGATTGAAAATTATTTGAAGCTTGATATGCTTACCTGTATATGTTTTATTTTCGTTATCATCGTAAATGACAGGAGTATTATCGACCACGATATTTGATACACCATGTTAGAAAAAGTATTAGAACTGGATCTTTTTGTAGTTCATTTTATTTTACTTGAAGTATTAATAGTGTTAAAACTAGCACTGGTGTCTATCGATATGTCATTGGTAACGCCGTATAATATGAATTTTATCATTGGGTCTATAAAATCAATATTAAAGTATAATAGGTTTATTTTTTCTTCCAGCTCACTTGAAAAAATATCGCTTGATGTTATTAAATCTTTCATGGCAGAATTTAGTAAAATGCTATTTGAAAAATTATTCATATCTTAAAAGTTAAAAATGGAAAATAAAGTATATTTTCGATGGGTGATTGATGCGGTACCTAAACCAGCTTGATTAGTTGTGATGAGACGATTTATAGGTGGTTTTGATGTTGTTAAAGACATATTGTATTGTGTTGAAGTTTGTGCTAGAAAAGTATCACTAGTATAAACACTGGTGTTCTTATTATGTATATAGGAGCCGCGCGAAGGAGCTAAGATTGAGGGGAGGGATGTAAAAGGTATTTTCAACAAAGTTTAGCAAAAAAAGCGAAAAAGTACAGAAAATTTACCCTTGTTGACGGAAAAAATTGAAAATTTTCAATTATTGGTGAGGAGGGGTCACACTTCCCCCACCCACCCCGCTTCCGTGGCCCTTGTATGCACATGCCAGTTAATGAAATCTTTGGACATGAAGATGGTCTTGTTGTCGATGGGTACGCTTTCAATGTTAAATCATTATAATTTGAAAACGATTTATCAATGGAATTCGAACAGGCAACAGGTTGATGTGAGGAGCTTGTAATTACTGTTGATGGTTCTAATAACTTTTCTTTTGAGATAACTCAAGAATCGTATGGATAAATTCCGGATTAAAGAAAACCAGAAACACAATCACTTGGCAATATAGAGTTTTTGAACAGTTCAGCAATCTTAAGATATAGATAAACGCTTGCAGCATGATAATGCTAGAACTTACTAATAAAAAAATTGTGGTTTATCAATGGGCTTTGAATTTGTTTTTTGGTTGGATGTTTTCAGCAGCTGCCTCCATGCTGTTTTTACTGTTGATAGTGTTACAACATTCAAAGGTTGCAACAGTGTAGCTGAGTGAGGTGGTAAGCATTCAATATGAACATTGTGATCCAGAGCTATCTTAATGATTTTCGTTGAAGTATGAGATTTATAACCGTCCATTATCAAAAGAATTGGTCGTTTTCCGTGTTTTACATTTGGTACAAAATGATGCAAGAATCAGTCATTGAATGTGTCACCAGCAGTTCACCCGTTTGTGCTCACATTATAACGTGCACCTGGGTAGCCATTTTTCGGACACCAATTGTCATAAAGTTGTGCAGCTTTGTAAATAATATAAGGAGGCAGACACCTAAGAATTTCGTACTTAATACAATGAAGTACACGAGGAAGTTTCTAATTGGTTATCTGCTGGCAGTTGATGTACAGAGTAGTACAGTGGTCATCGATGTTCCACTACCATTTGAGACGAGCTAGCATATCGCATTGAACGTTTAACTATAACCTGGTGACGAAAAGGATCATCAAGAAATTCGCTCCCATCGACATTCTAGATCGATGCAGGCTTATCTAGCAATTTAAGCTTGCTCAAAACAACATGTAGACGTTCGAAACATTTAACTAAATAAAGAAATTGATTGTTCCTTGAATAATAAGCGTAATTAACTTGTTTCGAAAGAGTGTTCAACTATGTTCAAGAATTTTAGCCTTCATTAAAAATTTTAAAAAAAGAATACTTACTGATCACTTCCTTGGTGCATGATTGAGATCTAATACGTTCAAGTTTCATTGAAGTAACAATTTTCAATCTGTCCCCCCATCTTGATATAAAGGAGTTAAACCATTCAATAAGACGAACATCAGGCAATACTTTTTTTGCAAGTTCTATCATGCATGTTCCAGCCATAGTAATTACACATTTCGAGTAAGTCGCTGTTGCCATTCTTGAAATAATTCAATGACATAAACCAAGAATTCTTCTTCGTCATATAATGAAATAGGGAGGCGGCCACGAGCATCACTACCACGTTTCCCTGAAAGCCGACTGTATAAATTAGCAACAGGAATATTATATTGACGACCAGCCTCAATAGCAGTGAACTTTTTCTCTTTAATTACCCAGGTGAATCAATCCGATACCGAATCCCATCGGATTCTATGGGGTCCTACCATCCGACGAAATCCCATTGGATTCCTGGTTGAGGAATCAATGTCGGATCCGACAGTCGTATTTCCAATGATATCCGATTGTTGGAACCAATGAAATCCGAAGCATTCCGGTCCCGATTGACGGTTACTGTCGGATTTTATTAGTTTCCGATATTAGGATCCGATATCGATTCCGGAACCAGGAATCCGATGATAATCCGATAGTTTCCTTGCGCCTTCCGAAGAGTTTCGTCGGATTCCAATAGGAACCGATCGGAACTCATCGGATCCTAGGCTAGGATTCATTCTCCTGGGTAGGCATAAAGCACGATTGATATTAGCCTTTAAATAATTTGGCTTGATTTTTTTGTATATGTTCGAGGCATACTTGTTGAAAACAGTGAACGAACTATTACTGAATTAGTATTGCACTGAATTTTGAATTATTCGATAGACCATCTAGCTATATAGCTATCATATCAGTTTGATTGTTATTTTTCTCTCGCCAAGAATCATCATTCACTTTTCTGCCTGAAAATTATAGTCTGTTGACAATAACTATCAGCAGCTGACTACTTTTATTGTTATCAATGTACATTAATTTGTAAGAAATGCATTCGCGATGATGAAAAATGAGAAAAGAAATAAATTAGACATGAACAATATTTTAGGGGAAACATTTTTTGTCATTAAATATCCTTGAAATTATATTTTCTTTGAAAAAAGTTAACTAGTAACAGTAAATTTAGCTGCGATTTCATATTTACCCCACTTGCTTCTGCGCAATTATACATTTACCCCGCATGAGGTAAATGTATAGAAAATTTTTGATTTTAGTATCTTAAAAAACTTGTTAAAACTTTATATTGACTATATGAATGTTTGAAATAGTTTCATGTTTTAGCTAAAACATTAACGTATCCATTCTTAAAAAAAAATTCTTAAAAAATCAATCAGATCGGTTTAAAATTTTATTTTACTAACCAAGCAAAACATAGTAGCGATTGTACATTTACCCCGCTAACGCCAGCAAGATTACACATTTGCCTCAAATGGGGTAAATATATAATTCTGTTGGGACTCTCAGCAGATTTATCACCACTAACTTTTCGGTCCATACTTTCCGAAAATCTTTTCACTGATCGACTGAAAAGAATTTTCTCTACATTTACTCTATCTGACTCTATTTTGCCGTATTTCTCCGTATACGGTCGTTTACGACAGCGGCGGCGGAGCCACTAAGATCTATGAGGCTTGATCCTTGCATAGATTTCACAAGATGAGGCTCAGCTTCACTTGCTTTTGTACCCAATATTGTTATTTTTATTCTTGCATCAAAGCAGGAGCAAAGAAAAGTATTTTTGGTATTTTCCGATCATCTTCTTTTATGCTGACTATTTTTATTTTTTACTGCAGTTCAAGAAAAAGAAGACTTAGTTTCTGCTTGATGCTTTCATAAAATTCCATGGTACTAAAAAAATATTATGAGCCTCACCTAGCTTAATGATGCTCTGCCGCCCCTGGTTTACGACTGTGTTTGTTTGACCTGAGTACATTCATTTTTCTTTATCATTCTTTAATATCTTATACATAGCTGCGCAAGTACAGGTACAACTTGTACTGGGCAATGTATGTAGAAACTGAAAGCTCCGCTAGTGACACAGAGGATACACTCATACTCGGTTGTATTCGGTTGTACTACCCCCTTGTGACGGTACGGTCACTACTGATTTTATTAATATATCTATTCTTTTCTATATGAGTATAATTAATCGTTTCTTTTTCTTGTACGCGCCAATATATAAAAAATCAATGTATCATATACTTANCTTATTTTCACTTTATGAAATCCTAAATAGAACTCTCACTTTCTAGAATACTATGATACGGTTTTTGTCGGATTCAAACTATAATATCATTTGCTACATATATAGGATGGTCTTTGACTTTTTAACCATATGTCTTATGAAGTGGTCGTATACAACATAAGTAGGTGGAAATAAAACTATCGATCTGATATTTGATTTATTGGGAAACAAGGAAACTCTTGACGCTAGAATATGTGATAAGAAATTGAATTCCGTTATAATGTTGCGTATTACACGAAAACGTCTATTCTTCAGTCTATAGTCCAATGTCAGACTGAAAAGTTAGTACGTGCAATCTCGGATTCGCCTAGTCGAATCTCAAATTTGCCTTGGCCAATGTTAGTTTGATGGAAGCTATTTATGAAGAAGCATTTCTCAACATATAAGCTGATTAGCTCTAATTTTTGGGCTACAAAGAGACTTGAATGACATGTTGAAAGTTTGAGGGGAACTCCTTCTGATAATATGTCTCTGTTCGAGTTATGATCGTTTGGAAAACTTCGAAGTTTCAGGAAAGTATTAAAAAAAAACATTTGAATGATGTATCCAGGGTTGCCACCTCTTCTGCTTTTTTCCGCTTTTTCATATAACAGACTTTCGTTTTTTAATTGAAAACTTAACCATGCAAGAAACTAGATAACGTGATGTTAGACGAAAATTTCTTGGAAAATAATTTTCAAACGTATAATTCTATACAATTATTGAAAAATTTTCGCTTCACATGATTGATTTTCCAATAAATTTTTCTAGTGAAACACATTTCGTGTTCATTTTGGCCTCCACTATGAAATACATTCACCTGGATTTGAAATGCCAGTGAAGAAAAGAAAATTTCTTTCAAGTTTTTATTCATTTGTTAATATAATAGATGAAAGCATAGCCACATTCGACAGCTGAATGTAAAGAACAACATTATCCTGTTATACTTGTAAAAAGCGAGCTTTATTTTTTAGATTGTACGTTTTTCTGGCCAGTGTTTTAATTTGTACCAAAAAGGAGTCGCATTCGGCGGCTATATGTGGAAAGGAATATATATTTTTTGTTCTATTACTCTGAAAAATGAGTTTCAGTTTTTTCGATTACATCTTTTCGTATAAACTTTTAAAGTGCTGTGCCAAAAAAGAGCGGCCTTCGGTGGTATATTCTCTGCGAAAAATAGTGAACTGACAGTCGCAATACGGCCATTTCACTATCACAAAACGAACATTTTTGGGACGATACAAACATTTTTCTTGTATGGCACTTTTAGAAAAGATGAGTAGAAAAAGAATTGACAGAAAAAATATATTTATTTTTGGACCGGAAATCGTTTATCTTTTCTTCTTGGAGTTTCAGGCCAGGTACGCCCTGATATTTTTTATGAGTTGTCTATTATGTTGTGGAACTGCGAACAAAGTAGTACTATGAGCAATAAAACAAGGTTACTTAAACTCTTGGAAATGTGAAAGGTCAGCAAAAAGCAGCTTTCCGTTTTTTCTGTTTTTGTTTCCGCTATTTTCCGTTATTTTCCGCTCTTTTTGATCAAACTTTCCGCTTTTCTGACCTGATAAGGTGGCACCCCTGGAAGTATCATGAACCCAGAAATATTTTATAGATCCGAATCCCATATTTACCAGATTATTGATAACCTTCCATTAGAATAAATACTTATGCTCCGAGTTAATGAATATTTTCTCTCCTTTGGCTCTCCCAACTATTAACATACTAGCTTTTTTCATTATTTATTGAAAAAAGAGTATACTTATTGGAATTGGAAAACTAAGGAATTATCAGACCTTCTGTCTAGATCTATTGAGTTTATACAAATCACAGAATATATCTTTTGGTAGAGCATAATACATTCAAAATCGAATCAAAAAGTCCTAATTGCAAATAATGAACTTTTTCATTTATCATCACTCTCACTATCATGCGTGCTTCCGCTCTTTTCACTTTAAGTCCTCGGATAAGCATAGATAGGGGTGGCACTTTAACTTTAACCTTTAAAAAAAAGTGCGTTAAGTTCAAAGTCAACTTTAAACTTTAATTTTTAAAGTAAAGTTAAAGTGTCACCCCTAGACATAGACATAAAAACTGAAAGTCTGATTGGTATTTTAAAAAATAGAAAAACATAATTCTGTAGGTAGTTCATTGTTTTTTTTATAACCTTTCGCGAAAACCCGAAGTTTTACAAACGATCATAACTCGAACAGAGAAATATTATCAGAATGAGTTCTCCTCAAACTTTCAACATGTCATTCAAGTCTCTTTGTAGCCCAAAAATTAGAGCTAATCAACTTATATGTTGAGAAATGCTTCTTCATAAATAGCTTCCATCAAACTAACATTGATCTAGGCAAATCTAAATTGGACGTAGTCCAACATTGACCGCTAACATATACGTGTGTTACGTACGAAGTGGTTACACTCTGGATATGTGAAGAAGCCAATAAACATTATTGCCGAGAGTGGCGGTAAGCTAATCCACCTCTATTCAGGTGGTCATTAACATATCTACCCAAATAGAGTCCCGTATTTATCGTTACAGAAGACAAACAGCGATTTTCTCTTTTCTCTTGCTTATCTGTTGTCATCTCCTCTGCATGTCTGAGACATATAAATTAACAACAAAAAAATTAAAATAATGGGTAGGTTCATGTAGTATAAGGTGAGGACTGCGCAAGTACCGGTACAACTTGTGCTGGACAATTTATATAGAGACTGAAAGCTCCGCTAGTGACACCGAGGATACACTTGTACTCACATGTATTCGGTTGCACTACCCTGTCTTCCTCCCAAAAATCTGGAGTTCTAGAATTCATGTACCGGGCGGTACAACCGAGTACATGCAAGTACATGCCAATATATGAATACTAGAATTCTAGGTTTTGGAGGGAGGAGGAGGGGTGTTACGCTCTCAGTGATGTCGACTGATGTGCAACTATTAGAAATACCAGGAGCCACAATAACTGTTTATGGCCAATTGGAGAAACGATAAGAATTATGACTTGACTAAGGATACCAATGANCAGACCGTAAACGATTCCGTTTTGATCAACCTGGACTGGTGTGATCGCCACTTGTTACGCTCTCAGTGATGTCAACTGATGTGCAACTATTAGAAATGCCAGGAGCCACAATAACTGTCTATGGCCAATTGGAGAAACGATACGAATTATGACTTGACTAAGGATACCAATGATTTATTGAACAAGACAAGATAGAGAAACGAACGAGAGTTATTCAACAATAGTTCAAAGAACTAGCGTTGAGTATGTTGAAGAACAGTTGAGAATAGAAGAAGAAAAAGGCAATAGAATCTTTTTCTACTATTTTGTTGACAAAGATGAATATATAGTGTAACTGATTTAGAAGGAAAAACAGTAAGTATAAGATGCATTGATTTTTATATATTGGCGCGTACAAGAAAAAGAAACGATTAATTATACTTGTATAGAAAAGAATATAAGTTATATATTAACAAAATCAGTAGTGACCGTACCGCCACAAGGGGGCTTACTAAAAATTTGTTGATGAATGTTTTTTCAATCTATTATTAGTATCTCTCTGCAAAAAATTCAAAACATCGAAAAACTTCAGTGTATCAAGCAGAACTTCCGAAACCGCAAAAATTATTTCTTGCATACTTCAGGAAATATTGACTCAATTTTCTGAAAATTTAAATTCTAAATAACAATACCTAAAAGGTTACTGAAATTACGATTGGGTTCTTGATATCAAGAAAAAGGGATTTTAAACTATTCTTGAGCTTAGAATCTAGTATCAAATGCAAACCGTTTAAAAAACTGAAATTTTTTATTCAAAAAATGAATACTATGAAATTCTTGATTGTAGGTTTTTTTCTTGTCCAAAGAAAACCTATTCATCATTATTTCATCTTCTGTTTGTAAAAATATCAGAATATCCAATATACCCCCCATCACCAATTCAAACATTATTTCCTCTCTACTCAAAAAAAAATAGCATTTTACTCAAGCGATTCGCTCACTATCTAAAACTTGATTTTACATAACAAATATTGAAAAGAATAAAATAAGATAAAATATCGAATAACAATGATAGCATGCTTAGAAACGGCAAAAAAATGAAAAAAAAATGAATTGAACGCAAACACGAGAACGAGCTTTGTGTGAAAGGCTACACATTTAATAGAAGAGAGAAAAGTAAATGAATTGATTCATTCGTGATGATTATGTTGATTCATTCGTGATGATTATGTTGATTCATTAAAGATCGTTTTACTTCTAGTTCATTATTTTCTTTTTCAACAGCGGCTGAAATATCAAGTGTTGTTTTTGATGACATGCGAGGCAATACTTTCGGACATTCTTCTTCATCAATTGAGATTCTTTTCATTTTCCATAATAGATCATAAGTGATTTCATCGTTTACAACTGAGTCATGTTTATACGCTGGATGATTTGTAACGAAATATCGCATCCATGCTGCATTCGTCATTAATGTACCTTAAAATCAATAGATATTTGATTTAATGCAAAAACCAACTACAACAAGTTTTGTTCAACATACCAGCTGCTCGTTTACTTATTAAATTTAAATATTGATTAATAGTGCATCGCGTATCAGCATCTACTTCAATATTAGATAGATAATCCTGAATAATTTTCAATAGACCAACAAATTCATTCTAGAATTTAAAATAAAATCAATTGATCGATTATGTAAAACTTAACTGAAACATTGCACTTACTGATCCATTAATGATTTCATTTATGGTCATAAGACGATGTTCACATTCATTTTCTTGAAAAGCAGACTGTTGCACAGATGCCATGCATGGTGTATCAGGTGTTTTCACTGAATGAAAACAAAAAAAAATGAAGATATCACTAAAATAAAACAACAAATATTTACTAGTTGAAAGACATTTTCTAAAATGAAATCTTTGATGCAGAACTGCATCACGGTGTTGAGCCGATTGCATATTTTCGTCAACCTATTAAGAAATGTAGATGGTACCGTTCGTCATTCATTATCGTTGAATATCTTACATTCGAAATAGGAATAAGTAGATTTAGATTATATGTCATAATAGCACGTGTCAATAAAACAATGAATGTTACAAGTGCAGCATTTTCAAAATCGGTCATTTGTAACTATATAGTAGAATAATACGATGAGAAAAAAAAAAGAAAGGAACTCAAAATATAGATATTTACTTCTGTGGGTCGAAATTCTACACGCCAACCAATATCACTATTACTTGGTGGTGGTTTAAATCGCATCGATTGCCAATTAGTGGAATTGATGTTCTAAAAATAAAAAATATGTTTTTATATTAAATTCAAAAGAAACAAAAAGAAATTTGACTTCGAAATGATCAGTATCTTGTGTATCATCTTGATGAAGCTGTTCTTCAAATAAAGCTACTGAATCGCGAACAAATAAATGTGCTATATGTTGAGCCAATATATGATCAATACCTTTAGAGAATTGAAATCAGGAAGATAAAAAACAAAAGATTATTTTATATAGCTATCGCCTTTTACCATGTTCAGTAAGTTTATGAAAGGCATCTGCATCTTGAACAACTTCAATATCGTTATAAATGGCACTGTCTGGTGAAATATAACAATCAATACTTGAATAACGAGATTTTGGTAAACGAAAACGTTCATTTTTTAATGGCTAAATAAAAGAATTAATTTTATTTCGAGAACAAAAATTCCATCTATTTACTTCAAGGCCTCGTTCCTCAGGTGTTCGATCATCTACCATGGCACATAATACATTCCATCGACAATCAATATCAGCTAAATAACCACGCCATATCGGTGATGATGCACCCAGTGCTAACTTTATAAGAGGAAGAGGGAAATAACTTTACAAAATAGTAACGGTCAATATACCATAATAGGAGTCAATGGAGTCAGTTGATCGTATAGAAAGCGTGCTTCATCAATTGATTGAGCTTGAAAAGTCACTTGTAAACAACAGCAACCCATGCCTAAGCCCATGGCATCGAGGTAAATATGATCTTCAATAGCAGTTGATTCATGCGAATTACCATCATGGTCATATATTGATAAATCTTCAATAAATGGTCGCGGAGTATTTTTGTCGATAAAAACTGTAGTAATAATAATAAGAATTCAAAAAGAATAATTCTTAGTCTTGTACGTACTAGGAAGATGAATAGCGACATTAGATTGACGTCGCAGACGAATATTTCGTGTTAATGTTCTGAAGAAAATAAAATAATTAGTAATCATTGATTCATTATATCATATTACTTAAAACGTGGATGATTCGGAAAAATGACTTCATCAGGAAAAAAAATTGAAGCAGATGCTGATGTACTTGGTGTTGGTTTATGAGTAGGCCAAGTAAATTCAGGACATCCATTTCTAAATAATCAAAAATATACACAGTGCTTTCAAATTAAATTTGTTAATTTTTTGAGTAAATTTCATACCTTGGAAAGTTGGAAGTACTAAGTACATATTCATCTTTACCAAGTAATTGTTGACCTTGTTGTCGACTGAAAAATATTTATTTCTTTTCTTTTTGTTCAATAATTTATTTGAAATTTACCGTAAACGCATATTTGCTTCCACCATATTGAAATGTACCGGTAAATGTCCATAGGGTTTGCCGGGCGTAGCCTCAATCATATAATCCTAGTGAAAAATGAATAAACTAAATATTCGATTACATTTGTTTATTTTACTTACTGCATATTCTGGATGCCATAATGTTACACAATCACTAAATATAAAAATAATATCTTAGCAAACAATTGATTTTTATGAGTTATCATCCTTACGCTGGATTTTGATCTTGAGGTTTCATAAGAGTAGATAAAATTTCATGAGACCTAAGAGCAAGTTGTACTCTTTTGTTTTCATGATCAAAATGTACCATAAGAAATTCAACCTAAGAAGAAATATATTACGATTGAGATCTTTTTTCCATTACTTTTCCATACTTCATCACCCCATTTGAGACAGTCATTTCGACGATCTTTGAGTTTGTTATGGATATGAATAAATTGTTCGATACCGTGTTCACGGATAAGTGATGCATACTCTTTTGTTTCTTCCCAATTTAATGGACGACCAAGCGTCAGTAAACCCATGTTTTCTTGTTTATTAAATCTTGAAAAAGTAAGAAGAAAAAGTGAATTAATACTTCCACAAATCATTAATACTATGTTAATTGGACTTTTGGATGTGCTACTCAACACTACTTAGTATATTGTATCAGCCAGATCTTTAAGTGCGTAGATTATTTTCACTCTGAAGATGAAATCAAAATCTGTCAGATTATAAGGTGTTTGCAAAATTATTGCAAGTCATGATGACGACAGCATTTTCACATGATGCATGAAAACAAGTAATTTTTCATAACTAATCATTTTAAAGATAAGAACAACAATTTTTCATTTTGTATATTATAGGAACGTATTGAAGAAAAGTAACATCGAAATTGAATTTCTTTTTGAATCGATTCGAAGAAAGAATGAATGAAGATAGAAACGGAACGAAAGCAAACTACCAAATGAATCATTGCTAGCATTTGGTCACAATGCTTTGCAAGTAGCGCTATCTGATAGTATCTGATTCATGTCTCTTTTATCCTTTTAGAAAAAAAAACTAAGCTTGGCTCGCTCTCTATTATCACCATTTTCTTCATTGTTGCTATTGGATTAAAATCAATCGCAGCATCTATGTTAGAGGGAGAGAGGTCGTTAAAAACCATTCACTACATTTTTGTACATTTCTTTTTAAAGAAAGAGAAGAAATATATAGTAAGATTTTTGGTACTCTGATTTCAGTAAAATACTTGAAGGAAATATAAGAGATGCTATAGTTACCTGTTTGATATTAGTTTCATTCTGTTTTGGAACATTTTTAGTAGTTTTCAAGATTTGCTCGTGCACTTTCTAAAATTCTTAGATCACTTAATTTCAATTTAGATAAAGTCAAATCATATACTAAAAAGAAGATACCTATCTATTGTGTAGTGAGAAAGTTTTTCTATGAATATTGATTGGAAATGAAGTAAAATTGAACCTATTTTAGTATCATTACAAAAAGTTAATAAAATATATCATTTTTATCTTGTATTGCTGCAAAATGTTAAGTATGCACAAGTATTATTTTATCTTTTACAATGATTTTCTACTAACATTTTCAATTGCCAATCAATCAAGTACAACTCAAGTTTCTTTTATGCGAGTTGAATGGTCAATGTTTCAAACTAGATTTTAGATGTTAGTGTCAATGTGGTTGAGAAGAAAAATTCCAAGTCGAATCTTGACAAATAAGCTACGTGTAATAAACACTGGAAATTTTCGTAATAGTAAATATTATCAAGCAACAATGATATCTTAGTATGACAGAAGAAACTTATAACGCTTGATGCAATGTAAAGCTTTTATTGATTTTATTACATGCAATTTTGCATTCTCCACAAATGAGTCAAAGCAAAACAACGAGAACAAACATAAGCATTAAATGGTATTTGTAGCCTATCATTTTCGATCCATACGAATATATTATTTGAAAAAATCTAGAAAATCTAGTTTAGATCTCATATTGACAATAAATATGGAAGTAATGAATGACTTTAGATGATTCGGATTCATTCACTCTTGTGTTTAACATATCTGAAATATGAACTGATTGAATTTTCAAATCATATATACATATATTTCATGTAATAAGCAATGGAAAATTGCTACTAGAATATGTTGGAACTGGATTTTTTATCTGATGGATCATTGTATTATGTTGTACTTATTTTCTATTATAGCTAGTCCATTGTCTTTTTACCTAGTATACCTTATTTTTTACTGGTTATTTAGCTAAAAGGAACGACAAATAATAATAAATAATTCTAATAGCAGAGATAATCATTATAGTCATCCTCTTATAAATTATGCCAGATGTCGTCTATGAACAATCAATTGCATAATTAAAATTATATGTTCGATTGGATTATAAATAATCGATTGTCAGGAAAAGAAAGAGAAGACGACGATATACATACCATGTTCATTCATCCTACTATGTGTGTAGTTTAATGCTTTTATTACCATATAATTACAAGAAATATTGCTGTATGATTAATTTGTACATATATTGATTTCGTGGTGAAAAAATGCCGCAAGTTGTCTACCCATCACTAGTTGGCTATTACGAATTGTTGAAGACAGTAGGTCATGGTGGTTTCGGTAAAGTAAAACAAGCAATACATTTATTAACCGGTGAATTCGTAGCGATTAAAATAATCGATAAAGCTAAATTAGGGGTAAGTAATTGTTTTATCATTATTTTATTTTATGTCATATTTCTGCCATTTATGCAAATCTTTTTATTAGAGTGATGTAGTTCGTGTTGCGCTTGAAATAAAAGCAATGAAAGATTTACGTCATCAACATATTTGTCAACTTTATCAAGTTATTGAAACAGCTGAATATTATTTTCTAGTCTTAGAGGTAACCTCACTTAATTCGTCTTAATTTTTGCTAATGAAATACATTTCTATAGTATTTTTGTAATGGTGAATTATTCGATTATATTGTAAATCGAAATCGTCTATCCGAAGAACAAGCTCGACATTTCTTTCGTCAAATAGTATCGGCTGTAGCTTATATGCATAAAAAAGGTTATTGTCATCGTGATCTCAAACCAGTATGTAGGAGACATCGATCAACAAAACTTGACTTGGTCGTTTATCTCTATTCTAGGAAAATCTCTTACTTGATCGCCGAGAAAATTTGAAATTGATTGATTTTGGTTTATGTGCACAACCAAAAGTAATTTTGGTACATCAATGAATATCATTTTGTTTTTAATATTTATTTCTAGGGTGGTATTAATTTAGCATATTTAGGTACAGCTTGTGGTAGTCCAGCGTATGCTGCACCGGTAATGATAGACATAAGTTTTACAAGAAAAATATTTACTTGATTTCTATTTCTTGTCTGTACAGGAAATTATTGCTGGGACGAATTATCGAGGTGACGTGGTAAGAAAAGCCGATATGTTATTGAAATCTTTAGTATAGAACATGAAATTTTTTTTTAAAGGCAAGAATGGAGATCTTTATAAATCAGGAGATTTTGCATACCTGAGAAGATAATTTTAAGATATCGTTTTGTCTGAACATTTTGTCATACTATTTATTCATGTTTGTCAAATGTATGATGCAGCGTTGATGAACTAATCTGATACCTGATCTCTCTTAGCACTACTAATTCATAAACAGTGAAATCTGATAAAGAAAACTGTCTCAATCGTTCTTTTATTTATATGTTTAGGCTGATATTTGGAGTCTTGGCGTTCTTCTTTACACATTGTTATGTGGTACTCTCCCATTCGATGATGAGAACATAGCATCTATGTATTCTAAAATTCAAGTAATAAAAAACATAAGAAATAACTGGAATTTAGCAATGATATACTTTTCTCATTTCAGAATGGTATCTACTATATGCCACCATTCTTATCATCAGAAAGTGTTGCATTACTGAGACGCATGCTTCAAGTTGATCCAACTAAACGAATTCGTATTGATGATCTTCTTTGTCATCCATGGCTTATGAATCAAGTTTACACTGAACCTGTAGAATGGGAATCACTTTATCAAGTAGATTTTTTAGAAGTTTCTATTCACTAATGAATGTCATTGATTTTTCATAGAATAACTTAGATCTATCATGTATACGTGAAATGGCTTTATATTATGACCGTACTGTGAGCGATATTGCACAAGAATTTTATCATGTAGGCTAAATGTGATTTGTTAAAACTTAATAAATCTATCGAAAATAAAATATTTCGGTCTATTTTTCTAGAAACGATATGATTATTTGACTGCAACATATTTTATTTTGTTGAATCTCAAATCTAGAAATAAGCCGATACGCCTTTTACCTAATCGCATACAACAGATCACTTCTCATAGAACTTATCGGCAAAATGAACAATCAAATTCTATTCCAACGAATTTACTTCGTGAAAAAAATCCACCGCCAGCTAATTTTCTTCTTTTATCTCAACAGGATAAAAAAAATTTATCATTTCAAAATGAAATGAAATCAGCATATAAACAAAAACATAAAACACCAAATAAAGAAAATATTGAAAATTCACAGACACCACGTTACGGACAACTAATACCAATATTCAAGTATATGATAAAAATGAATGAAAATATAAGCTGTTCTTTCTTTTTTTAGAGCACCTAATTGTCAACGAATCCTCTTGTTTGCTGAATCACCTAGTGGGCCAAGACGTGTTAGCATAAAGAAAGGTTATAGAAGAAACTATTTTGAGATCGAAAACATTCTATTATTATTATTATTAATAGATCATCGTATTACTGCTTCAAAATCTTTTGATGATGGCCTTGATGGTGATAATCTTGATGATTCAAAGATTGCTTCGGCACTAAAGTATAGCTATTATTACTTTTTACTACTATAGCGGCAATCCATTGAGAGATCAATTTATGAGGTTATGAGTTCTGTAAAGATTATAGATTCGGAGTAAAGCTATGATTTGTATTACAACTAAAATATTTTTTCATAATTGTTTTCATTTTATTTTTAAATTATGTTTACATAGATCAGATAATTTGCACATAACATAAAATATTTAACTATATAATCATCAGTTCCTACTAAGAGAACTTTTTTCTTGTATTCACAATCTCGTATCTGTCTAGTGGAGAGTGGCTACATCTTCACAATTAGTAGCTACGTTTATTCTTGTTATTTTGCAATACATTTTCGATTTTATTAGTCATTCATAAGTAATTATACTATTTCTATTTTCTATAGAGCATTTTCAGTGGGTGCTGTTGATAGTGATGATTTAGATGTATATTTAACGCCACACCGTCAAAATAAAAAAGTTCGATCATTATTTGGTAGTGTAGAACGTGGCTTGAATACCGTTAAACAAATTCTTACACCAAAACGACTTAATACAAATAGACCAAGAAAAACTTGGGTATAGAAATATAATTATTATAGTATTCTAATAATTTTGTTATATTTAATTGTTTTTAGGAAACAGCTAATGTAACATCATTAAATTGCGATGATTCCGATCAATTATGTGATTTACTTGAACAATCTATTCAATCTAATTCTCAACTTAAATATAAAGAAAAAGGGTATGTAAAATTTATGATGTATAGACGTATATGAACCTAACTATATATATTCATATTTTTAAATATTTAGAAGTCGTTTTATTTATGATGTATTCATTGAAGATGATTGGGGTAAAATTGTGCTAGAATTTAATCTAGAAATAGTTGCCGTTCAAGGCAAAGAGTTAGGTATACAACGTAAACGTACAAAAGGAAGTGCATGGCATTATAAACGATGTTTTGAAGATATTATTCGACAAATTAATCGTCATTTACCTCAATTACAAACATCTGTTTGAATACATTTATTTTTCTCTTTATTGTTTTGTCTGATTAGATCTTATCTACATGTATACACCATGTGTAACTTCTAATATTTGTGTATTTCTACTGTTCATATACATATATGTTAGCGTCCAATGTCGGATTGAGCGGAAATTTAACATTAAAATGTGAATTAGCTTGTACATCGGTGTAGAACTCGATTCTCTACTTATGGACTTCGATGAAGTATCATCATACCAGGCAACGTAATCATCAATAAACGAATAAATTAAAGGCTCGAGGAGTTATGGACACTTTTCAATCTTGAGGGTGAGGGTATGGGTTACCCTGATCATAATTCATCAATAAGAATTTGAATTTGAATTCTATACCGATGTACAGACTAATTCACGTTTTAATGTTAAATTTCCGCTCAATCCGATATTGGACACGTCCAATCTCGGATTCGAGATTTGCCTAGGCCAATCTGAGATTGAACGTAATCTCAGTTTGGACGCTAACATATATATATATATATGGAATTTTTCTCTAATTCTTCCAAGTGAAATAAATAATTAGTATAGAATCGTTTTTAATTTTCATCATACTTGTTAAGATAATTAAAAGAATAGATTTGCGTGTCGTTTGCTGCCACCTCTTATTTTAACCAACAATTGATCAGGTAAATATATATATATATTTGATGATTCATCTATGATAAGGAAAGAGGATTGAAAACATATGAAAGAGCTATGTATTTTAATACAATAAGATATATACTTATATAAAAACATGAATGATGTGAATGAATTACCCAAAGAAATGCGTACAGAAACCGATACATTCGGTCCAATCCAAGTACCATCGGCATGCTATTATGGAGCACAAACAGCCCGTTCAATGATTTATTTTAATATTGGATTACCGACTGGTAAAGAATAAAAACTCATTTTCTTAGTCAAATATTTCTTTTTAAATTAACTTTTAGATTGTATGCCACTTCCATTAGTAGAAGCATTTGGCCTATTAAAAAAAGCATGCGCAATAGTAAATCAAAAATTTGGTCTTGCAAATAAACTTTCCGATGCTATATCACAAGTATGTGATGAGATTATTGATGGTAAATTAAATGACCATTTTCCATTGAGTATTTGGCAAACAGGTTCAGGTACACAAACAAATATGAATGTTAATGAAGTTATTTCAAATAGAGCAATACAAATACTTGGTGGTATCATGGGAAGTAAAACACCTGTTCATCCCAATGATCATGTGAATAAAAGTCAAAGTTCTAATGACACATTTCCTACTGGTAAAACAACTATTTATCATTGAGTATTTTATTGTTTAAAATGCTATGCGGTGGTTGTTGTTGTTGTTGTTTAGCTATGCATATTGCTACTGTATTAGAATTAAATCGTCGATTATATCCAGCATTAAATAGTCTTCATAGTGCATTAAAAAAGAAATCCGACGAGTTTTCGTTGATTTATAAAATTGGTCGAACTCATTTACAAGATGCTGTGCCCATGACACTTGGACAAGAATTTTCTGCATATGCACATCAAATAGCAATGAATATTGAACGTTTAAAAACCAGTCAAATACGTCTGTCTGAATTAGCTATTGGTGGAACAGCTGTTGGTACTGGAATTAATGCGCCGAAAGATTTTGGCAAATTTGTTGCTCAAATTTTAACTGAACTTACTCAAGTATCATTTCTCGATGCACCCAATAAATTTGAAGCATTAGCTACACATGATACAATGGTTGAACTAAGTGGTGCACTTAATACTCTAGCGGTTAGTCTGAGTAAGATGATCGTTATTGTTTATTCATTAAAAATATAATTTTCCTATTTAAAGTGAAAATTGCTAATGATATACGTCTGTTGGGTTCAGGACCTCGTTGTGGTTTAGGTGAGTGTAGTTTTCTCTATTTTGTTATTTTTCGTGAAAAATTTCTTTGTTAAGGTGAATTAATATTACCGGAAAATGAACCAGGCAGTTCAATTATGCCTGGTAAAATTAATCCAACTCAATGTGAAGCTATGACAATGGTGGCCGCACAAGTGATGGGTAATCATGTGGCTGTTACTGTTGGTGGTTCAATGGGACATTTTGAATTGAATGTTTTCAAACCGCTAATTATTAAAAATGTTCTCCATTCAATAAGACTTTTAGCTGATGTTTGTAATTCATTTACCGATCATTGTGTATCAGGAATTTTACCGAACACATCGGTTCTAACACGTTACGTGCACGAATCTCTTATGTTAGGTAAATGTTACAAGGAAATTTTATGCTTGATTTTTATATTGAATTTTATTTAGTAACAGCATTAAATCCATATATTGGTTATGATAAAGCTGCAGAGATTGCCAAGAAAGGACATACAGAAGGACTAACACTACGTGAAGCAACATTGGCTCTTGGTTATTTAACAGAAGAAGAATTCGATAAATATGTCAAGGCTGAAGATATGGTTTGAAAAAAAAATGAACACTTCAAAAAATTAGTTATTGTTTTCCAAAAAACAAATTCTGGTTTTTTTTTGATAATAGATGTAGTGGTTGATGATTGTTTGGGTGGTAAACTATTATTATAAAAAGTCAAATGCGAAAATATGTTTTCCAGCTATGAAATTCAATAGTCTAAATCAATTCACTAAATCTTTTGTTACCGAGACACTAAGCGACATTTTGAAAGTTCAATTTAATAAGTGAACTCAACAATTGTTTTTAGAAGAATTATTTTATTTTTAGTGCAGACATGACAATCGCTTAATTGATGCCTTCATTTATTATCATAATTAGAAGTCTTTTTTCAAAGAAGTTCAATAACAATAACTTCCAATCTAGCAGCATTCTCCAGAAAAAAATAGCAACTTATGAAAGTCAAATGTTGGCTGAGATTGTTTGAGAGTAGAGACAGAAAAAAATATGATTGTTCTATTATTAATTAGAATACTATTTTTATATTACACATATCACAAGAATATTTTAGAGGGTGAAATGGCATAATGGCAACATAGGATGTTGAGAAAATGAAAGACACCAAATTTGCATCCCATCACATTCTCATAGTGTTGATACAAAAAGTCGATCTACATTGTGACTTAACAATTTGACTTTCTGCTTCGCTATTCATTATAGCTGTTATTTTGTTAGACGGTTTCAATCATAGTAAAGAACCATCGATTCATTTAGTATCTTCATTGACTCGAGACTTCGAATGAAGTCTACAAATATTTTATATTTACTTTCAAAGATTCATTCAAAACTATAAAACGCATTTGGGGACCTTAGTACAAAACAATCATCTTATGATATTACTAGTGTCTTTTATTCTCTATCACATCTTCTCGTGTGTTCTGTTTATTTAGTTTTAAAAAATTGTTTCGAATATTTTTCTCTAGATTTATATATGCATAAATTTCACAATTATTATTTTCCTAGAATAAATCAATTTTCATAAAAGAAAATTCTTGCTAGCAAATGAGAACGTTTGAAGATGTTCATCAAAGAAACACATCGAAGACAATAAGTAAAACACTAAGAATCGCTTCTGTTCTTGATATTAGTGTGTACACTAACGAAAACAATAAAATTGTTGTTTATGATTATATTTTGTCACTAGTGTTATATCTTAGCAACCTGTTCGTAAATTATCTTCATTTAATTGACGAATTTTGTTTTTAATCATTATTTTTCTACTTTCCATCTCATGTCGTCCAGTGTTCGTTCATTTTTTCGTAGTAAACGTTCTCGTAGTAAAGAAATAAATATAATACAACAAAACTCTAAAGAAATAGTATCGCAACAGCCAACAACTAGGTTAACAAGTATAGAAGATAACCGTCCACGTCATTTTCTTCTAAGTGATGTTAATGAATGGATAACAAGCATGCATTCTCAACGACAATCTGTTAATATAAGCTGTTGTGGCGGTGATGATAAGAAAAATGCTATTAAAAACCAAGTAAACGCTCCGCGTTTAAGCAAAGAAACACCTGAACCCATAAAACAAAATCCTGATCCAATCGAATCAGATGATCATAAAGTCGAACACATTGTTCAACAACATGCAATTAAAGTTGATACTCATGATAATTTACATGCGAAACAAGAACTAACAAAAGCAATAATGAATCAGTTAGTTCAACGAGCATTAACTAGGCCAATGAATGTACATAATGATGATCCACCGCGGCTATGTACCAAGAAACATGTAAGACATTGACGGAGTTGAATTAAAACTAGACGATACTTTTTTGGAAATATTAAGTGCTCATTTGCTAATGAACCATTGACAATCAAACCTGTCACTTGTGTACCTGGTATTGGTCCAAAACATGGAGATTTATGTGAAAAACATGGGTATGAAAATATATTACATATTAGATATTATTATTTGACATTGTATTTAAGAATTATTATGGCTCATCAATTATTATCAAGGTATATGATAAGTGCTAACGATGATGAATTTAAAAAATCTCTTGTTAATCAACTTGGTTTTACACCAAAATCAGCTACAATGACACGAGATGGACTTCGAGAAATGAGACGTCATTTGATTTGATTGTTTCTATTTTTTTTCAATATTAATACTTACCTTTGTTCTAGTGAACGTATAACTTAATTGAAACGAACATAAAAGAAATATGATTGAGCTCTACTTAATAGCGAAAAGATAAATTTTAGTTGCTGCTCACTTTGATGTATTCTATTTTGGCCGCTACTGATTGCTGGTTTGCACAAAAGTTCATCGATCAAATATGCTTAGATATATATTCAATGTTGCCACTATATTTTTTATATTATTGTATGTGTTATTTAAGTGCGATCATAGAAAAAGAAGAAAGTGATTACTTCAGTGTCTGCTGTTCATAATAACCAGTAACCACTAAGCGTATTCCCTGGCTATTTACCTTTTTTTTACAGGTGCAGTATATACAAGTCAGAAGAATGCTACTTTTCTAAATTCAACCGATAGCTTTCTTGCTAGGACAATAGTAGTTTATGTTTATTTTCTAAAATCTATTACTGTACATAGAAAAATACATTGAGTTGGTAGAATAATAAATATCACACCGAATGTTCATGTGATTATCCTTTGTTAGGTTTTGGTACTGATCGAGATCGTCTTGATGGCCGATGTTGTGCTTTAGTATCTTTTTAGAATGAAAAGAAAAACCTCAATTGTACGAATTTCAAGTTAAGTATGAGATGAACTACCTGATTTTTCTGATAGTTGACTTTCTATTCGAACAGAACGAGGTAAAAGAGGAGGAGCTGATGAATCAGTTGTTCGCTGCGTTTCATTATTCGTTGTTATTGGTTGATTTAATCTTAGTTGTTGTGGAGCTGGTTCTTCTTTAGGCATGATCAAATATTTGTAAATGGTTGTACGAGGTGCTGGCATTTTAGTTTGTACTTCATTTGAGCGAAATCGTTTTTCGCAACATTTTTCATATAGATGATGAAGAATTAAAGTTGCAACAAAATCACTAGAATGAAAACAAAATATATTTTTTTACTCAATAAAAATATTCATTTATTGAATTCTCACCTAGCATTTGTAGCAATAATTCTTAAAATAAAATGTCCGTCAGGTTCTAAGTATTCTGCATCGAAGAAATGAAAGAGTGATCGATTATTCTTGTAATAAATACGAGGTACAATAAACATTCTTGATTGATGGTGAACTTTCTGCCCATTACTTAAAACATACTCTTCATCTCCAGTTGTTGCGGATTCGCCACGTTCTTGAACTAGAATATGAATATATACGAACACAACTCATTAGAAATATTCAGTATTGTATTGTTGGATGTTTTTTTAAATTCTAATACAAGCATTTATAAATAAATTTAGTATGCTTTCATTGATGAATGTAAACTACATGTGATTTTATAGCGTAATTATTACAAATATTTACAAAAGATTGTTAGAACCAACCAATATATCGTAATAAAATTCGATCTATTTTAAAATAGTTTGTTTATGTTAGTTTTGTCATTTGTTTCAAGAATAGTTTTTCTTTTACTACGAACAATCAACGAAAAGAGTTATTTCAATCGTATACACGTAACCGAGAAAATTTCTTCTACTTTGTTTCATGTAAAGTTTAGCAAAGAAAGCAGCATATGCAATGTTCTTTTCTTAATTACCGACAGAAAAGATTAAGCATAATTCTTGTCAACAATGTTAAATAAATGCATCTGCGTTTCATGTCATATTAAATTAATAATATATGACGTAAGAAAAAATCGGTATGTATTACACTCTAAAAGAGACTAAAAATATGATCCAGACTACTTGACGTAGCATTCAATATTTTAATTTCTGCATTTTTACTTGCGTTTATCGGCGTTGGAGTTCTCTTTCCTGAACGTTCCCTTGCCGGCTAACGAGAAAATGACTCGCACTTTGTATTTCCAACAAAGGAACGCATCAGTGATGATACGCTTACTTCTATGAAGGTCACATCATTCCGTTCTATTCCCGGATCTCTCTTTTTGTTAGCATTAAATTTTCTTTTCCTACCTTTAATCAGATGCTCATTTTCTTCTTCATTTATATGATTTGCACATGACGCTTTATATGGCCATTTTTGTGCTAATTCTGGATTCATTACTTTAAGACGTCCTCTTAAATAAATTTCTCGCCGAAAAAACAATCGATATATCCATACAAGAAGATCGTAAATTGTGAAGAAAATGACAATTACAAACCAAAACCATAAGAATGTAAATATTTGCTAGAAGAAAAACAAATAGTTAGCTGAAAAAGATTACTGAAATTTACAAAAAAGTAAAAACCTGATTGAAGAGATTAATTGGTAGAACACACATTACCGTATAAGTATGTGCTATTGGTAATGTATTTGCTTCACGAATTTGAAAATCACTTTAACAAAAAGAAAATTTCTATGTTGAACTATTATCCGTATCATCTTCTCACCATAATGTTACTTTAGGAAAATGTCGACTTTGATAATCCCAACCTCTTCCATTATATAAAGCTTCGAGAATTGTAAAACCTAACGACCAGAATGGTTGACTTAATAGAAAAGATAAAATAAAAACTTGTGCAAACACATTCATCGCATAGATTATTTTGATAAAAATAAATAAATTTCTTAGATAATCTCCCATATAACGACCAGACGATGGAAAACATACAAAAATACATTTTTTCCACCAAACTTGTTCACGATTATTCGATTGACGACGTGGATCATCAACATATTGATCAATAATTGATATCATATATTGCATCAATTGTTTACGCTCGTTTTCACCTGTTATTTTTTTATAATTAGTTGCAGCTTCAACAACATCTCGGACATCAATGCCTTCGTTTTTAGAAGGAGAAAAGGAAACGTTCGAAACTATATCTTTTCTTTAATATTAGTAAGTTTACCTGATCGTTGACTCAATGCTCTCCATAAAACAAAAGGCATGAAGAACAGCAATGCTTGAAACAATAGTATAAATTGTATCCATTGATAATAACGGATGGATGATTCATAACGCATATCGTGATTTTCAGGTATTTCTTTTGTATCATCAATATAATATGTATTACGAACCCAACATACCTATTAATGATATTGAATAACATGATAATAATACTACAATATATAAAAGAAAATTAATTTACATTATTCGTATAATCTTCATAGTTTTTATTAAAGAATGCTGGAACCTAAAATATAGATTTAAAGAATGTGTGCCATCAGTGAGATTTTAACTGCAACATAATCTTTACCCAACATTGAATACGTTGCATAGTAAAGTCTCGATTCGATACAAGAACAGTAAATGCTATAAGTATTGCACATGTATATCGATAACTAAGACGATCACCTGTGGAATCATCACTTCGAGATGTACCAAGGAAGTAAACTGAAAAATCATTCGCTGCTTTTAATATTAATCCCGACATGAAAATAATGAATTAATAATATTTTTATCTGAAATTAAAATAAATACTAATTTATAATTGTTTTCCTTCAGTCAAAACAAGGTATTACAAAAGAGCCTGTGTCAATTAATTGCCTAGTACAAACTCTTGCTTGTGCTATTATTTTATCACTTGTTTATACGTAGTAGAAATTGCCATTTCTATATGTTGTATAGCACGTATTCAATTAACCGTAATAATCGATAAAAATGATCCCTACGGTAGTGAAGATTCATTATTATTGGCTCTCTCTCTCGCTCTCTCTCTCTCTCTCTTATCTGAAGTCATAGATACAAGCCATTGATTGGTTTTTCGGTTGACTTCACTGTTGCTTAATAGTGCTCGACTTAACAATAACTCTCACCGTATGATGCCGTTTACAGTTCATCAATACGCATGTATGCTTACGAGAAGGACAATGTTAATAACACTGTTTTAGGAATCAAATGAGTTCTTTTTAGTTATTTTATTTATGAAATGTCGAAGAAAATGGAAAAAAAAAGAATTGAAAAGTGTAGTTACTGCGATTATAACATTATCTCTAAATCAATCTTGATTGATGCTCGTAACAGCATTCCGGTACTTCTGCGGTTTTCCATCGATGTCAAGTACTCCCAGTTTTCTTTTTCTCTCACATTCTATGGCAACGAACGTAAGCAAGTATTATAATTACAGAGAAAGAGAAATAGCTTTTCTTTCTAGAAAATTACTTGGCGGTAGCGACACTTTCATTGCTCGCTCACTTGACAAGAGAACGCTTCAAAAGCAAAAGAAATGGTTGTATATAAGAATAAATAGGAGGTCACAGCAAAAAATACTCGCTATTCTTTTTTTTTTCTTCTTCTTCATTAAAATATCATCGAACAAAAAGAAGGAGTGGCAGCATCAGAAACGAAGAGAATGCATAATACATTAACCGGTTTCCAATTGAAACAGTCGTTATCATATTCATTAACCAGAGATATGTTTTTATCACTATTAGCAGACATTTCACTAGGTGTTATTTAAAAATTACTTATGAAATTGTTGAAAAGATCTTTCTTGGCGACCACTAATGCTACTTTTGAAAGTGAAGGATAGAGCATCAGAAAATTGACGTGTTGATTCTGTTACTAATATGCCGTTATAATTATTTTTTCTTCCAATTGAGCGACAAATTAATTGATGGCCTATCTACAAAAAAGAATGAAACTATAATATTACTCATAGAATTCCCTGTGTTTCAGAAGTACATTAGGATAGCAACTGGTGATTGCTCTTCTGCAACAGCGTCAACGATATGACTTCGTTCTCTTGAAATATAACACGTTTCTTCTCGAAGTTTTACCGAACAAAATAAATAAAAAAATCCATGTTACTAAATATCATCATCACGATGGTTTAGTTGAAGGCCAAATTAGAGTCACCTATTTTTATAATACGAGAATAATATAGAAAAGATCTCTCAAAAAATAAACAAATGAAAATCATTCTTAAGCAGTCTTGCCGTATTCTAAACATACTATAGTATTGACACAAAAATGTCCATGAGTTTTATGCTGTTATTAAAAGTGCATTAGTACCAACTGTTCTCACATTTCGGCATGTTTCTTTTTCATGTCATTAACTTTCTAAATAATAGAAAGACTAGGTCATTCATTCAGGAGAATGAGCTTTCCTAGCATCTCGATGATAAAGTGCATCAGTTCGTCGACAAGAAACATTTTGTAACAACTGAATTCGGAATAATGACTCTACACGATGACACTTAACCCTCAAATCGTTATAGAAATTTTTGTTGTGAAAATACATCAGGAGCAATATTTATAAGATATCCATCGTACATCAAATTGAATAAGCAACTTGAGGCGTTATTAAAAAATGCAATTATGCGAACAGATTGAAACAGTGATAAGTAAAAAGATGAACAGGTAAAGCGTACTGTTTGTCACATTCAAGAATTATTCATATTCTTTCTCATAATAGACTTTCAAAACGTTCTGTACGATGTTGAATTATAGTGTGGAATTCATTAATATTCTCGACCAGTTTTCCCTAATCAACAAAATTCAACACTATTACATTTCATAAGATAGATAGTTGATGACAAAAAACCTCTTGTCTAAGAAATATTCAATCGAAAGCTGCCAGCTGATGATAGCTTTTGTATCGTTTGATTTTTTTCCCTAATATTCAGATATTAAACTTACCTATAGTTTACGATAGGATGCGACCTCTAGCACATAGATAAAATTATTTTTCATAAACTATCCAATAGAAAAGCTTTGATTACGATGAAAATGTTTTTTAACCTTTCATAATCGGGAAACTTATACACAACTAAAACCTATACTAGATCGATTTGCTACAACAAAATTTAAATATTGAAATCATGAATGTCACTCTAACAATTACCCTTTTCACACCAATATTTGAAAATATCGCTTAAAAAAAAATCTTCAATCTGAAAACCCCGAATTAGCAATCATTTTCGAACTAAAAACAAATGCGTCCAATAAAAAGACGAATTCTTACTATGATCTACTAATGAATCAATTAGTTTAACATATCTCAATATTTACCGATTATTTATGCCCAATATTTAACATGCAAATATTTCACCGGTTTTACTAGATTTTGTCAAGTTCATCTAATAGATCAAACCGAAGACATTGCATTAATTTTGATTTGTTAAGCGCATGGCTAGACAATAATATTCTAGTCAATCATTAGCTTGATGTCAACAAGCGTAATTTGAAAATATAGCCATTCATAAAATCCTGTTATAATTTATGTGCTTCATATGATGATATGATGGTGTGTGAACAAGTATTTTGTTGTTTTTAATGGTATCCATAGTCAATAACCGTTTGAAATCTGTTACGAAGTCAGGTTATTTCTATAACAGCAAATGTAATTCAATGAAACTATGACCATTGTTAAATTATACTCTTCACAGTCAAATTATTCGTATGAATTCAATTTCTTTAATATAAATTCTCACACGTGACTCTCGAATGTCTTTTTGAAGATAATGATTTACATTAGATATTATGAAAACAATGAATCATAAGTTTTAGCTTTTGTCTAGCGGATATATAAATAGAAACTGTCTATTGTTTCTGAACAATTATAAATTTATGGAGATCTAGAGTTCTGCTGAGAATTAGCTGTTTTAACATGACAAGCATTGAATAAGTTATCAAAAATGACTTCCTTTTTAAGTCAATTCTTATAGTAATTACTTATTTCCCTGTTGAGAAACATGTTTAAAAAAAAGAGAGAATTTCATTTATGAAATTGCTTTCTTTCTAGGATTGATGAACTGCAAACAATACATCATACTGTTAATGTTGTTGCATATTCGGAAGTTAAATTATCATAATGTGATCGTAAATGTCGTGTTTTATCAGTGATGATCACCGCATGAATAATATAAGTTTATACTAATACTTGACTGACGAATAGCTGATTTTTATCAACAGTTGAGATATGCAAGGTGCAGCTAAACGATACATATGTTATTTCCTACAGAGTTTTATTTTAGTATTTATTTTTGAAACAAAAAATATTAAATTGTATTGTACAAGATGACTCTTTAGTAACACAGGACCATTTATTTATTGAATCTTTATTTTAGATTAACTTATTTGATGAATATTTTGGAAAGTAAAAACGACTCGCACACAGAAGAATTAGCTGCAAAAGTTTCTCGACTAAAAAATGTTAGCTGATATTTAATCATATTTTGTTGATGTTAAGCATGAATTTATTGTTTTTATTTGTAAGATTGCAATCGATATTGACAATGAAGCAAAAGAACACAATCGTTTTCTTGATTCCATGGTAGGACTTAATTAATTGAAAAATGAAATAAAAATATTATCGTCATTTTTATAGCGTTTTGATTTCGATACAGCACGTAGCTTCATTGGTGGAAGCTCCCGGCATTTAGGAAATGTTATGTCGAGTGGAAAAGGTGACCGACGATTTATGTGTTATATAATTGGTGGCATTGTATTTATTTTTGTTTTTCTATATTATGTTATAAGTTCATTTCGAAGTAAGTAAATAATATAAGTTCAATATTCAACTATAAGTTTACATTCTTGTCTATCTTCTTCTTTAGAATGAATCGTATCATTATCTAAAATTTTTCTTTGAATACTTCTTCTCATTTACTATTTACTCCTAAAATATAAATTTTGTTTGTGCTGGAATTTTTTTTAAATAAAAGCTGAATATAGAAACAATGGAATGCTTCAACCACTTTGTTGTGAAGATGCATTACGTTGCTGGATTATACATGTGACCATAATACTATCTCTCAGGTCTAAAAATACTTGTTTTTAGAAGAAAAAAAAGTCGACTACCCACGCTGATAGGAGTTTTAATTGAATTGGTTTTGACCTACTCAGAATGTATAGTCAATATCGAGTCGTCTAGAATTTGCTAAAAGTTTCTAGTTTCCACAAATGAGCTTTAATTAGGATTATATCATCATACTGTTTTTCCTATTAAATTTTAGATATGTATTTGTTGGATGAGAAAAAAACTGACTCTATTTTCTGCAAAAACAAGCAGCCAAAACAGACAAGAGTTACTGTTTTCTGAACAATAAAGTATGATTTATAATGGCGATGGGTGAAAATATCGGAGCGATCTTTAGTATTTTAGAAAATAAAACTGTTATCGAACACAATAAGATTTTTCATGGCTAATTTGACTAGCTTAGCATATCCTATTCGATCTAAAACTCGGTAAACTTGATACTAAAACAAAAATTCAATATTGAAAGTATCTGTTTATGCCTGCTGGCGATTAACGAAATTAATCGTCCCTCTCTTTTTTTTTTATAACAATAATGTATATTTGACTGAAATGAAATTTTCATAATATTTCTTTTGTAGATAAAATAAGAAAAAATGAAGTTAATTACACACAATATGCTTACATCGAATATACTCAAAGGCGTAACAAAAGGTTTTCCATTAAAAATCAATTTTACTAAAGTAGAAAATGCATCGGTGGATTACAATCGAGATTTCATCATTCGTGTTATGCAACGTATTGAATATGATGCATTAAGAGGCGCTGTCACTGATGTAATCATTTATTAGTAATAATATACGAAATAAGATGTTTTTTTCTAATCACAGCTTGGTTTACATGAATCATTACCAGAGACAATATCGGACTCAACTCAACAGAACGAAGAGTTTCTTAAAAAGATGCATAAAGTTCTGCTTGAATATGAAGTTGAAGAAGGTGAACTTGTTTGTCCTGAAACTGGTCGTAAATTTCCGATTTCAAAAGGCATTCCAAACATGTTATTGCAAGAAACTGAAGTATCATGATTTGTTACTTTATTGTGTGTATTATTGATCGAATAGAACATAAAAGAAAATAACGCATCTGATCAAGATTTATTCTAATTATTGGCAATAATCGCTGGCATACAGAAAAAAGTTTAACAAAAGTGAGAGCTATCTGAGTTAGTTGAGAAATTGACTTTTTTATGAGTAGGCACCCACAGAAAACAATACTGTATGTGTACTCAAGAGAAATTCGGTTGATCATGCTGCACAACTTTTCTACTGGAGAAAGTTTTTAGCTCATGAACTAGCAAATTACACTTTTCAAATCAAATAATGCATGTTATATATGATCGCTGTTTCCTATTGGAAAAGTCTTAGAAACGATGTTAATAACTCATATTCGATATTCATGAAAATCTTACATATTTATTGAATCCACACGTCGTCGAACCATTTTTTTGAACGAAATTAAAAATCATATTCGACCGTCAAATATGAACTCGGCCAGTTCAACCAATTGTATTGTTCGAAAAACGATATTAACTTTTCGTATGAATGCAGATATCAGTGATATAAAAAATGAACTCGTAAAGAAATCAACTTTTCTGGTTACAACAATGTTGGTACACTACTCTAAACTTGTTAATAGAGACCAACGGTGAATAATCGATTTTGTTTTTCGGTCAGACATATGATTTTGAAATAATCGCTAAAATTTTCTCTCTCTCGAAATTATGAACTTTCATATCATAGCCATGGTGTTAAAAGAGATCTTTCTAGATAGAAAAAAATAATATAGTTGAACTGAACTTCAGGTAAGGGTTTCCTTGTTATTAACTCTATTTAGGCACCAATACAATGTTCTATTAAAAGGAAATAATCGCTGGAAAATTCTTACCACTATTTGCATTTCTCAATAATAGTTTTCATTAATTTCAACGAATATTTATGTACTAACTTGAATGGTAAATGATCAATCATCATCTATATTTTAGATTGAATTATTAATGATATGCGTCGAAATCGAATACATGAACAAGCTGATAAACTATCTCCACAAAAAAATAAACCGAACCGACTTCAATTGTATTCATTTGAAATGGTACCTGAATATCTTCAATCAAATCCATATATTCGCACGGGCTATCGATATGGTTTAAATGTAAAACAATGCTTGTTGAGGTAAGTGTACTTTGAATTTGAATTTGGTGTTCACATTTAATTTTTCATTTGTTATTTTTATTCAGTTTACTTTATCTGAATAATGAATCGGTGAATATTTGGTCACATTTAATTGGTACTGGACTTTTTATATACTTTTTATTTCGTGACATTTACGCTGGACATGCGTTACCATTTATATCGTCAACATCCGATTACTATTTTGTCTTATTTTATACTCTTTCTGTTATAGTAAGTCTTTGAATTCATTTTTAGTTTATATTCTAAATCCATCGTAATTGCGAACAATAGATATGTATGTTATGTTCGACTTTATTTCATCTATTTGGTTGTATATCATCACAAGCATTTGCAGATTTTCTTAAATTAGATTTATGTGGTATTGGACTTGGTATTCTTGGCTGTTATTTATGTGGTCTTCATCTTTCGTTTGAGTGCTACCGTAGTTGGAGAATACGATATGAAACATTAATTATTTGTATAATGTTCATAGCTGTTATATATTACGTACATGGCGTAAGACGATACATGACACGAAACATTCATACTGCACTATTTCTTACAATATCTCTCTTGGGATTTTTACCTGGTTTTCACTGGTATTATCTTCATGGTGGTTGGTCAAATCAATTTGTTCAACATTTTTTTCCAAAATTATTTGTTCTTTATTTAATATTGAGCGTTGGAACAGTTGCTTATTTAACAAAATTTCCAGAAAGGTTTTTTCCAGGTATTTACTACTGAAGAGACCTACAATGATGTTACTTTTTGTTTCGCAACGTATTTAGGCTACTTTGATTTCATATTTGCAAGTCATCAAATTTGGCATATTTCATCATTAGGTGCATTCATTTGGTGGTATCAAAATGGTGTTGAATTATTGCAATATCGTCTTAGTAATCCTTGTCATACTCTTCAAAATTAAAATAGACATCTTTTCAGACTCGATTTTCACAGTGAATCCAAAGCAACAATTGGTCTACTCAACAGTTATACTTTGAAATTTTTGACTGAATTTCATCTTTTATTTTTCTTTTCTTTCTTTTCTTTAATTTTACACGTAATTTTTGATAATTTATTTGCAGTGCTACTATTTATAAGACTATTGTTTTGATAAAAAGTTTATAGATTGACTTGTACAACTGTTCCGTGATGATATTTTGTCTACAATAGTTTTTAATCTTTCTCAGCAACTACAGTACTTAGATATTTTTATATTTTCGCTAAAGGATATATCTCTATGCTCATTTTATTTAACCGTTTGAAAATTATAGCAAAATATATAATGAAAGAAGATAATAATAAAAAACTACACGATGAAAATGAAGATCGATCGTTAATACGTTTCACACATTTTTTGAGCAACTTCTAGATTGTACCGCAACCCTAAACAAGAATTAGTCATACTACTTACGACTACCGTTTTCATCTGTATCAAAAGTAAATCAGTCACTGTGATTAAGCTAAAAAAAGGAAGTAGTTCTTGAATTACTGATAAGCTTCATTTCGAAAACTTATTGATTCGATACATACAAGTAAAAGTCATCAGCATTAATTCTTGTGAAAAATTTCGAAGATAACACAAATAAATATCACAACAATAGAAAATCTAGATAGTATTGATATCAAAGCTACCAGTTTGATTTGGTATCTATCGGGCACATGTCCGACTAACAGATTAGTGGAAGTCAAAATTAGCGTACTACTGACGATTTAATAGTTTTTCGAGAGATCAGCTCAGAATATGAGAAAGTACTACAGACTAATGATTTGAAAACAAACTTTGACATTTATAATTAGTTTATTGAATTAAATAGTAGTAGGTCAATTTTGGCTCATATTATTAATATTTTTCGATCTTTTACATTTTCCTGCTCATTTCTATCGCTTCGTCGTACATCGTTTTTGTGCTTCCACAGACTAGCAGCATAGAGGCACCTCTAGTATTTGCTATGTCCTTTATCAATTAAGTCAATTAGCATGTAGATGGTAGCTTTGATCGTTGATTACGACAACAGTGATTTCACTGATATTATGATACATTCAATCAAAGACCGATTTAATCCAACTGGTCTCACACTAGGTGATTTTAACAGTGGTAGTCGAATTGATATTCTTACCGCAGGTTTTCAGACGGATAGCGTAGTGAGACTGTTACTAGATAAAGATGAACTGTTTCTAAATTCAATTAGCTACTCTACGGAACCGAGCTCACAACCTTGGTATCACGACGAGCTGCTCGATATTACCCTTGTCAATCAAGAAAACAATAGTTTTGGTATTTTCTTCGGTGCAGTCAACGGAAAATTTACAAACCAAATCATATATCTCGCTGGCAATGGATCATTTTCTCGTTTGCTTACTATGGGAGATCTCAGTAATGATACTTCGATGGATTTGGCTGTCGCCAATACAGTCAACAGTTGAATTTGTGATGGACATGGAAAATTTTCGAATCTAACCACATATTCTAACGGAAATTATGTTTGGGTCAGCTGTATTGTCTGATTTAGATGATGCCAATCGACTGGGTATTCCTGTTGCCAATAGGCTCAGCAACAAAGTCTATTTTGTTTTTGGAAATAGCGATGGAACTCTTCAAAAGTCAGAATCTTATATGTTCACCTATGACTCGCAATATTGCATTTGCAGATTTTAATCAAGACAAATGGATGGACATTGCCATTCTCAAGCAAGATTCAGATGAAATGGATATTATTGACCACAAGCATTAACGTCGAATATTATAAACTGTGATACTTGTATTCGATTCTGCGTTCGAACATACTATGAAGTTTACTTCGTTTTGTTAGTTTGAAATTCAAAATGAATATCGTTTATCTAGGTTAACAGACGTTTTATTCGTCTTGAAAAATAGAAAAGCTATGTAATATGGGCTCTATGTGTATCTTGAGGGTATGACCGGTTCGTCTAAACCAAAAACTTGATAAAAGAGTGTGCTACGGTCTTGCTGATACTTACTGAAAAATCAAAATTCTGAAATTTTCTTTTAGTCAGACGTCTGAATACTCATAACGAGTTGCAAAATTTGCAAAGCCAATAGAGCATTCAATACCTACTTAGTTGACCAATTGTGATTCGTCTAGGACATACCTACTTGCTATACTATCTCTAAAAGAACTATCATCAATATGAATCAACTGATTTAAATGCTTGAAAAGATTCAGTTGCATTGGTATACAATTGAAAAAGTACATTCAATTCCGATATAAAATATCATCGAATTAATTAAGATGGATTATAATGATGATTTCCTTTTGAATGTTTATCTCAAGACTGTGTATGAAGGATAATAGCATTTTTTCATGATGATATTATCGAATAAATTGCACATGATAAATAAAGAATATTATTAACGTTGAACTCATCTTCTTCTATCTTTGAAATAAATGTCAGTTTTGAATAAAACATAAAACAACAGTGAATATGAATGTAGGATATGTTAAGCAAAGAAAACTGCGCATGGGCGCATACACATACAATAAGAAAAAAAATGTTTATATTCCGTGTTTTAAGTTTTGATGTAATCAATAGTTTGGTGAGTCGCCACCACCACGGCTTGCACCACGATACGAATTTCCTCGACCACCACGATATGAACCACCACCACCACCACGGTCGCCACTTCCTCTGCCTAAAAATAAGCCGTTAAAATTGAAGTTTTGTTTTTCTCAAAGGTAAACTTACCGCGGAAGCCGCCGCCTCTACTGTTATTCCAGCGATTATTTCCAGCTGAATTAAAATCCGAACCTGATTGATTATTATTCCAATTACTTCGACCTCCACGAAAACCTTTAGATTAAAATGAACCTTAGTCACGTTTGTTAAAGAGCAGAACATCTGATTAGTTTCGATTTCATGTATCTGTCAAGTCATACTACATGTGAAAAGCGCAACAAAAGGAAATCTACACTCGATCTTCACTATCTCAAGTCAATCGTAACCGGCTACTGTCGAGTTCAGTGTTCTTGTTATCTTATTTTATCGAAATACACACCTCGATTATTTTGAAAGCCACCGCGGCCATTGTTATCATTATTGCGAATACGACGTTGAGCAAGTTGAACACGAACAACAGAATTAATACAATCAATATGTTGATCTAAATCATATCGAGAAAAACAAAATCTAAATTAAGAACTAGTAAAGTTTTATACAAAACTACCATTATATTCTGTAATAGCCTTATTTGCAGTATCTTCATCGTCATATGTTACTGTGGCGCGACCATTGCCTTCACCAGTCATACGATCTTTATAGATCCAGATTTTTGGACCACCTGATCGTTCATCCGTCTAAAATACTTTCATTAAATACACATAAAAAACCATCAAGCTACTTACTTTTATTGGTCCTACAGTTGAAAAAGCATCTTGAATGTCTTCTCGAGTAATATCTTTTGGTAAATTTTGGATAAATATTGCATCTTTAAGTATCTCTATTTCTTCATTATCATTATCATTGCGACGAAATCCATAACCACCACCATTGCCTCGTCCTACAATGTAAACAATACTATGGGTAGAGATCATGTACACAATATGATCGCGAAAATCTTTTTTTTTTCGAAGTGAAAAATTTTTCACCCATATTTTAAAGAAATTAATCGGATCATATATGTATCAAAAACTTACTTGGATAATTATTGCGATATGATCCACTAAAATAACATACAAAATCAATAAATATTAATCATTATATACGTACAAAAAAAAATTTAATTCAATTTAGAAATCAAAAGCACATAGCCATTAAATCAACTTCATAATTAGCATTATTATAGAATATCAAATCGATAAAACTTACCCTCCTCTTGCACCATCATCATTATCATTATCTGACCGAGCGAAACCTCCACGTGACCCTAACAAGAAAAAAGTAAATAAAAAAGAATTTGACAATAAGAATTTTGACATATTACCACGAGAACCGGCACTCCATACGTTTCCACCTTCGTTTGACGATTTATTAACACTATTAAATTCCATTGCGAAATAAAGATTTAACCCGTACACTTAAACAAATGCAAAGAGAAGAAAGGGAAAAGATGGAATCACATATATATATATATATTCATCGATCTTAGAACATTGTTTTCTGAACGGAGTTGTCCGATATATTATAATGTCGGGGAATAAAAAAAAAGAGGTCGCTCGAAGATGATGAAAAAATGGGAAAACTCTAACGCGTGAGTGAGAAAATTTGAAGATATAATGTTATATTCATTACTTTCCAGTTTAAAAAGTTGACATTTTACAAAAAGATATTATCGTTAACTGACCATATGAATCATACATTGTATGAAAGCATGTAAATATACTATTGAAAACTTTCGTCGTTAAAATCTGGTACTTTTAGCATATTTTTAACTTTACTTATTGACATTTTATAATATATCATAGGATTGCGTGGGAACAATGTTTACTTGTTTTGAATATATAGATTTTTCTTTTAACTCAAGTTGATGAGAATAAAAACATATGACGTTGTTATTTTTTCCTTCTGTTACTTAAGCTGATTTAAATCCATCGATCGATCATACGATCACTACTTCCACATCAATTATTGCTATTGCCAATATGCGTTTTCAAGCAAGTAAGAATATTAATATTCACTATCAGAATCAAAATTTGATTGCTAAAAATGCCGTTCGTCAAGAGGATGAGTCTATTTTCGTCGGAGACCGACTGAATTCAAAGAATACGTCTTTTTTCCTATTCTGATAGCATATTTCTAATGACGATCACAAAGAAAGCTCTCCTCTCTTCATCAGAATTCAATTTGCTTTTCTTTAGACTTCCAGTGTTTATTCATACCCCTTCTTATCCTTTCGATTGATGCTCGACTTCTCCCATCACAACATGAGGTTAATGAACCATTGACTATTGATACCTTGTCAGCCGGTAATAGTCTTCAAGTTCTTAATCGACAAACGAGAGCACCAGTTGCCAATACTACAGTATGCTATCCAGTTGTTGGCTGTTTCGATAACAATGAACCATTCAATAATGCTGGCTTAGAAGTACCACAATCGCCGGAATTTATTGATACAGCTTTTCTTCTTTTTACACAAGAATCACAAACAGACCCAGAATTTATTGTTTATGATAGCGATAAATCTATTTTGGATTCCAGTGTAAGTACTTCTCGGTGGCTGAGAATTATTATTCATGGTTTTCAAAATAATCGTGATAGTGTTTGGATACCAAAATTACGAGCTGAATTACTTAAATTGAAAAATGTAAAAACAAAGGAGATATTTATTTTTTGCAAAATATCAGTTCATAAAATTTCTAGGATGAAAAATCTGATGTAATTGTTGTTGATTGGGGTAACGGTGCTAAATTTCCATTATATCCTAATGCTGTTGCTAATATTCGTCTTGTTGGTAGACAAGTTGGCTTACTTTTAAAAAAGTTACACGACTTGAAAGGAATTTCATATGATAGAATGCACTGCATTGGTTTGTACATGTGCATTATGATAGGAAAAATTATTGTCATTGATATCTTCTAGGACATAGTCTTGGAGCACATGCATGTGGATTTACATCGAATGCAGTTGAGAATAAACTAGCTCGTATATCAGGCCTTGATCCAGCTGGTCCATTCTTTTCAGCAAAGAAGACTATAGTCCGTCTCGATAAAGATGATGCTAAATTCGTTGATGTTATTCATTCAAACACAGAAATTGCTCTAGGGCTTGGTCTTGGAATAACTGAAGAGACAGGACACATTGATTTTTATCCTAATGGTGGTCAAACTCAACCTGGTTGCCCTTCAATGTAAATTTGATTCATATTTCCCTACTATCTTATTCAATGCGCTTTATACATTTTCAGTGGTGCACTCATCGGGGGTGTCATCGGTGGTCAGAGTGAAGGTAATTAAATAGATTTATATGAATAGATATGCGTATTGGTTTTTGTATCATAGCTGCTTTTGAACAAACATCATGTTCACATGGTAAATATGAATTTTAATAATGTAGAAGCACTATTGATATGTATTGATAGGCCGTTCACATGGATATTTTATTGAATCAATCAAGTATAATATTTTATTTTAACATTTGTGATCTTGATTACTTTTTAAATACTTATTTCTAGTTCAGAATGTCCATATACAGCTTTTCCTTGCCATGATCATGTAAAAACAAAAAATAGAAAAAAATATAGTGTTTTTCATTGTATTTTTCCTATTTTCTAGGACAGTTTTATGAATGGCAAATGTCTTGTATGTCCAATATCTGGTTGTGCTCAAATGGGTAATTCATTACTTTGTTTTCTATAGGATTTATTGTTTTTGTTCGCTAGGCTTTTATTCTATTTATTCACTTGGTCGTGGTAAAATGTATTTAACAACGAGAAGCAATTCTCCATTTTGTGGTTAGAGTATTTATGCAATAGAAATTTCGCCATTTTAAAATTTCTTATTTTGTTAGGTTATCATTATTTTGTTGAACTTGTACTTGATCGGGATATGGCTAAAACAAGTGGTGAAATTTATGTAGCAGTTTATTCCAATTATGAATTATTAGCCAATGTTAGTTTAACTGAAAGGTATATATATATATATATATATAAAAGAAAATGCATTGAAATGTTTGATCGATAAATCTTTTTTTTTTGTATTTTCTTTCTAAAGATCGAATGCCGATATTAAAGCAGGTGATATTCTTCGACATGTATTCAGTTATCATACTGACTTGGGTAAAGTGGATTATGCTATGATATATTTCCAGAAAGCAAAAGCTCGTATGCAATCATTGGTGGCAAAGTTATAAGAAATATTTATTGATTATTATTTTAGTTTTTGGATGGGGTGGCCAGAAAGGCGATGAAATTCTTGTTTCACGTCTTCGCCTTAAATCACTTGAAGACACTGTGATGTAAATAGATAAATAATATTTTAGTTTCTCTTTTTTCATATTATTAATTTTTTTAACAGATATAGCGGACTTTGTGAAACAACAACAAAAATAGCTGCATATACAACGGAAACATTGTTACTCAATCGTTTTGATTGTGATGATTAATATTTCATTAACAGCTTCATGATTCATTCAAGAAGACAATTAATATTTTTTTGAGATTATTGAATTCGAAATATTGAAACGAAATAAATGATTTGCTAGACACGTTCTTAACGTTTGCTAGCACTAACGGACGTTGTTGAGCTTCTTCGTTTAACAATTCTTTTATTATTGGGGAAATTCAAACCACGTTCTTTATTTTTATTTAAGCAATTCTTATGGGAGTCGATCTACATAGTGTATGACTACCAACGAAAATCATTTTTGGGACTGGTAGGAATTTTTCAGGTGTAATTTCGAATGATATTCATATTAGAAATGTAATAATAGAAATATATTGAACTGCTACTTCAACAAACAGTTTATTTAGCCATCAAACAAGCTATTGCATCTCGAGAAATTTTATCCATGTTTGATAAGAACACTAAAAAATGGCAAGTGAAAAAAATTCATTTTACTGTCGTGATTACTAAACTTTAATAGCAACACGAAGTTGACATTATGTTCTGATACATCTTCCTGTTAAAAGTACTGAATCGCTTGCATCGATCTTAATTTATATCTTTCCGTTTCTATTGGAACTCTATGTTTAATTTTACATTTTTTGTTTTAATGTAACTACGTGCGAAATGAATGTTTACGCTCTCAATTTATCTGGATAGTAATAATTGAGTAAATCCATGAAAATAAGCACATTAGAAGGGGGAAAAGACAAAGAACAACAAATTAATATATTGATCGGTTATAGTAATGTTGAATGTGATCTCATATCAGATCAGTTCAAATATGTCGAAGAGTGCCATCAACAGATCTTTTGTTACTAAATAGATATTTTTTCAATTACAGCTCAGTAAGTATGATTCAGAGCACATTTTACTAATTTTTTAAGTTATCTACATGTGCATAGTATTATCGGATTAGTATGTAATGATAGATTCGTGATTTGAATTTAACTTTCTTCAGTCTAGTAAATTTCATTAGAATCATTTTTTGCGATACTTCTACAGGCAAAACTCTTTAAAAAGATCTATGATATCTACTATCGAAAGAGTAGACATGTAATAGACTTGTGCCAAGTAACGGTCGTAGATACCTATGAGAGGTTCAGTTTTGAAAATATAGTAATCATTCCAGGAGTTTTAGGTAAAATCATTATGCAGATCCCGAATAGAAGCCATAAATATAATCGTCAATGACACGTACGAAATATCTACAATAAAAACATGTCTTGTCCATCGTGTTAAAAGATCAATTTATCATGACCTTGACCATGAATTACTTTTAAACTCTTGACTAATCTTGCTCTACTTGAATATGACATTTGAAATGTACACTTCTATGTATGCGCAGCATCGTTCAATATTTGTCATGCGACAGTAAAGTTAATTTTAACATCAAAACTGTCTTGAAAAAATGTTTATATTTAAGCTGTTTGTGAATCTCTTCCATAAGTATCGAAATTACAGTTGATATTTTCTTTAGTAAAGTACCCTTGAAGAAAAACTGAAAAAACATAAATAAAAAGTTTGCAAGATTTTCTTTTACTTTTTATTAAATGGAAAAGTTTAGTTCGTGACTGCTAGACAACATGTAATATATGACGGTTTTTCAATATCATTTATTAAATATCTCTGTAGTTGACGGTTTGGTTATCAAACAACAAGATGATACCCTAGTCGAACATTTTTTTTCAAGCGCTTGACAAGACTTGAACTCAAGATGTGTCCATAGCGCAGGACCATCTTGCCCAAGAAGTTCAAGAAGATCATGCGCATGTGCGCAAAAAAATTATAAAAATTTTTGGTATAGGTAACAACGTTTTTTCTTCAAACAATGCTCATTTATAGAAGAAAAATGTTCGATTTGGATGCCTTTTTTACAAAAATTTCTCTTATTACCCGCATGTCAAGAAATATTTCAAGATGTGTCCATAGCGCATGAATTTCTTGCTCAAAATCATCAAGTATGTCATGCGCATCCCAAAAGATGTTTGACTAGGGATATAATATGAAATTCATTTTTTTCTTTTTCTATTACTCAAAAAGTCAATCTTTAGTTGGTTGAAGGGATATATGTTCTCTATCTAATGTAATAATAAAATTATATTCTTGTGTAGAAAATTGATGTTTATTGTTCATTGAGTAAAATTAATAAACTATTTGATGAAAAGAATTTATGTATAGTTCTCTTCTGTTTTATTTTAATTTAGTTATACGATTAGCAACATATGAAGAATATTCGTTAAATTCTAATTTTCTCTATTACCAGACAGAAAGAAAGCCTTTCTTTATTCAGGAAATCTGATCAAAAAAATCATTTAAGTTACTTTCCCTTTATTCTTTCATTTTAAAAATAAAGATCCGATCGATCTTTCATGAGACAAAAAAAAACAAAGGCCTGAGATAAGACAACAAAAAACAAATGAGACAAGAAAACAAAAAAAAATAAAGTTCATCGTTTCAGATAAATAGCAATGCTTGAGACAATCTAAATGGCAGATAAACATCAAGATTTTTTAATTGAAATAGAAATAACTTACGAACGATGATAAAACTACGTTGGACCATACAACCAATTTTTGGTTGAATTTCAACAATTTGTCGTTTGTTTCAACGACTTTACCACTGGCGTCCAGAAATTTATCAATTTTTCCATTCATATCTTCAATGACTTTACCACTGGCGTCCAGAAATTTATCAATTTTTCCATTCATATCTTCAATGACTTTACCACTGGAGTCCAGAAATTTATCAATTTTCCCATTCATATCTTCAACGACTTTACTATTCACAGCAAGAAACTGATCCATTTTATGGCTCATATCTGTTATACCTTTATTTAATTCGGTCAATTGGCCGGTAATTGTCGTAATTTGATTTCGATTCGGTGATATAGATGTGGAGCTTGATAATGATTCCGGGCTAGAACCATGATTGGGTGAGGTTGAAGCATCACGCACATCATTGGATAAATTCAACAAATTGTTTTCTTCAATAATTATTGTTTCGCCGGACATGGAGCCAATTGTGTTTCAATTTAAGTGTTTAACAATAGTAGATAATTTGTGGTAGAATGAATTTTCTCTGACAATAAATTTGTATGCAATGACAAATATTAAGTTAGTAGCCCGACGACCCAGGTCGAAGCAACCGGCCCAAGAAACGCCCGATTCCCGCGACTTCACGGAAGCAGCATTCCGGACCGGCAAATCTCCGGATTTTTTCTGTAAGTTCTACCAAGTTCCTGTTGGTTCCCACCGGAAACCACCGGGAAAATCCGTCCCGGAATACTGCTTCCAGGGTCCGGTGATATCCGGCGTTTTCCTGCACATTCAGGTGCGTTTCCTGCATGTTTCTGGCCGGTTCCAATTAAATCCGCTCATTTCGGGAGGCCGGAAACATCGTCCTGGGGATAAAAAAGAATAGCAAAAACTCCGAGTCAATTCAATATATTGAACACAAATTGTGTCCTAACAGAAATCTAAAATAAAAAGTCAAATGACATTTTACTTTTGCCGTCAAAGTGCAAAATGACACTTTTTTTTTAACAAACTGTAAAATAGAGTGTCAATTGAATATCGCAAGTCTTTGCTACCTTGTAGCAAAGGCAGATCACGGTCGAAGAAAACGATCAGTAAACGGTCGTATACGATACAAATACGGCCCGTTTTACGTGCCGTATTTTCCTCGTATAACAGGGGCAGTAATACGGCCGTATGTTCTATAGAATACGATAATATTACGCCGGCTTTACGAGGTTTTACGACTGATATACGGTGTCCGTGTATGGCCGTAATACTACCCCTGTTAAAACGCCTTAATTCGGCTTAAAACGGCCGTTTTACGACGGAATACGATGCAAAAACGACCGTTTACGGTAATGTTACGCCGGTTTACGGTGGTCCGTTTTGATCGACCTGGGGAGGATTCATATCATTCAATAGGTCAACAAAATTCATCTTTAGTTAATATACAATGTCGAAATCTAATGCAATACCTGCATTAAGTGAAACAGTATCTAATGCAGTAGCAGCAGATGATGATCAAGTCTATATACCACGAACTAAACGACCACACAAAGAAGTATGATCATTTCACATTTCAAGTCAGAAAAGAGTTGTTTGTATTTAAAAATTTTAGGATCTATTCATTGATAAGGCATCATTGGAACATCAATCTGTAGCATGGTATGCTTTTAAAGAAACTATCAATGATCTAGTTAAACAAATCCATACATCAAATGTGAAAATAATTATTCGTCAACTACTTCAAAATAGTATCATTCGTTTTCGGGGTATACTCGCTAATAGTATTATTAGAGCACAAATAAATTCGCCAAATAATACAAACATTTATGCTGCATTTGTTTTGTGTTATTAATATTACATTTCCACAAATAGGTTTGCTAATATGTAAACGTCTAGTTCATTCATATCGCGAGTATTTTGTCTCAGATGCACGAAAGAAAGCATTTTTGACGAGTAAATTTATTGCTCATCTTATTAGTCAGAACATAGTATGTACTTTTCGAATAAATGCAACAACCTATTCTTGTTTTTGTGATAGCGTCGGGTTAGCTATTTACTTTTTACACGAATGTGGCAAAAAATTATTGCAAGTGAATCGACACGACTTGGATGTTCACCCAGGACAATGATTCCTGGAGCAGTATTCCGTGAATTTCCGGCGAAAATCTGCAAGAAACTCGCTTTTCCCGACCTGAGCCCGCCGGAAATTGTCCGGAATTCGATACAGGAATCCGGAAACCGTATCCGGTTACCAGTTTTGACAGATTCCTGTCGACTCCTGCCGGAACCGGATAAATCCTGTCACCGGATCCTTTCATCGGAATACTGCTTCCATGAAATCTCCAGAATACCACAGAACCAGCCGTTTCCGGGACCGGAATGTTCGACCTGGGTAATTGAAAAAATTAAATGATTTACTCGGTGGATCATTAATAAAAGAAAGCACCAAAAATACGATTGAAAATACATCTGCTGAACGCAACAAACAATTAAAATCATATGTAGTAATTGAACCTAGTTTACAATTAGTTCACGAAAAGAATCAACACACACATATTATAGAGTATTTCCGCGTCTGTGAACCGGAAATAGCTCTCGGTGAAGTCAAAATTCAGTTTAATCAAATATTCTAATTCAATTTTTTTATAGATGAATTCCATTTCGACGAATACTACGAAGCGAATGAAGAAAACTATACATTATTAAGAAAAATCAAATTTAATGATACTGTTCTTTCACAGCATCTACTCGAATCATCACAACAGCAGAACCAACAAGTTGATAACTATACAGCAGACCTGGACTTGTCCAGTAGCGGTTCCTCAGTTGGTGAAAAAGAAAACTGATATTTCTCATATAAATAAAAAAATAATTAAGCCTTTGAATCTCTGTAGAAATAATTATCAACGTACATATATGTATCAGATAGAGTGAAACCAAAGAAAATATCATAGACGTCCATACATTTTCGTTTAACTATATCCATAATTGTTCTGAATGATTTCTATAGAGAAGGGTACATAAATTTATGAATTTTTCATTTGACGGAGGACAATTAAAATTTCCACCGGTATTCTAGTACCTTTAATGTTTCGGCTTTCCCATGCCAACGAAACCGCAAAAAAACCGGCGGTTAACCGGTGGTATTTTCCGCGTTCGTGCTATATTGGAATCAGGTGCTTTTTTCAGTTCTGATTGCATTCAAAAGGATATGTAAGTATCATTTTATAAATTTATTGAACTAATATTATATTTTAAAAAATACAAAAAAGTGGCAAGCAGTACCCCAGGAGGATCATCCTGCCGTCTGAAAGGCCATCGGAAACGGCCTGAAACGGCTATAAAACGACATGAAACGGCATTAATTTTCACCCTGTTTCGTCGTAATCCGTCAGCTCGTTTTACGGGCCGTTTTTATTTGCTAGAAAACGGCCATCGCTTTTAACACTATTCTCTTCGTTTTCCGAGCTGACGGGAAACGGCGCCGTTTTTTAACGTTTTACATCGTTTTTATGCCGTTTCAGGCCGTTTTCTTTCACCTGGGATCGCATATATTCAAAAACAACGAATTTCACACAATACAGAAAAAAACAAAAAGAAAATAGTTCTGGTATGACCTAAAATGAATAGAAAGATTAAAATCAAAAACAAATCTTGTTTGCCTTTACCTGTACAATAAATTTCTGTGAGTGATAAATAAATATTTATATCTAAAAGAAGAAAAAAAAATTAAATTAAATTATTCCTTAGATTTAATCTATAAATATAAAAAATAAATAAATATATAATCTACACTATTGAATTTTAATAATACAACCCATGTCAAAAATCAGACACAGATCTTGTAAGATCAGATTGAATCATACGAAAAATCATGAAGCCGGATCATCGTATCAATTCGTACTGTAAGATTTCTGTAAGATCTTACCAAAATCTTATGATATTATAGGATCTTACAGAAATCTTACAATACGAATTGATACGATGATCTGACTTTATGATTTTTCGTATGATTTCATCTGATCTTACAAGACCATATAAGATCAGAGATACGATCATAGAAGATCTTACTGTCTGATTGTTTGACCTGGGAAGTTGTATTATACAACTTAGCGTTTAAAATACCTTGCAAGGTAGAATTTCGATGGAACAAAAATACTTTCTTTTTTAAATTATGAATATGCCCTTAATTCTAATGAAAACACATGTATAATACCTAGGAACATAAAAATAAATAAAACTACGATAATATACAGTTAATATAAAATAAAATTTATTTTTTACTTATAAATAACTACAGATTTAAATCTACGAAAACATAAAATTTTCTAATATCTTGAAAAAAAATATTGGATAAAANAACCTAATAAAATCCGACAGTAACCGTCAATCGGAACCGGAATGCATCGGATTTCATTGGTTCCGACAATCGGATATCATTGGAAATACGACTGTCGGATTCAACATTGATTCTTCAACCAGGAATCCAACGGGATTTCGTCGGATGGTAGGACCCCATAGAATCCGATGGGATTCGGTATCGGATTGATTCACCTGGGTTATTGTATATTTAAAGTATCGTAGAAATAAAATAAACTAACTTTTTGTTTTCCTTACTTCATAAATGGGTATAAATTTGACTTCCACGTAAAAATTGATTAACAATATCTAAGAACAGAAAATTAACAAAATATTGTTGGTTTTTATCTTAATGATGTACATATATTTGTATACATGACGATTGGATATAAATAAGGAATTATTTAATAATATCAGAAAGAATAAAAATAGTATGATTATTCGTCTCTTTTTATATATTCCGCATTAGAAAACATTTCTAAATAGTTTGCTTTCAAAGCGAGAATATTTCATCTAAAAATGAGTAAAAATTAAAAAGTGGGTAAAATTGAAATGATGAAAATTTTTATTAATTAAAACACATTCATTGTACATAGAATAGTTGTTTGCATAAAGTTATCTGTAAATAGTGATCTAGTGGTCAAATGTTGAGTATTATCAGCTTATAGAATTCCTGTGTAGCATAGAGCTTGAAACCAAAAAAAACTTGTAGAAATCTAGTTAATCTAACGATGCACATTCGCTTTGCATATTACAAAAGCGGAAAACAGTGAATAAATGTTTAGGCCAAAATCACACCGAAAAAGATAAAACAAAATAAGCGACGCGATTGGTCTATTACGATTTAAGTCATCTTTTTGAGATGACGTATTCGTTCATTCTGTTTTAATTCACTTTGAATTAGTCGGTGTGATTTGGGTCTTAGTGTCTATTGAATAGGCTCAATTAGAAACCATGTTAACTCAAATATACATATTCGGTTGATGAAATCTTGAAATCTAATGTAATGTCTGAATCAAGTGTAACATATTATTCTCATCCTACCCAGGTTGATCAAAATGGACTCGTTTACGGCCTGTTTGTCGACGGTAAACGATGTCAAAACGGTATCTTTACGGCATTAAATAGGCCGTATTTGCCCGTAATACCTGGCGCAGTAATACGGCACCGTAAACGNTCCGGTTAACCGTCGGTTTTTACACTGTAAAGTCACTAAAATGGCTTGCATAACTGCGGTTAACCGATTTTTATAAAAAATGAACCGCGGTTAACCGATGGTTTTCGATCGGTTTGAGCGACATGGGTAGTATGCCCTTTTCGAATAAATGCAACAACCTATTCTTGTTTTTTATTTAGTTAAATGAAGAAATTGGATTTGAGATACTTCATTTTTTGATTCGCAATATTTCCACTGATGGCATTGAACTAACTGTTGGATTTTTACATGAATGTGGCAAAAAATTATTGCAATTGAATCAACACGAATTGGATGTTCAATTTAAAAAATTAAATGATTTACTCGGTGAATCATTAATAACAGAATGTATCAAAAATATGATTGAAAAAATATTTTCTGAACGAACAAATGAACTCAAATCGTATCCAGTAATTCAATCTAATTTAAAATTAGTTAACGAAAATAATCAGTTTAAACATATGTTGCAATTAGATGATTATTTTGAATCTGAATCTTGGATCGGTAAAATAAACTTCTAATTCAATCAAATATCTGTGTAATTTTTATTTAGATATATTTAAATTTGACGAGCAATATGAAGTAAATGAAAAACAATATCATGAAATTCGAAAGGGTATTTTTGAATATTTCGATTACGAATTTGAATCAAGTTCAAATTCATCAGATAGTGATGAGAAAGATGAGGACACTGAAACAAAACAACAAAAAGTTACTGACCGCAATGACACAGATTCAATAACAATTCAGTCAAATATTTCTGCTAAAGAATGTGCTAAGAAATTACTTAAAATGAATTTATATCGTGAACAGAACATGTGTATATTATTCTTAAAAATAAAAGAGTTTTAATCTTGATTTTTAGTTGGATGTATGTGAAATGATTGTTAACGTTTGTGGACAACAACCTACATATGAACGCTTTTTCGGCTTAGTTGGACAACATATTTGTTTATTAGATAAAGATTGCATTTCTTCGTTTGGACAAATTTTTCGAAATTGGCATAAAAACGCTGATCGACTGACAGAAGTAAAATCAAGAAATGTGACTAAATTGTTTGCATATTTACTTGCAACAAATTCTATTCACTGAAGAGTAAATATTCATTCTTAATATCGAAGGCATTGTTTTTATTTTCCTCCTCGGTATTTGAATGCATTCATTTAGTTGAAAATAATTTAAGATCATCATCCTGTGACTACTTGAAAAGTTTATTTATCGAATTATATAAATGTATTGGGTTTACTAAAAATGAAGAATAATTTAACTGATCCGTAAGTTATTGAAAGACTAAAAATACAAATTAATTTTGTTGACTTTTTATTCTAGAAAATTGTCGAATTGTTTTCAAGGTCTTTTTCCAAGTGACAATCCAGAGAATGCTCAATTTCGCATCAACTTTTTTACATCGATTGGTTTGGGTAGAATAATGTACGTGTTGAGTTTAAAATCATTTAATAGAAAAATGTGTTATTTCTTGAGTAGAAATGAATTAAACAAATTCATTATATCAAATCCAACACCAGCTTCATCTTCATTTATGTCAATATATGGTATCAGTCTGAAAGATTTTCTTGGCCATCATTTTCGATGTGACAACAAGAAGAAAAAAAATACTGCATAAGGTTTGAATTAAACAAGGATTTTATTTTTTGATTGTATCAATTTTTTGTTATCACTTATTGTATAAGTTAAAAAAATAATTTGTAACTCGTTCCAGAAAACGAAAGTATATGTAGCTGTTAGAATGCCTGAAAAACTGATCGTTATGTTGCTTTTCAACAACGACAACGTACAAATGAAAAATTAATACGAAAAATTGAAGTAATACTGTACAACTATTAGATAGATCATTGATGATAATGATAATAATAATAATAATAATAATCATTTCAGATGCTGCGTGAACGTATCACACGAAACAAGGAATTGTTACGTGATTATGAAATAGATTTAGGCAAATTATGTCAAGCAGGGATTTTGTTACGTGAAAAAGATATTTTATTACAAGATCTTGAAGTAATCGAAATCGAAGTAAAACAAAATGATCGAAGATAAATTTTATTTTTAGACGGATGAACAAACAAAAAATGGTGAAGCGTTATATCTTCAAAATACTCTTAAAGAAACTCAAGATAATTTAAATCCAGAAAAACGTCTTAATTCATCAATAAAACGGGCGAGCAAGTTTTTATTCTAGATTTTTAACTTTTTTTCATGTGAAACTCTGATATATATATATATATATTCGAAAAACAATCATTCTAGTGTTATAATTCGTGAAGTTCCTTTGTATTTTGGCGCAAATAAGAAATATTATTCGTGATATAAGAAATGACGAGTAACTATGCATTCATTTTTCACATGAATCCTCAAAAAATAATCTGTCAATTGGTCAGATTAATCGGTATGAGCGTTATATCGGATTTTTTTTAAGATTGATATTTGTCATAGTACGCAATAGAGATGGAAACGAATTGGTTTCAAATTTTATATGAAAATTATCACTGTAACCAATAGTTAATATTTTTAAGTGAAAATGAATTCTCTCATCAATATGTCAACAGTAAAATCTAAAGTAAGTGATGAGAAAAAATAGTTGCAGTGATTATTGGTGAGTGTGAAAAAAATGACTAAGGACCGAAAATGATCTAAGGTGTTTTCTTCTGCAAAAGATTGCTATGTAGTAAAAGTGCGGATACTTTGGTTGGAGATACTGTTCGTAGCTCAGTTCTGTAGAGGCCTTTCTGAGAGTTATTAAAGACAAAATTTGAATCTCTTCAAAAGACTACGATGAAGAAAAACAATCACTGATAAACTTCCTTCAATAATATTAGTTTTAAATCGTTTCACTTTGAAATAAAACGCGAACCTATCTCGTGATCGTTGTGCAAATATTCCGCGTAATGTAATAGATAGATATATAGGTGTGGGTGTGTCTTATAGAAATAATAAATGAACACAAAAACAAAAAGAGACAGATACAGAAATACTCATTGAATAGATCAAAACAAAATGTTTGTTTGAGTTCTATCTCAAACGTCCACTAAAACGATGATGCTTAAATGGGAATTTCCTATCATTTTCTTTAATTGATTGCGTTATTAAATTAACAACATGATTAACATCAACTCGAGATCCAATTACTTCAACGGAACATGTGTCAATTGATGAACCCGCAACTGTATGAATACGAACTGTTCGACATCATGACCGAATTTGTGCAATACGCACACCATGAGGACCAAGTAGAGCACGGAATTGACCATGATTGATCCAAAATTCTCGTATTATAGAATCTTCACCAATTTTAACTATTGAAAATTCATGATCTGTATCAGTTGCAACTGAACCATTCCAAGCATTAAATGCTGAATGACGACTAATGCCTTCATTTTCTTTTTCTTTAAATTTCCCATGTTGTGCATGAGATTGATTATGTTGTACATTGTGACGTGTGATGGCTTCAGAAGAATGAAAGCCACCATATTCATGAGTAAGTGAGACATCGTAATTTCTATGGAAAAAAGTATAATTATCAATATAAGATCGTTAAGTTAGAGTTTTACGCTCGTTCAATCATTTCTCGTTAGTTAAATAGAAATTAGGTGCTATTATACACAATATATCCGTATTGCAATTTGTATGCGTAGACTAAATGACGTATACATTTTCTCAGAGATTGGAAATATGTTTTTTGTTAGTTTTATAAAAGAATTTTATTTGAAGGTTAGATAAGCAACTTTTTCTAAAGAATATTTTCTATTAAATAGGCAATCATGATTTTGGTTGATGAATCTTGTCGATTAATTAGTTGATTAGATTTAAAATGAGCTGTTTTTTTCTCTAAATTTGTGCTGAATGAATAGTACACTTTTAAAATCCGAAATCGAACTTGGACTTGGGATAAAATTACTTTTGAACGTGGTACCGAGTGGATCCTACTCGATGAGCTCTATTCATTCCACTCTCTCTCTTTCGTCGTTATGACAGAAAATAGGTAACGACCTAATTATTTATGTCAGAAATACGATAGATCTCTACGGCAGTCTTTCAGCTAACCTATTTTGGAGTAACTTAGTGAGTCTAAATAACATATGTGAGTTTCCACATTTTATCCACAAACTGACTGAGTTGATAAACTTTCTTGATAAAACAAGAATTTTGAGATTTTACTAGTTACAGAATTCAATTCAATTGTGGTTTCTATAAAAAAAATTAATAAATTTCGTTTAAAATTCATGGATCCTTTAATGAAATCTATTTCATCAAAATTATTTACGTAAATAGGTAACACTTCAATTCAAAGTGCGAAAATTCGATTTCTACATAGAGAACTCATCAAAAATTTGGTCTTTTAAATTGCATAAGATATCAATAATAAGCGTGTCATCTATTCATCGATGTCTGTTCTATCATAATAATCTTGAGAGAAATGTAGCTATGGGCAAGAAAGAGTTTCGTCATTAAACATTGGTTATGTAGTGCGACTCGAACCGTAAACTTACTGAATCTGTTTTCATAATGAAATTTAACTAACCAATTTATTTTCAATATTCTCATTCGATAAATCTATGAAATCATATTCATCAGAAATATTCATGATTCGTACTTTAAATGAAATAGAAAATAAAAGCAATCTATAATAATCTCTAGAATATGATTTCAAACATATTTCTAATTCTAACATTATTTAGAATTGATGAAATATGTTTGGATAATTTGTTTTTCTTTATGAGAAAATATAGAAAGTATTGTGCTTCAATCAATACCAATCAGATATTTGATTCATTAGAATAGAATTGTTTAGGCGTTTCTTTTTTCTTTTATCGTTTCACAGAGCTCTTGCCGAGTTACTTCTCAATATTAGCAGAACCTATCAAAATTGAAATACGCTAAAAGTAACTATTTATTTTCTGTTACTTATCATTTGATTAGAAATAAATGTACATGCTTGTTCAGATAATCGAATTTTTCGATTTACCTATCAGGCTAAATGTCATAACTATTCGTTTCAATTGAAACTGATATTCTAATGATTAGCAACTATGAATACAAATTCGTATTGATAGTGTTTTGCGATCAGAGAGAAAATATATTCGTTTACATCTAACGAAAGCTTTAATGTTTTCACGGGAGATTTTATCAATAGAAGAAAAAACGAAGTAAATCTAGTCTATTTACGTTTCATCATAGTGTAAAATTTCATCACTATGATATGTAGTTTGATTAATATGAATAAATATTTCTTCAAGACAAGAAAGTATTTTTTCAAGTGATAAACCTTGCATAAGAAGAACGCGCTCAGTTGAATGTGGTGCACATGTTGGATGAATAGTTAACATGTGTAACGAATATTTTTCACGTAAGAGTTTTGCTCGGTCACCCAATTTTCCAAGTATCAATGGCGCATAAGGTTGGTGAATAAGAATCCGTAATTCACATTGATTTAATGATGATGATGAATATACAGTGGAAAGTATTTGCTCAATAACAGATAACTGATGAAAACCTAAATTAAATAATTAAAATAAAAAAGATGAAATAAAAACTTGGTTTACTTTTTTCTATTTACCATTTGTAGTTAAAACTTGCTCAGGTGTTGTTTCATTGATTGCATTTTTCATTTCAACATATTGTTGAACAAGAGATAAATTTTCAATTTTGTCAATTGCATCTTTATGTACTAAAATTCGGCAAATAAAATCGCTTTTATCATTTATTTTATTTTGATAATTGTTTTCATCAATTGAAATTTCTGATTCATCATTATCTAAACTTTTATTTAATTTGAATTTCCCTTCAATTGTAGCTTTTGTTGTATCAAGTTGATATGCTAAACACTTTAAAATACAAATATTTCTTGTTAAATAGCTAATAATTTATTTCTATCAAGATTATTTTCAGTTCCATTATTTAATATCTTAATCATTAGTTGTTGAAATACGTTTAATTGTTCAAATGATTGTTTTAAATCATTAAAACATGATTTATAAAAATCATCGACTTTTTCAAACATTTTCGATGACCATCGTTCAAGTTCAGATTCTTATGTTAACTGTTGGTTATGTTGAATTGTTTGAAAGATCATTTAATGTATGAGAACATGTTTGTACTTGTTCTAATAGTGAATTGAGATGAATTTCATCATTCGTTAGTGAAGTTTTATCATGGATTAATACATGAGTTTGGAAATGATTCGCTGTTGACATTTAACTTTATTTGGACAAATGAAAAAGACGAAAAAAACTCTCCGAAAAGAAAAATATCAGACAAAACGTGAATAGAAGCAGGAACAAAAAAAAATAACGATGACAAATAGAAAAGGAAAAAAACACGAAGTTGTATCATGCGCAGCTATATCTAAAATAAAAGTATAGTTTGTTAATTATGATTTATCAAAATAAAAATCGATTGAAAGATTTTATACGGCAGATTAACATCTCAACATTCAAAAAGTGATCATTCATTTAATATGTGATCAAAGGTGTAAGGGTTTGACTCTAGAAAATAACAGTAGTGTCAAAATTGAAACTTGAATTCAATTGAAAATTGAAATTTTCAACTTTCAGCTGATAGTGATATATGTGTGAGTGACGATACTTCAGAATTCTATTGGTTTAAAAGTGATTTTATCGACACATATGAAACAAAAATACAATAAACAAAACTCTAATTAATTAAAGTCAATACGTCGAACAGTCATTCGACGTTTTTGTGAAACAGTCGATTGTTGTTGTTGTTGCTGTTGTTGTTTCTTTTTATGTTCATCATAAAGTGTTTTTAATTGCCAATGTTTAAAAGAAATCGTTGAATTATTTTTATCAAAATTTCTATTTAAAAGTTTGTCAAATAATTCTGACGAATTTGCATGATCGACTAAAGTTTGAAAATGTTTAAGAATGAAATCATACATCCAATGTTGATTCAACGTAAACGACGATGATGGTAAACCATAATTCATTTGTAGAATAAAATGAATTTTTTCTTGTAACATTGTTTCAATATCTTTATTTGATATTTTCAATATCGTATCTATTAAATGTTTTTCTTCAAAATTAGTTAGTAATGGTTGACCATTAGCTAAAATAATTGTCATCGGATTAATGTCAATATGATTGTCATCTGAATTCATAGATGATGTTGCATCTTTTGCTTCTATATCGCCAGTGGGTATTTTATTTTCTATATTATCAGCATCATCAATACAAATTGATTCAGTGATTTTCACAGGTGAAGGTATTTCTGGTGACAATTGTCGAATATGAATGTTCTTTGCCATTACTTTTCCAGTGTATATTTGTTTTGTTTCTATTAAGTATAAAGAATTTCTATGTATCCTCGTTAGTCCGTATTGTTTTCGATTTTCTATGGAACTTATATTGAATTTTCATTGGTTTTTTCCTATAGCAATCAACGACTTGTTTAGTATCATGAATAAATAGTCGGTTAGTCATTCTCGATATTTTCATTCATGATTTTCTTCGTCTTTTTCCTTCTGTTTTTCTACTTCGAACATGTCAATGTATTTACCATACTATTTTGTTTTTAGCTCAAGTCAGGCAACCGAATCAACTAATTCAACATTCATCATCAAAAAATGTAACTCATAGAAATTCAATGTAGAACTATCAATATAGAATCTGAGATTCAATATGAAATTATCTGTTTATTGGATATCGATCTTAGTGAAACACATTCTTAGCTTTCTGATTTGTAGCAATTCAATTTTATCTGTTATATTGAATAAAGTTTTCAATAAATTAAAACTATCAAGAAGGAAAAAGTAACCTATTTAATATATTAAAGAGTAAACAACACATTGCATGCTTTTTAATTTATATTAGTTCATTATATGGTGCGGTATTTAAGAACGCTTGAATATATTGCGCGTAGACGTGAGGAATTGCTGTCCAAATCTTGAGGATGTGGGTGTGGGTTCTCTCTTATTCATCTACTGAACGCACACCCACACCCTTTCAATATCATATCTATTAAATATTTTTCTTCAAAATTAGTTAGCAACGAATGACAATGGAAATCATATCATTTTAAATACCATCGTTTTATTATGTTTTGATCAAATCGATCGACCGTGCCCATAATGAAAGTCGGACAACAGCGATACTCGAGACGCTTTATCAAAATCGAAAATCATGGCGCATAAAAATCAAATCTAAACGCTTCGATGCGAATTTAAGATTTAATATAAATTTATAGATCTTGTCGTGTTAACTATTTTTTCACAAGTAACACTTTATACTCATAAGGGATCTCAATCTGTGGGGCATTTCTTTTATTTAGATGTTCTCTTTATTTTAAAAAAATTGTACAAAAAACTTACACCCTACCATTAGTAAGAAGCAATATTTTTCTAAAAAGAAAAAAGTAAAGAACAATTAGCATTTATTTCAGCGTAGTGTAATTTGTTGATATTTTGAAGTACTGAGAAAACGTAAATCTAATGTGATTAGTCCCAAGCGTTTAGATTCTCTAACAAATCGCAACTGAAATCTTCACAGAAAAGAAGACAGTATTGAATAGAAATCATTGGTGGCTAAAAAACGCGTGACCACTAAATAACATTTAATTAGTCGTTTTCTACCAATATGCTTCTTCGTCTGATGCATATTGTTTCATTTCAAAATGATTACCGTGCTTCACGAAAAACCTACATTATTCTATTAATGCGTCATACTGCTTCTAGGTAAAAAAAATATCTGGTATAGGACAAAAAAACAAAAAGAAAACAAGGATAGCTGGAAGTAAAACGTTTTAAACGCATGGTTTAATCCAACTTGAGTCTATACATTTTACCTCTTCCATTAGTAATTCTGGCTTTCATGCGTAGCTTATTTATTTGCTTTACTTTCGTCTTCTTTGCAATTCAATCATTATTTATATGTGCATATATATTGTGCATGAAACTGGTAGACAAATATATAAATACTACCCTCTGCGACATTAGAATAAAATCATAAGTAATATAAAACTGTGCATATCTGCTCATATAATTATCTCACAATAAGCGTATCACCATGCAAATAATTAAGCCTGCTAGTGGGCGAGTATTGTCTTGTATGAATATTTTCCTCAAACAACTAATTCAACGAAAACCAATGGTGACATTGCAAGTTGAAATCGATACACAAATTGAATTTAAACGCACATTACCTTGGTGGCAATTACTTGCTATTGGTCTTGGTGCTATCATCGGTGAGTCAGATTGAAAACATTACATGCAATACGAGTATTTTATTCAGGTGCTGGCATCTTTGTATTAAGTGGACAAGCTGCTTCAAGATATGCTGGTCCTTCAGTTATCGTTTCGTTTATTTTGACTGGTATTATAGCTTTGTTCTCGGCTTTATCCTTTTCAGAATTAGGGGCAATGATGCCACTTGCTGGGTCAGTTTATACCTATACTTATGCAGGTCAGTGAATGATTGTATTCTTATTTTTCTATCATCAGCAATTTTTTCTTTTATTATTAGCATTAGGAGGTAACCGATGAATAGCATTGTGTAGTGAAATATGTGTTTCGCACTTTCTTTGCTTGTAGAATATCTGGCATGGTTCATTGGGTGGAATTCAATATTACTTTATTTATTTGGTGTTATGACAGTTACAGTTGCTTGGAGTGAATATGTTGTCAAGTTTATTTATATCGTGTCTGATTTCAATGCAACAAGAGCGATTGTCCAAGCGCCATTCGGATGGAACGAAACTACAGAAGCATTCTATGTCACAGGTCAAGCGATTAATCTACCTGCAATTGCTATTACGATTGCTATTACAGTTCTTCTTATTATTGGAGTCCGTGAAACAGCGATGGTCAATCTTGTATTAGTTGTAATTAAAATCATTATTCTCTTGATTTTCATTTTCGCCTGTTGCAAATATGTAAATACAAAAAATTACGATCCTTTCTTTCCAACCAATCTCGGTAGATCATTACTTAGCGAATATATATGTATATAAAACATGAATGATTGTGATTGTGTTTCTTAGGATCATTTAGTGAATATGGAGTAACAGGAATGCTTCAAGCATCTACTTATGTTTTCTTTGCTTATGTGGGCTTCGATTCAGTTTCTACAGTTGCTCAAGAAGTCAAGTCACCAGAGAAATCATTACCAATCGCACTCATAGGATCCACCATTATTTCTCTCGTGTTATACATTGGAACATGTACTGTTATGGTTGGACTTGTTCCATATGCATCATTAGATTCTAATAATCCACTAAATGTAGCCATGTAAGCCATTTCTAATCTGTTAGATGAAATAGTTTGTATTGATCGTAATGTTCTATAGAAAAGCTACACCTTTTGGTCTTTGGTTATCAATCATCATGAATTTAGGTGGTATTGCTGGTCTTACAACTGTAGGAATGATGGTGATGCTCTCACAAACTCGGGTATTCTATGCAATGGCTAATGATGGCTTGTTACCAAAAATATTTGCTAGAATTCATCGGAGGTGGATCACTCCTTGGATCGCCACTTTGATTTGTGGTAACTAGAGTACTTTCTTCAATAGTTTTTTGGATAAAACAAATCTTACTATTTATAGGTATCTTTTGTGCGTTTTTTTCTGGTTTCTGTCCCGTCGATATTCTTGGTGAAACAACATCAATCGGTGCGTTAGTATCATATATTTTTGCACATGTTTCTGTCGTAGTAGTAAGTTTTTTTGGATTTTTTTCTTGATCCTTACATCTGAAAAACTTATTCGTAGATGCGTTTCACACATAAGGATATGCCAAGGGGATTTAAAGTGCCATGTGGTAAATGGCTCATTCCAACTGTTGGCTCGCTACTTAGTGTGCTTCTTTTGAAAGGTGTATCAAAAGCGACTGGATTCCGATTTCTTGCTTGGACACTATTGGGCCAAGTTATTTATTTCTCGTATGGTTATTGGCATTCTAAACGGCGAGAATTAAGCAGAAATGATTCGATTAATAGTATGATAGAGCTTACGGCTAATCACGAAATTACTACGGAAAATTGCACACCAGGTGAAGTCGACATGGGTTTAGCCAGTGTACATTCTGAAAATCAAGCATAAACAATTTATTATACTGATCATAATAAAGTATCAAAATAAAACATTTGAAGATAAGAGAGATTTATATATAATCATGTTTATCAGCTAGTTTCGATGCGATGAGTGTTTGCTTTATGGTAACACGTATGCCTTTCTGTGCTATTTTTCGCGTCTATGAATTGCCACCCCTGGTTTGTTCTCGATCATTTCCCTCTAAAACGTAGAAGTGGGGAAATTTTTAGTTTCGTTTCATGAGTGGCCAGAAGAAACCAAATATTGAATTCAATATGCATTGTCAATCGGCACTACTCTAATTATTAGATTAGGGCGACTTTCGGTTTTATGAAAATTCATGTTAAATGACAAAACTTCGTATCATCGTCAAAAAATGGAATATACGTCTCAAACGGCAATTTTGAAGTTTCACAGTTTCACGCACTAAAAAAAAGGTTCCACGCGGAACCGTTTAGTGCCAAAAATGGTTTCGTGCGTGCTACGGAACTTAAAAATAGTTTCGTACATACTACGGAACTTAAAACAGGTTTGGAGATTTGCACCGAAATCTAAACATTTTGAAGGTTTCGTAGACTTTCATCGAAACCTTTGAAAAAACGTATCCTAGACTCTTTATAAGTCTTTTGAAAGCATATTAAGTCCATACAAAACCTCTAAGAAAGTTTCGATTTCATTGCAAATTAAGTTCCGCGTGGAACCTATATTTTTGAGTGCGCTATCAGGTCAGATGGACCATTCAGCAGAAATGGTCTGTCGCGCGATTCATTAGCAGATTGGTTCTCTACAGTAGCCAAAGAAAAAGAAAGTTGTTAATGACAATCTGATGAAAGTTGAATGTTTTTTTTTCACTTCCTATCATACCCATTTGGCGATAAGACCCCAGGAGAATCAGGGTACGTCGGAATCGGTCGGAACCGATCGGTTCCGTTGAATTCCGACGATTTCCTAACTAACGGAGCCGACCGAAAAGCAACGGAATCCATAGGATCCGATGCCGGAAACGATCGGATCCACTGATCGGGTTGAATCTCCTGGGACGTATTTTCTCTTGCTTTCTGCTATAGTTTATCCCTATTAAAAACGCATCCTTTTCAGATATATGGTCAAAACAAGTGGATCTCAAGATGAGATCCACTCCATAAATGATCATACTGATTTTGGTTGTTGATACAATGAAATGAACAGTGATGATCAATTTGTACGTTGCATGACAGAAATTTACAAGAAACAAAATCTGAATATTTACATGAACAAACAACAAAATACAACAATGAATCATCATGCATGTCCCAATACCCAATCACCATTAAATCGACAACAAGTAACACGACAACTACTACAGCTAATGGATCATCCAATTACATTCGATCATATTCAAGAAATACATCACCACCAGAACCAGATATCAAAGACATCTATAATTGAGCGGGCTACACGTTCTAGTCCATCATCAACAAACCAACTAGTTTCATCAACACCACGGCGACCATTAGGAGAGAGTGAATCAGAAAATCAATCTCAACGACAAATAAAAATACCAAGGCCTCATGCAATTACACCATCTGCTCCTCCACAAATATCAACAACAGTTAAACCATTTCATCTACCAACAGCACATCTTAAAGGAGCAGTATCGAATAATTTACCGTGTTTTTACAAAATTTGATAATCATATAACTCAACGTAGTATACCACCAGCCATGAAAGTGGCTAGATGAATTCGTCAAACAGTCCAACAACAATTATCTGAATCAATAGGAGACCTTTCTATACTAATACCTGTTGGTACGAATCGATATAAATTTGGTGTAACATCAAAAAATGATTTCTTATTACTTTGGAATTGTAAGTGGCCAAATGAAATGGACAACATTGATGTTGAAATACAACAACCTCGTTCTCTACCTGATTGTTGCACACTATTAGTGTGCTATGCACCAGCTGATCTATCCAATGAATTCGTTTATCGAGAAATTACTAAATCAATTAGCTCAGCAGGTTCCTACTCAAAAATCAACTACCATCGACCCCGATCAACAAATGATTATAGATTTTGTATAGCCGATGCAAATAAATACGAAGAAATTTTAAAGATCGCTAGTGTAACAATCGAATATTTACTTCTTCAAATAACTGCATTTCGTCCTGGTTTAAAATTGACTTACTGCTCAAACTATTGGATGATTGGTCATACTAAACCTGAATGTAAAATGAACCCTCGATGTCGTAAATGCTTAGATAATTGGGAACTTACTCATCACTGCCAAAAGCCAATATTATGTGCTCAATGTGAAAGTCCACATCTATCAACAAGTATCGAATATCCAGCGGTTTACAATTATCGCATAACATTAAAAGATCAAGTTAAAAGAGCCATTAATGATGGATTAATAAGTCAACCCAGTATCAACCAAAAAAGAGAAGCTACTCGTTATGTTGAAGATGGGAAATATGAAACCAAACAAACAAATGGAACTAACCAAGTATGTGAATGCTAATCAAAATCAAGAGGCAGGCCAGAAATTCAACGTGAAAATGAAAATGATCCATTAGGTGAGCTGGTATGTCGAACAAAAGATGTTTTAGATATAATACGTCGAATGGAATTGAAAATGGATAGCCCGGTTTTAAAAATTGATATCTTAGAAAGAAGACCTGTATTAAATAATGAAAGTTTGGTTGACCTAGCAAAGATCTTTCAACAGTTCATCAATACAACATTAGAAAAGAAAAACAAACAGCAACTATAAAGCTTAGTACAACGACTAGAAGTATTTAAAGAGAATGTTAGTGAAAAGTTCAATGCTATCACAATTCACAAATGATCATCAACAACAACAACAACAACAAACACCAACATCCCCGTCTTTACAACGGAACAGTAGCAGAATACAAACTAAGTCAACAGCTTTCAATAACAACGCGAACTACGATGGAATAGAACAAGATTCACCAATAAGTAACGTAAATGGGTAGTAGTTACATGTCATATTCTATGAACATTGATGCAATTCCTTTTGTTCCTAACCCTTATTTCTTTTCTTCTTCTTCTTCTTCTTCTTCTTCTTCGCTTGTTGATGTTAAAAGTGAAGTGATGCAAAAAGTCATAGACTGGGACTTTCGTTTCAAAATAGTGCAATATGTCAGCTCAATAGTGAGTGAATGGTTCTCAGGAAATACTCTTAATAGAATTCTTAGTTTAAGGGAAACACCAACCAATCATTCTCAATGCCAACGAAATCCATTGAACATACTAAATTATAATGTAAAATGATGGGGAGTCCGAGCACTAGAAGCAGTGGAACTTATTTTTAACTCTGACAGCTCTATAGGAATACTCACGGACGTAGGAGAGTTATGAAAAGAATTTACCATTCCTCTCTTTAAGAGTTTTTATCAGAAGGGTACCAATAGCAAACGAGAAGTAGTTGTAGTAGTTGGAAAACATCTCAAAGCGACACGTATTGATATAAATATAGATAACTCGGCGATTGTAGATGTAGAAAGACTAACAGAACAAATTAGAATTATTGGAATTTATTGTCCCCAATGTCAGCACAGGAACTTAGAAGATCTTACATCATACATAGCTGAAAAACTATCCTAGCTGGAGACTTTAATGCCTCAGCACAAAAATGGCAAAAGTTCGGTGACAGATGCCAGAGGTAATCAATTGAAAAAATGGATAGAAAAGAACAATTTGTTGTTCATACCTGGAACGAAGAATTCATCTAAGAGATCAGAGACATAGTGATCTCATATTTACAAACATAGGGGATGCTGAAGCGGAAACACTTAACACAGGAACGCGCGACCATTGGTCAATAGTTATGAAAAGTGATCGAATCGGACTGCAAACGAATGGAAATGGCCCCGTAGCCGATTGGACAGTGTTTCAAATTGTTTTAACATTACTGAAATACTTTTGGATAAAGGAATCAGAAATACAAGATGCAGAAAATTGGTACTTGAACTGCACACGTTTCCTTGTAGCTCTAAAAAATAGAGTAACCAAGTGGAGAAACAGGAATAGATAATCACCATTCATTATCGCCTTATATTGTAGGTATGTTAAAGGAAGTCCGTCGAATTAGAAATAAGTACTATCGAGAAAGAAAGATAAATTTCGGTGTAGAATAGGGGTGGCACTTTATCTTTACTTTACCGGTTAAAATAAAGTTCGCTACTTTACTTTACCCGGTAAAGTAAAGTAAGTCAACTTTACCCGAAAAGTAAAGTAAAGTAAAGTAAAGTAAAGTGAATTAAATAAAGTTGAGTTTGTTGCCCATTTTTTAGCCCAGTATCATGCACTAATAACGCTGCAGCATATGAAAGTATTTTTGGAACGATTTATTCATAAAACAAGTGGAAAATAAAGTACAGTGATGATGAAAAGGTCACATTTTTCATAGATGAACACTTTTGTATGCTGCAGCGTTATCAGAGCTTGATGCTGGCCTAGAAAATGAACAATAAGCCTAACTTAATACAAGTCATTTTACTTTACTTTACTTTACTTTTTGGGTAAATTTGACTTACTTTACTTTACTTTACCGGATAAAGTAAGGTTCACTGCTTTACTTTACCAGGTAAAGTAAAGTTCACTACTTTACTTTACTTTACTTTACTTTTTCAAAGTTAAGTAAAGATAAAGTGCCATCCCTAGTGTAGAAGTAGAAAGAACCAGATTATTATTAAGAACACTAACCAAACAAGTAAAAATTGAGGTGTACAATTATAAATTGGAACGATGGAACTCCTTCCTATCCACTATTCAGGAATCTCAGGATAGAAATAGCAAACATTTTTGGCCGCATTTGTCGAAGATTTACAAACCGAATACATTACCAACCTCGAAATTCAAAGCAAGCTCTATTACGATTGCTGACCAACAAGATATAACAAATATGCTTTACAGTTATTATAAGGAACTAGCGAATAGCCCTAATATAGATGAAAACGAACAACATGATCAGACAATTGTAGATAAGTATAACAAAATTATGAATACCTTATCCCAACCATTAGATATCAAGGTCGAAAAAGTAACATCATCAGAAATAACAAAAATTATTAAAAAATTGAAAAATGAAAAATCATTGGGTTATGATCAGATATCTAACTATATAATAAAACTATTACCGCCAGCATATATAGATTGCTTAGTTAGATGTTTCAATGTTTGGCTAAGCGAAGGTCGGTACCCGGATTTCTGGAAATTAGCAAAGATAGTTACATTGAACAAACTTAATGCCGGTGTGCCTCGTTCCGACCAAACCCGACCAATCTCGCTTTTGGCAACACACTCAAAGGTATTTGAAAAAGCACTTCTAGAAAGAGTAAGCAATTGGACTGAAGGAGCTCAGCTCGTCCCAATTGAACAATCAGATTTCAGACAGGGAGGTCTGATAGCAACCAGAGTTCTCTCAATTTGTCAAGAAATCCAAAATAATCTAGCAGCAAACATGCCAACGCTTGTCCTGTATGTAGACTACCGTAAAGCGCATGATATGGTATGGCACGCTGTCCTATTGGTGAAACTGCACAATCTAGGCATGCCCATAGCACTATTGAGAATGACGGCTTCTTGGTTAGGACATCGACAAGCTTACATCTCATTTGGAGGCAAAGTATCCGAAAAGCACAAGATTAATATTGGACTACCACAAGGAAGTAGTCTAAGTCCATTCCTTTTCATAGTCTATCACTGTGATCTAATACAATATCTCGGTGCTCATTCAGGGCACTTGTTTGCTGACGACCTCAGTGTACTAATCACAGCACCGATTACGAAATCTCTAGCCACAGTCAAAAGCGATCTGGAAAAAGAGGGCACAGAAGTCTGCAGCAAAATAGCAGCTTACGCAAAGAAATGGAAACAGCCAATCAACGTACAGAAAACAGTAGCGCAGATTTTCTACAAACAGATCAAGCTACCTGAAATAAAGATACATATGGAGGGATATCAACTAGAAATAGTTAACACATTCAAATGTTTAGGATTTATGTGGACGAGCAAAATGTCATTGAAACCTACAATCGGTCTATGTCTAGAAAAAGTGGAGAAGGTCTTAATCAAACTGAAGTGGTTGAATAAAGGTAGAACAATATCGGTTCACGTTTTGAGAAAATGTTTTTTTGCCTATGTCTCTTTCCACAATTTGCGTGGATTTTCCCATTCTATCCATTTCTCTCGAAAACACAGAAAGAATCACTCAATAGGAAATTCAGAGTTGCAATTAGAATAGTTCATAGATGTCCTTTCATTTCTGCAGAAGACTTATTTACACTAACGAAAGAAAACCACATGGAAGTGTATGTTAAAAGGTATTTAAACAAAATCTTACAAAAAATCTACAAGACAGATCTAGGACGCTCAAGCTTTCTAGAGGATATATTTTATTGGAATGGATTTAAAAAGAGTGAAAAACACTCGTTAGGACATTTCTTCAGGCAAAAAAGAGTAAAAAACTTAATTAAGAGACACGAGATGTTACTGATTAAATGATTCAACTTTATATAAGAATAAATGATATATCACACCCTACACGACATCATATAAAATTCAACATTATGGAACACGGAAAATAGAATGTTAGGGATTGATCCAGCTATGGCAATTAGAATAACTTACACTTGTTCTCTTCTCTCTTCCTTTTCTATGCAAGCACTCCAGAGTGTAACATAAATAAACAAACCATAAATTTAAAAAAGTGTTCAACATTTTTTGTAACGTGAAATTGAACTCAGAAGGATTCATAAAGATAAATATGATGAGACTTGTCTAAATATTACTCATGTTTCAATTTCATTCATTGTTACGTAGGGAATCACATTTCCCGGCATCGCCTGCACTAAACACCATTTATATTTATACAGGTCCATAAAATATATGGTCTATAGAGTAGATACATGAAAACATTTTTGTAGATCCGTTTCACTGTAAAAGATATATGTGAAGGAGATGGTGAGAGAGACACAACGATTTTGTGAGCAGACTCCGACTTAAGATGGCAACAACCTGATTAAAGTGTTCATGTCGTATTTGTTCTCGTAGCACCTTTCTTCATATATAGATATATTTATATTCGTTTATTTGCTATGTTTAATCATCGTATAGAATCTTTTGTTGTTTTCTATTCATCATCTTCATTAAATGAAAACATAGACATCTCGTTGGTTATGTACATTATGATCCTAATTCTATCTTCAGAGGTAATTTAGTTAGTTATATCGAATGAACGTTCAACAATCGTCATGATGTTTCATATTTTATGAGAAGCTTAAGTGAGAAAAATACTTTTTCCGTTCTTTAGTTTCTCTGGTACGATAAAAAAAAAGAAAATAGTGGTTATTGTCAACTAGATTCTTTTCATTATTTCTTGACATGGTTTTTCTAAGAAACTAAGGACTCTTTTTAACTATAGAAACCTGACAAAGAGAAGTAAAATGACGATCTAATGGAATTTCATCTCATTACCGATTGACTACGATTTAAGAAAACAAAAGTTGAAGTGAGCTTTTACTGGTATTTTGTTGCATTTCTCGGTGATCAATAGAGAATCAAGTCGAACTATTCGAATCTGATAGTTGAAGAAATGTACGCTGAAATTGAACCAACAATGAGAAAACATAACGAAGGTAACTAAACAACAAATAATGCGGGCTATACATAGAAAAAAGATACACATTGAGATTAAGAAAGAACGGGTATCGATATTTATTTTAGATCATATCTAATACGTTTCTACATGATCAATAATAAACAACTGATATTCTTCTAAAATCGATTTATTAAGTGTCAATTTGTCTGCATTCCTATGACACTCACATTAGTACATGTTTAATCACTGAAAAACATCCTGCGATTGGTTAAAGCAGGTATTCAAGTGAGAGCCTTTCTCATGTTAACAGTGTCTACGAATGTCGATTGATACTATTGTTAAAGTCATTTATCCATATATGTTAGGTTCAGTAGAATATTTTGTTAAATAATGAGGAAGATGTTCGATAACTCAAATATTTAATTTTTGTAGCTTATTGGATTAATCGAAGTAGTATTAGGATTTAATTTCTTGAAACATTTACACTAATTGAATTTTTCTGTAAACTAGAATCATAGCTGGAAAAAAAACTTGAAACTGTACTAGATGTATAGGTCGATTCAATATTTTAAAATTACATTTTAGTCTTCGGACTAAACTATGTTCAAGATTAAACAAAACTTCAATATTGCAGTAATACGCGAATAAAAACTGCACTGAAAATTCTCACATGGTGGCAATATGGACAAGTAAGCAATTTACTGATTTTATTTTTGGTTCGTATGAATAGGATTTCTCTAGTTGAATAATTAGTAGATGATGCATTTTAGGTATTGCAGTTTGTTATTCTTGTTGATGAGTATTTTAAGACAAAAGTTCCTAGTCTTTTTAAGAATAAAATAAAGTGTGATAAAGGCTTTTATTAATATAACCACATCGTATTATATGTACATAATTAAGAAAAATAAGGAGATACGTGTGTATTCAATTGAACGAATATCGCTCAGGGTGATGTGTGATTTGGTTTTCTTTGCTCTTTTAGCACCCATTTCACTTGTGAAAACTCGACTCAAACATAAAATACACACATAGAAGATAAAAGGTACTGTGAATGAATATCTTTTAAGTTTAAAACAAACACAAAAAAAGAACAGCAAAATGAATGAGACAAAACAGAAAAAAGACAAAAAGAAAGACAAAGAGTACACTGTTGATAGGAAACTGGTATTAGGATAGATTCTGGTTTTCTCCGTTCTATTATGAATTAGATCCTTGGAATGAGATATCACCGGCGAAAGAAAAAGAAAACAGTGAAACTCTTAAAGCAATTATGTATGTTTTTGTAAAATTGACCAATAATGTGAGTAATAATATTCAATGATCATTTTGATTGATTCTTATTATTTTCTTTAATTGAGCCACGGTTATTTATATTCGAATCATGCGAAAGTTGAATGCTACTATTTTTATCATAACCTAAAGATTGTTGACGTCGAATAAATGCTGCTTGCAGTCTTGATGTTAAAGCATTTGAAGCTTGGCGATTTTTCGCTAACTCTTCTGTAGGATTTGCTTTTGCTGTTTGATTTGATGAGAGACCATTAACATAAGATTCAGGATAATTATTTCGATTATAATTCATTTCCAGGCTATTGCTCTGAAATGAAGAAATGTTTTGGGTTTAAGTTCAAATCTGGACTAGAGCTAGAATTTTCTAGAACTTATATTTAATATCGGTTTTAAAATGATTGTGATCATTGCATATTTAAGAATTATATGTGTGGTTAAAAAATGGAGAAAGCAATATTTTCTAATTTCGGTCATGATTTATATACATATCTAATATTTGCATTATATTCGATTCTAGATCATACCCCATGACATATCACTTTTGTTCTTCACTCTGTTCTGTTCTCACTCAGTATGAGGTAGGAAACATAAACTGAAATTCGGCTATGAAATGTATTCATATTGATCATCTAATAGAAAATTTTATTCTTTTTTTCCTGCTCAGTGCATATATCTTATATATAGCAATTCAAAATACATAATATGGTGTATTCCTAATGATGACCACAAAAAATTTCCTTTAACATCTACTAAAACACTGCCATTTTTATATAATTATAATCTAATTGGAAGTTTATATTTTAATTTATTTTTCTAATCTAAAAATCTGTCGTCAAATCTTTCTTTTAAGATTATAAAGAATTAATTTTTTAACTTATTAGTCAAAATATCTTGTTAGCATGCGACAATCGAATGGCAATCGCTCGAAACTATTTTCACTTTAATCATATGAAATGAAAATAAGCAATAATTAAAGATGATTTTCTTCGTGATTTTTCCAGATATATGTAAAATTTTGATACGAACTTTCTAATCGAGTCAAAATTGCAAGAATTTATGTTAAAAGTTCTACTGAAACTAATCTAAAATGTTGAATAACCATTAGATGACGATGACAAATTTAGAAAATGTTCTCCAATGATATCCTATCAAAAAAACCATATGTAGGATGAGTGTTTTGGTGGATATTGATAAAATAACGGTGAAGTAATTCATGCTCTATATTATTTTGTCTGAGAAAGTGGTATGACTATTTTCGAGAAGCAGAGCTAAAATGTTGTTTCAATTCCATAAAACTAAGAAGGTGACTACCAAGTATTGCAATTGTAGAAAGAGAAATGTTCCGATAATTTCCTTTGCAGGTCGGTAACTCTAATCAAGATAGAATTAAAAAGTAAATGTTACTTGTGTTAATTGACTTGATTTTTTATGTGTTTGTTGCACATAATTAATATGCGATGAAAATTGCCCATTTTCTATTGGTAATAACTCGTCATTTTCCTCCATAGACGAACTCTTTCGAGTCTGTCTTATTGTCGGATTTATTTTACTTGTTGAACTTATTGGTATTGCAGGTAATTTTCGCCCTGATGTTTCAGGCGGTTTTTGATTTGTATTTGTTATTGACGAAGTCGTTTGTTTATAACGATTTGCAGTTATTGATGAATTGTAACGATGATCAACAAAAGGCTGTTGAGAAGATGTTGCTTCATTATGCCACTCTGAATGATTGTTATTGATTGAATTGTTTTCATTCGTATTTACAGATATTGCATTCATTTGTCTTGAATTTTTTTCAAGACGGTATTCATTCATACATGCATCAATATAATTTTTAATCATATTATCGCATGTTTTAGGTCGTTTTGGTTGAAAATTTGTGACAATTATTGTTAAAATATTCGTTTGACGATTAAGTAATGGTGATGACACACGATGTATATGTTCATTTTCATTATTCATTACTCCATCGGATGTGTCAGAACTTGGATGCTGTTGATTTTGTTTAAGCGAAGCTCGTCTGACGGATGAAAACGGTTCGATAAATGTTCGACGAATAATTTTTGAAAAAGAATTAAATGATGAACGAGCCGGCTTTTTATTAATTATTGTTGGTATAGTAGAGTTTGTTTCAGTATTTGATGTAGATAAATCTATATTGATTATTGACGATGAATTTGCATCAGTAGATGATCCTATATCATCACTGATATTATTATTATTATTATTTGTTGTTGATGGAGATAATAAAGTATTTAGAGGACAAGTTTCTTTTGATAAATTTAAATATCTTTCAATTGTTTCCATTCGACTTTCGCCGAAATGTGTATATAGATGAATTTTTTCGTCGGATAATTCTTCATCGATGGGCCATGCAAAATTTGAACCCGGATCAATAAAATAATGTATTGGTAGAAGATCAATGGCTTCGATATCAATTAAAGGAATTCGATAAGTTGCTACTAATAAAAACGAGAGAAAAAAAAGTGTTTATAAGTTACTTAAGATAACAATTTTATTAATTGTTCATAGAAAAGCAATTGAAACACGAAACAGAAAAATATCTCTATTTGTTTCTCTATACTTTGTCATGCAATGAATAATTATTGATGCATTCATTATTATTCTTAAGTCATAGAATAAATTAAAGTTAGAGATTAATATTTAATCATTGATTATGTCCATTGAATATTATCATTCATTTATGCTAGTCAGGTTCGGACAACTTTATTCTATTTCCAAAATCTGATTGTCAATGACATTTAAGCTTGCCTATCTAAATGCTTTATGAGATAGGAGTAACCCTTTATTGTTTTACAAAATTATGGTCTTGACCTTTACCTATCTACGCAATGAAATGAAATGTTAGCTGTTTTTCGATCCAACGTCAGTTTCGCACTTTGAGATCTTGTTTTCAAAATTCAATTAGAGTATTTTTTTTGTTCCTAAAGAATTACATTAGATCTTCGAAAGTTTATTTTCCTAATTCAAAAGAAAACATTCTCTATTGTTCGATGATTATTTTATTTAGAATGAAGATTAAAAAATAGCTTGGTTTGACAATCTCAACTGAGACGCTAATAATAGAGAAAAATAAAATTACCTTAAATATCATTAAGGACACTCTACGCTAATGGTTGTCCCCTAGTATTTTTCATCACTCATACAAGAAATAATCTGATATAGTCACATTTTTATGATTGTTTCTTGTTTACAGACTATTCGAGACTTAATATACTCATAAAACAAATATAACAGATCATGTAATCAAAGCGTTCAACGGTACACAATGCATATAGTTTCAATTTAGCTTCTAACGCTTTTCCAGAATTGATGCCCCTTCGCGTGACTCTTTCTCGATACATTTTAATGTAAACAAGCAAAAGTCAATGGTTTTATCGTAAAATTAGCATACTACAAAGGATGTATTTACCTTTTGATGTTGCTTTCGAATTTTGTTCCATAGGTACAAGTGCTGAAAAATGTGCAGCATCAAACGCCAGAAATACCTAAATTACATGAACCCATATGAATCATACTCAAAAAAGCCATCTCAGTTAGTTTACCGGTTGTCTATGACATTTTTCAGGTGGGATTTCTATTTAAACATTAAAAAAAAACTAAATAAATGATTAGCTAAGATTTATTTTAATATACCTAATGGTAAATAGATCCCCCCAAATTCAATTGGAGAAATAGGTTCACCATCATTTGTTCGTAATATTGTATCTGAATAAATAATGATCGGACGACGTATATTATTTGCTAATACATAAACATGAAATTCTTCTAAACTTTCATAATATTGTCTTGCAGATGGGGATGAAGATTTTGTCGAACCGCCAACACTTGTGGATGTTCCTGTTTGTGGTGATTTATTACGACTCATTCTAGAAATAAAATGAATGCAGTTGTGTTTTGTTTGTTTGGTGACATACTCATCAGTCGGTGCAGTTGAATTTGTAAATCTATTGTTTGGATTCGACGAAGTTTTTTGTGAAACACGTGGTTCAGCAGATGATAATCTTAATAAACTTTTCCATTCATCAGTCCATTCTTGTTCAGAAAAAACAAGACCATACTAAATGAAATTATTTTGAGATTTTAATTATAGAATATATGTATTTCTAACTTTTTTATTTTGTACTGATTGAGCCCAACGCCAGCGTCGATAAAGTGAATTATTTGGTTTTGATGTAATCATTGTTTCATTCAATGCTTTACGCATTGATAACGAATGATCATGAAATCCCCACATAGCTAATATAATAAATAATGAAAATTTTATTAATTATCGAGATTTAATACTTGATATTTTGTTTCTATTAGTTTTAAACTTTGTATTATCGAGTCTATATGGGGTATTTGTAAAAGTTCAAAGTTTTCTCATTCAATGTTCATGTGAATTTAATCGAGAATCAGATCTAATCTATCGTTAGCTTCTTGATAAAAACGGAGAACAACATGTCTCTTCTTGAAGCTTTCATTTTCGAAAATATCTTTATGCACTAGAAGTTTTTGAATAGCCTTCTAATGAAAATCATCAACAGCAAATTCAATTAAATGCTTTCTAATAAATTTAGTTTTCTATATATGTTTAGAATGAGTCACTAAATTTGAAATATATTTTAGACATGATTGGATCTTATATTGCCAGGTCTTATTCAAACTGTATAGTAATGTATTAAAGAATCAAAATTAAAATTTTTATCATCAGTTTTAAACTCACAACATAAAACAATATATTATATTAGATTGGTTACACGATGCACTCAACTATTGAACTTAGGCATTCCATTTCAGTTTTTCTTCTTCTACGACTTAGTTAATTAGAAAAAGAAACTTTTTACTCGTGAGCAAACAAATCATTATCGCATCAATCTTATTCTTAATCTCTTTTTTTATAGAAAAATAATTTGTTCCTAAGACTTTATTTCTTTACCAAGTGATGTAGCATGTAATAAGCAGTTTCCATCTCCACTTGTTAAGACAGGATACAATTTTGGAGAAGTTAATTTCTTATTAACCCACCAATTGAGACGTTCTGTAAACAAAACAAAAGAAGAAGATTTTCCTGAAAATAACTATAAAAAAAAGTTAGTACTTGATTCTTCCAATGTTGCCATTGTTGTTGTATCAACAAGACTATCCATGACACGAGTACGAATATCATCAGGTAATTCATAAAGGTTTGGTAATAAAAATGAAGCATCGGCATCAGTGTGATCGATTGTAACAATTTCATCGTTAACTGAAATTCGGCGAAAATTTTTTGCTAAAGCATTACGTTGATTATATACTAATGATTGATTTGCAGAAACAGTTGATAAAGCACGATGTAATACTGGATAATTCAATGAATCTGTATCTTCAAAATGTAGAAAAAGAAATTCATGAATTTAATTTAAATTTTATCTAAACTTTCTTTTACTTGTTCGTCGAAGTTTAATCTCAGATGAAGTAGTGTTTAAAGGATGCGGTGGTTTATCATCATCAAACGTATCTACACTTGTTTCCTTAATATGGCGCTGAGAATAGCTTTGCATTCTCTTGTGTTCTATTTTTATTACATTATTTAAAGATTAATTAATATAAATTTTGCACAAAAGATAATATCACCCATCAGGCATTATGTTCTAGGCGATTGTGAATATTTATTTCTTAGATAAATTAAAAAAAGTGATGGATCATTGAAAAGTGGTTTTCTATATTGAGATATTTTGTGCCGACTTCGAAACACTCATTAATTGTTTGTTTTTATGTCGACTTACAATATAATTGGTTTATTATTACCAAATAGCAATATATATATTATTAATACTTTTTTAGTACAAATCATTTATTACTTAGCTTTTTAAAGATAAATCTTAATTTGAATAATAATTTTTCTAAAAATTACTTGAATAGATGTCACTCTTATAAAATCAACTTCTTCTGTATTCATTGGTTAGTATTTTTATTGTACGATTTTGTTCATAAGGACGTATTTTTATTGAACCATTTCTTTCTCTTCATATCTGTTCGAATGATTAGTTCTTAGTAACTATTGGTTTGAAACAGTCAGCTGGTTGACCTTCTCTTTTCGTTCTTTAACTTAGAACACATCTGTGCGTTCTCGTTGTTCTTCAATCTTTTATAGTCTCGTTTTTTTTCTTCTCTTCCTCTATTTGCTCAGCAATGCTTAATACGAATATTCATTTTCTCTTCTACTCCATTCACATAAACATGCTAAACACATGTGTTTAGCCTTTTTCTTTAATTCTTCTATTTTGATTAAATAAATAGGAAAAAATCAACAATAACACTATGCAACACAGTCAAATGTAATTCATGATTGCATCATGTTTGTACGCTAAGACAGTATTGCTCAAGATCGATGTCAACATAAGAAAAACTCGTATATAAGACGAAAATATTTTCTCTTTTTATTTCAGAATATTGCATTGATAAAAAACTAATCAAAGATGAATGAATAAAACTCCATATGATTGAATTAGATTTCAAATGGTTTAAAATACAATTAAATCATCGTAATCAACATATTACTATAATTCAAATTCGAAATTATGATCGATCAATTATCAAAAACAAATAATTCCAATGATCTCTTTGGAGAACAAGTAACAACAAAAACAAACATGATCAACCAAGAAAAAAACTTGATATCTTATCTTTCTATTTTAGACTCCAAAAAAGATGCCACAGGAAACGATGCCGTTTACAAATGAATTATTTCAACGTGTAATAACAGGTGTACTTTGTTCATTAAATCCAACAACAACAAATAATGAAAAACAAAATGCATTAAATTTTCTTGAAGATCTTAAAGAAAATCATCCATTAATATGTCTAACAATTGGCTTTGAATTATTGAAACAACAAACAAATAATGATTCATTATTGCGTCATTATGGTATTCATTTAATTGAATCGATTGTAAAACATAAATGGTCATTATTAAAACAGGATGAACGATATTTAGTTAAAGAACAATTATTCATTTTAATAAAAAGTTCATGTTTAAATCAAACATTTATGGATCCGATTTATATTCGTAATGCATTAGCTAAATGTTTAGTTGAAATAATAAAACGTGATTGTTTTGAAAAAGTCAATACAGCATTAGATGAAGTTGTTCTTATGACACAATCAATTACTCGCATTGAAGGTTTGATTGCTTATTCATTTAGGTTTTGAATTCTTTTTTTGCCTTTGAATTTAATTTAGATAACAATTCTACTCAACTCGAACTTATTTTACTCGTTTATCGTTTCTTAAATGAAGAAGTAACAATCTATGCACAATCAATACAAATTCATCGTCGTCGACAATTATTAAATCAATTGCAAAAACGTTTAAATGATATTTTACCATGTCTAATACGTATATCAAATGATTTATTAGTTGTAAATGATCAACGTGAACGTTTAACACAAACGTGCTTATTAGCTGTGAATAGTTTTCTTATATGGGTAGAATATAATCATTTTGAACAGTATGAATTATTTCTTTGTGAATTATTTTTAAAATTTTTTCAACTCAATTCCGTTAAATTACGGCATGCATCATTCGAATGTTTACTTAGTCTTGTTAATAAACGTTTAGCTAAAAAACAATTACAACAACAACAACAACAAAGAAATAAACGAATTGCATTGTCACCATCAGCAGCATTAAATTGTCAACAAGAAAAACTTTTTCTAGACTATTTACTTGGAGATAATACATTGGGAATGTTCTATCGGTTATTAATTAGTCCAACGGTAAATATTCAAATTTTTATTCTGTTGAGATTTGAATAAAATTAATTAGATTTTTCTCTAGAGATTAGGAGAGTGTCTCGAATTATATATAGTCTCTTTCTTTTAGTAAACATTTGAAAAATCCTTAAAAATATTTCGAATTCAATTCTAAATATCAAAAAAATCTTATTCTTCTATTCTGATTTACGGATCAAAAAATCTTATGTCGACAATTGATTTCTAAGGAGAATTGAATTTTCTCGTGAATGCTTTACTAGATCTCAAGAGAAAAGTCTTAAAACAGATCAATTGCGTATGAGTAGAAACTATGTGCAGTATATGAACTGACATAGCCGATGAATAGTATCGAAAGTATGGCGCCCTGAACTAATTCACAAATAGATAAAGACACGATATTTTGTCATTTAAACTAGTTGATATTGTCAAAAATGACCGTTGGTAATACTTTAAATGCCACTTCGACACATAAAATAACTAAAAACGCTAGTGTACCTATTTGAAATCGAGACACTATCCTATATATCTGATCATCGCATCTATAGAATAATGTTTTGAGACTATTTTTTTTGTAGGTGAAACTCTAAATGTTTCGTAAATTCTCATTTTCTGAATTGTTTCTGTGGGGAACTAAAAACATGAAATGTACTGATCTATGAGTGTGATTTAGACGACCCAGTATTCACTTGCCTATTATTTACAGCAAAAATAAAAAATAAAAACAGCTCTAGTACATTTTTCTACTAAGCTTCACAAGATGGGTTTAAGCATGTTCATATTAGCCTAATTTCTTTCTATCGATAAAATTAAATCCTCGAATTGTCTGAAATATTCATCAAAGTTGATTTAAGTCTATATAATACACTTAATTTAGAGTGAAAAAGAATTTATTAGTTGTAGTATTTCCTTCGTAAGAAATAACAATATGATAGGCTAATCTGAGATTAGATGGTATGAAACCTCCTGCTGTTACTTGACCCACCAAACAATTTGTGACTAACGATTAATACAGGACTATCTCTTGAACTTAGAAATTATTCTATTAGAATTAAATATGTTCACTTTCAGTATCAATTTATTCATTCATTTATGGATAAATGGTTGATTCGAGAAAGAATTACCTCTGAAAAATAATTATGTAGTCAATAAAGTCATTTGATCGAATGAATTTTCTCATAACTTGCTATGTATTATTTTGAAACTCTAGGATTCAATTGAACAATTACGTACAGTCGTTACTAATGATCATTTAAATTGTTTGAAAATGCTTGGTCAACTTCTTGTTAAACTAGCAAATTATTTATTACAATTATTTCAACAATTAGCAATAAAATCCATTGATGATGATCAATTTTTGACGTTTGTTAATGAACGAACACGTTCATTTCTACAATTCCTTCTTCTTTTGAATCAGCATCCATTTCATCTATTATCATTAAATTCTTATCAAGCATTAAATGCATTCATTATGCGACAACCAACATTATTATCAAATGAACAATTTTGTTTAAAATTAGTTCAAAATTTAAAAGAATCATTACATCGAGTACATTTTCCATCATCATCAACAATAACACTTCTTGATAGTGGTAATGAAATATTAAAAAAGCAATACGAACATAATCAAAAATGCTTTATTTATGCTTTATATGAATATGATAGTGAAGAACAATTTTATTGGAAATTTTTCTCACAATATAGAACAGAATTACAGAAATTAATTAAATCATTTATTAGCATGTTTTTTCCCGATACTATTGCTGGTAAGAGACATAAATATGAATAGTCTTGATGACTAAATAGTTTATCATAGAATTTTATAAAGAAAGAAAATCTGTATCGATATGGAGAATATCCACATAAATAATTCAAACTGATTTTCAAAAAGCTCTTACAGCATGGATTGATTTTTTGTATATTTTTCAAGACAGAATGAGTTAAATAAAAATAGTTTCAAGCAAATAATTACTACATTCAATGAAAGCTAACTATCATACGTAGACTAACTGTTTCAAAAGTGTCTATGTAATCAAGATTTCCTCTGTACCAGCTGTCACAAGCATAGCAATAAGTAATTAAAAAATATTAACTTATCAGCTTTTTACATTGATTAAATCTAATAAGTTTCGAAACCGTTCAAATATTTTTAACTTAAGAAAACTGCCGGTCGATTTGTTATAATGATTAATAAAAACTTTGACTTTTTTCTATATTTATCAGCCGAGTTATAGCTTTACTACGGATACATATATAGGCCTCTTAGACACTAGACATGGTTCCATAGTATCAGCTAGAAGAAGAATAAGAAATGTATTCTTATCGAGATATCAGCTTATCATACATTTATTTTTCTTTTGAGACACAAATCAAAACAAGCGTTTCATTTAGATGAAATTTACGTAGTGAATATTCATACTGATTTTCTTCTATTCATTTTTTATTTATCTGAAAATGGATACTTCTTTGAAAATACTTACTAGTATTCTAAAAAATATTTTTTGTAGAAAAAACACTAATAAATGTCGAAAACGTTTCAATTAAAATAAATATTAATTTACTCAAAAAATCGATTTTTCAGTTCGAATTTCAATAAAACTGTGTAGTATTTTTTATTATTGTTGATCTTTTAGTAAAACGCTAGAAAAAAATTTATCAGTAGTCTTACAGAAAAAGTAATAAAACAGTTAGGAATAAAAACAAATTAGATTTATGAATCAAATTTAACCAACAAAGTTTCATAGATTAGAACTGAAAGAAACATTTACTTTTATGATTCATTTTAGAATGTTCAGTTGTAACCGAAACAAATATGTCTTGTTTAAAGTCGATTCTTCAAAGTTTACTTGCATTTCTTGAATCAATTGTTCAACGTACACCAAATAAAACTGACAATCAAATTCAAACATCATTATCATCAGTCTATTTAATAATTGAATGGGAAGCATTTTATTTATTAATTGATCATGTTTTATTTATTGTTCGTAAAGAATTATTTTCATCTTCAACATCCATAATAAAATCTCAACAAAGAATAGAACCACTTTTAATGACATCAACAATGACAGAACAATTCTTACGTACATTAAGATTTCTATTACAGTTTACACCTAATCTAAGTGAACATATACATGGACATGTATTAAATTTACTTTCTGTTATGTTTTTTATTACTAAACATGATCCATCTTTATCTATTCAAATAATTCAACGTCTTCTAACTACATTTCAATTATATCAGCAACAATCTATTGGTAAGAAATAAGATTTATTTTCTAATGGTAAAAACCGAAACGTTTTGTTTTTATTTTCCTTTTTTCAAGTCGGTTCAAGTATTCACGAATGTGAAGTAATGCAAACTCAAGCAGCAAATGCTTTCCTCTATTTATGCAAAAATTTTACTGTTAAAATGATTGATTACTATTCTGAATTATTTCCATTTATTTGTCAACTTTATAAAGATGAATTTCAACTAACTAAAACTTCCTTATCAATAACAATCGATGAATCATCATGCCCAGCATTAAAATTATTGGATGCAGCTCAGACACTACTCTATTATAAATTAATTCATAGTAATGATCAAACTCAATTCGAGGCATTCTATGAACTTATTAAACCTATTTATGAAACATTTCTAACGTCATTAAATGTGGATTCATTAGTACCATTTATACAATATCTTGATTTATGTTCAAATGGAACAGTTGATATGAATGTAGTACGTTATCGACGCCGAAATTTAATGCTTGCATTACATTGTTTATGTTTACTAATACGTTATTCAAAACAACAACAACAACAACAACAACAATTAAACCCTCTTATGCGCTCAAAAATCGCTGTTTGTCTACGACCATTTTTATTTGATCATATACTTAAAGTAACGCAATATTGTAATCAACTATATGATCGACAAATAAATCCTTTCTATGATATGTTAAAAAACAATTTAACATATAGTGACACAGAAAAACAATTATATCTCGGAACTTATGAGAGTAATAATATGGCTAAAGCAACAATTACATCAACGTAAGCGATAGTTTTTGTTTCTTATTTAACGTTTTCGTCTTGTAATTGATGTTTACTTTTATTTAGTACAACACCGTCAAGTCTTCCGGTAAGTTTTGTTCGTTTTCAAACAATATCTGGTGTTGGTATCGTTGATGACCAACGTCTTCGAGATTATCTTCATCGTCTATTCGATATATGTTATCAAATCAATGGCATGTATTTTGCTCATGATGCTGATTTATATTATTTAAAATTAACCGATGATAATTATTTTATAACAACATTTTTACAAAAAGTTCTTTTTCAGAATTTAAAAACTCTTCCGTCATTTCGTCTTCGTATTGTTTTAAGACATTTTTGTCGATCATTTGTTGAACATTATTGCCCATTAATAACATTAGATAAAGAAATAATAAATGAATTATTTCTTACATTTCTTGATATTTTTCTACCTTACATTCAACAAAGTTTAACAACCATGTGGAATTCTTTATTAACCACAACAATTAATTACCAAGACGGCGAATGTTCAGATGAAGTTATTGAAGAATGTGTTTGCGTTTTATTAACACATGATTTTGTTGATATTATACGATATTTTATTTATAAAACAGCAACAACAACTGGTGGTCAAACAAATTCAACATCAAGTGGAACTAATAAAAAGAAGAACAAAACAATGAATGGACATGCTCATAGTGAAAGTATGGGTGAAGAAACAAATGGTACTAGTGGTGATACAGATCAAATTGATGAATGGGATGAGCAAACAACAAGTTATGGTATTAATAATAAATTGTTAAATGGTACACAAGAAAAAATGGATTACAGTGATCTATTCAATTTCATGATTAAAATGTCTCGACAAAGTAAGTTACTGTTAAGTGATACACGATGAAGTACATATGATAATAACTATCTCTCTATTAAATTTTTGCATACAAAAAAAAAGATTTATATTACTGTATTTTTTGCGTATTTAATAGATGTACTAAGGTTACTACAATCTTAAATCAATCTTAGATCAAATTTATCAAAATCGTATAAAAATTTTTATCTTAATCCTATAGAGTTTTTGTCTCAGATATTCAATATAAACTAGTTCATTTAGGAATCTAAAATCTATGTGTTATTTCTCGTTTGAAAAAAAAACGATTCAAGATGCTGGTCATAACAAAGATTTTTTCTTTTTGTGTTGAAATCTTACCTTTTCAGTATAAATACTGGTTGCTACGATAGTGAAAATAAACTTTGACCCTAAAAAAGACTGTTATGTCATACATTTTAAACTGCTCTTTTGAAACCAACAAAAAACTTGAATGTTTACAATGAAGACCCATAGAGAACTCAACGATGTGCAATGAAAGTCGTATAAACATAGAAATAAATTTCCTTTTTTTCCACTAAAGAAAAGCAAATATTTTCGAGTAGAAAGTCACAGAAGTCCTTAGAATTATTAAAAAAGACAAAATGGCAACAACTAAATCCTGAAATTTGTTTAGTGTAACACTCCAGGCTATGTTCTCCACACTGAAAAAAAAATAGCACCACACGGAACCAGGAAATTTTCGAATTTTCTCACTGAACTTTAAAGTGGTTTCGCAGACACTACGAAACTTAAAAAGGGTTTCGAGATTTGAAACGAATTCTGAACCTTTTTTTAGGTCTCGTAGGTTTTCCACAAAACCTTCGAAAAAGTTTCCTGGACTCTTGATAATAATTTTGAGACTATCTTGGGCTTTTACGAAACTTTTTTGAGGGTTTAGAATTCGTTTCAAAAATGGTTCCGTATGGTGCTATTTTTTTTCCCAGTGCAGGCTTAGATAAATATAAATATCAACTAGATTTTAATTGAAACAAGAGATAACACATTTTAACTATAAGAAATACAATTGTTAATATGAAAAGCTCAGTCGTCTTAAATTTCAAGTTAATCTCTAGATATATCACGGTTAATTAGACTTTGAATAATTCTTGATAATAAAATAAGTTTCTCGTTCACTTGTATATCTATTTATTTAGATTCAACACTGGCTCTACGTCTGTTATCATATGTTATAAAGACATTATTCGAATGTTTGACTTTTCCTGATGCTTATTGTGTTAATCGATTTCTACCAATCATTCTTCCATTAACTAAACTTTATACCGATATCATTGATAAACATGTCAATTCATCATCATTCATTGATATTAAATTTCTTTTTCAATGTTTACTTAGAGGACTTGAACGTCATAATGAAAACGAGGGTGTTAATACAAATCTAATATCATTAATTGGTCATATTTATGAATTATGGCATAATCAATATCAAACAGAACTTGATATTGTTCTATATCAAACAATTCCACAGTTAAATGTTGAATTATTGAATACATATAAGACACGTTTGCTATCAAATATTAATAACAATAATGAACAACAAAGAAAATCCCAACAAATAACAGAACGTGAACGACGTGATACGATAAAAAATTTGCTCAATCCTCTTCTATTATCACCTATGTCAAGTAATAAAAACGAAGGATTAAATTTAAAAATTCCATTTAATCAAACAACAGTCTTAACAACAATTTAGAAAAGAAAATTTAAAATAGACTAAAAAAGGGCGCATGTAACAGTTGTGCTTTTTTTTGTTTTTTTGTTTTGTTTACTCTGGTTCTTTTGTTTCTTTGATCTAGTCGTCTCAGGCAACAGCAGTTACTTGTGTGTTGGTGTTTGTTACCAAAAAAAGGAGAAAATTTCACATACTCTGTATTTTGGCTTTAGAGCTAATAACACCATAGATTTCGTTGTTTATTTTTTTTCTCGTTTTCTTTTTGTTGTTATTATTTCTGTTATTACTTGTTTTCTTTTCCTCCAAGACTTGCATGCCTATATTTACATGTTAAATAAACTTTTGAAACGGTTACAAGTTATTGAAAATGGATCTATCTTTAAATTGAATAAGAAGTGAATTATCTAAGTTAGACGAATAACTATGAAATTTGGTTTACAATTAGTGCTGTGTTCATGTTGGAGTACGAATATAACTGGTGCTTTAGTTTATTGTCGGATTGATGAAATCAGATTATTCGACCTACTTTGACTTCTATGTGATCTTACTAGTGCTCCAATACCCACACTAACCAATTCGACTATAGATCTACCAAAAAATTCACCAATTAATATATCCACGAGTATTTTAAGTTGTATAACAAGACAAGAATATATGCTAAATGCTACTATCTCATACTTTTATAACATGTTTTTATTTATCGTTTTACTGCTATTATCTTAATATTGTGTGAATGACAGTATTTCGACAAGAAATTTATCTTGTATCCGATGAATATCACATCCATAAACTTGAATCATTTGAACTATAGAGTAATAAACATTGGGAATTATCTGTGTAAGAAAGCACCTTGTCGACAATAGCTGCTTGAACCTTACGATACAAGATTCAACTTTAGTATCCATTAATAAGAATCATGTATTCGATTAAATCTAAAAACGTTTTTTTATTTAACATGAGTCTCAGAGATATTAAATATACTGGTTTGCTGTTTCATTATTTTACGAGATTTTCTATAACTAAAAGACGGAAAATTTGATTCTTTGACATTTATTCCTATGATACATTGTAGCTATGAAATGTAGCATCTTTTAGATAGAGAAAATACATAAGTTTTAAAGTCGAAATCTAGATGAATCTATTGCCATTTGAGTACCATATGACTATTTGCATCATGTGTATCTAATTTTGTGTTGAGATCTTGTTTACTGGAGAAAATTAATACTCGATATCGGTCTTGCTCGATTTCTGCAAAATGTTGACCATCATCAACAGAAAAGCCGAATGCATGATTTTCACCAATAATAACATGAAAACATTCATCAAGATAGTGCTTCTTAAGTTCTTTAGATAAATATTGGTCGATATCAGCACATGTACTCATCATTGTAGGAAATGTTTGACTCGTTTGAAACGCTATGTTTACAAGACGTTCACAATCGTTACCAAAATTGATTGAACTCGATGCAGTAAGCACTGCGCGTGGATATGGACTGATTGATGATAGTTGAGATAATGATCTTTTAGATCGATTGTGATTTGATGATTCTGATTCTGATTTGGCTCTCTGTTTGGCTTCATAAATGATACATATACCTTGAACCGTCCATAAAGCAATATTGAAAATAAGTTCAACTATGCGATCAGCCATTTAAATTTTAAATAAAATGTAACAATAACTTCTAAGAAAATAGAATTAGTGAATTAGTTTACTGGCAAGTGACATTTTATATTTATTCTAACATCTACTATCTTTTTTTGCTAGATAAATGACTCATAAATGCATTTAGATATGGTTATCATTAGCGAATCACATGTTAGAATCACAAGATAGTATATGACTAATAATTATGACTAGCTGTTTTTCGTCAATACTCACAATATACATCAGAATTATATTTTCTTTGTGAATACTCATACATGTCAATAATTTCCTGTACCATATGCTTCATTTTATTGACTTTGCAACTTTTAGATTCTAGATATTGACAAATGCAAACAATATAACCAATAAGTTGCAGGCAATGTTATTTATTGAAAATCAATTAACTATTCAGTTTTCTGCCTTATTTCGTCTGATTCCTTGTGAATTGAAAGAAAGTTTTACATTCGTTTTAACTTACATCAAAGTCATCTAACAGAATCTTATCGAATTATCATTTCAATCCGATATTTTCCGATAACCAAAGTCGAAATCCTGAGGTTGACGTGGCTATTTCAAAACTATTTATTATTGATGTACAACAATATTACAATATGCACTGAAAAAACTAACTTTGACAATTTTCTGAACTATGAAAGATTTTTACATAGCGTAATCACATCTAACAACTGGGAATATGATTATTAGTGTAAAGAGGTCGAGATCGATAGGACTTAAATCCATACTATTCTAAATTCTGTCATTCATCAATTCAAGTCCGGAAATAGATCAGTAATCTGAATTGAAACACAATGCTCTAAATAGTAATGAGTTGTATAATCGACCAACTGATGGCTGGACAAAAACTATGTCCTTAAATATTGAACATTGAATATATTTAGAATTTATTGTGAGAAACAGAAAAATGTTAGTTGCTGCTAAATTTGATAATATTTCAGATGTAAAACTTGCAAAGTCATACTGACTTATTGCCAAAAACCTATTACAACAGATTTTACTATGTTTTTTCCTGAATTCGACTGTTGTGACACTGCATTACTAAGATAATAGACCACGGAGTATAAACCGAGGAAAAATTTTCTATCAAAGCTTTTAAATAGATGTTGAGTATATGTAACCTCTCGCTTATATTCTTGTAGAGTTGATGAAAATTAAATTATAAGAAAAATTTTAAAACATAAATAGGTTTTCTCTAAGGATTAGTTACTACCAAATTTGGAACAAAAATTTTTAATAATAGACTCCCCAATGGAAATAGTAAGGATGTTTTATTCAAATCTGTAACTCTTAAAGTGACAGGAACAAATTAGACATAGTTTGAAGAGCATTGGTAGTCGAAAAATATTATTAGTTTGCTGACGTTCATGTCCCTCTACCTCACTTGTTGACTTCACTAGGATGGGGCCAGTGTGTTCATCAAAATCTTTAGTTTTTCATATCTATATGCATTTATTTTGATTTCTCAACAAACAACATTAAATGAAAATTCAGTTATTTACGATCGAATTCTTAGAATGCAATGAAAGAGTTACATTCAAATGATTTAAAGATAAAGTAATAATGAACAACTAAATATAGAAAGAGATCTTTTTGCCAATGCATGTTTGTTTCGCTATATGAATGCTTTTTCTGCATGGAAAATGCAGATGAATAAAAATACAAGACACCTTCAATCATTTTCTTTAAATGGTATCATCGGAACACTCAAGATGCCACTTAAAAATGGCAAGCAGATTTAGTGTAACATATGTTTTATTTACATTGATCACAGATTGAATAAAACTCAGTGAGAAAATTACTGTTTATTCATACCTTTATGAATCAGATATAAATAAACAAAGAAAGCCTTGAATGACAGTCACGTTTGCTGGTGCTTTATAAGGAATCAAGATGTTTGCTTACAAAAAAATGGCGAAAAGAATTCATTATTTTTTCAAAAAAAAATTCATTTGTTTTCTATTTCACTGTCAACGATCACATGTACGCATTCACAGTAAGCTTTAAAATACATTATGTTGTCACGCCTTGTCAACAAAATTCTCGCTAATTTTTGTTTTGAACAGCTTATAGGCCCATGTTACGAAAATAAAAGTCTCCCAAAATAAGAAACCAAAAAATTGCTACTACATATATCCTCTTACATTTCTATTAAGAAAATAATCTTTTTGACTACTCGCAAGTACCTTAATGTGCTCTGAAACACTTTTTATAAGCTCTTATTGTTTCAATTAATTAACCTGTTAAGATAGCGCAACGTTTTTGAATTTTGTTTTCCAACAAGATAAACAACTTTCAAGTTCACGTAGAGTACCAATTACACAAATCAAAACTCTTAAACTTATATTTAGCAAATAGTAACTAGTTTATATAGAAGCGATACTACTGTACTATTGCTTTCATTCAGAAACCTAAAGACAAAAATATCACTCATTGTAAATAATAGAACGCAAATTATAGTATATGGTGCCATTATTTACCAACTGCAAATCTTTTAAAATCATTTCACTGTGATACTTTAACCAATCTGCACTGTTCGCGCATATTAATTGAGTCTATTATGTATGTAAATGGAGAAAGAGCGTATCAGTGAAGCAAAATTTATGAGAAACTTGTGATCTAATAAAGCATTTGTACAATAATCACCATATTTTTCTTAGAGAGACATATCTGCCCGTAAAGTATCGTCGATGTGAAGATGAATCAAATGGTATCATTGCCATTATAATCAATTATGTTATGTGTTTGGAACAACCATCAGGTTAAACCTACTACAACGTCACCGTAAACAATTGAAAAGTCACTTCTTCAGATCGAAGCATCTAGTGATTATGTTTCATGCTTATAGCTGAATAATGAAAATTATACCTCGTTATTTCCTATTTCAGTCACTGTTATCTAGAACTAATCGGCAATATACTCGACGGTTTCCTTTTAAGGTGATTTGCATATTTTTGACTACGGGCGTGATTATTTGGAAATTTCATTTGCTCAATATTCTTAGCCCTCTCATAAGAGAATGTTTTCCATTAGAAAGTATTACCAAAGGAAATGTTAAGATTAGCATCGTTACCTTCCATTTATATCCTTCTACTATGTCTGATAATGACAGAAGGTCTAAAATATGGATTACAGGACCGAAAAATCGAAGAAATCTTGCGTCATACGCCCATCGCCATAATTATTCACTTATTCGAGACGACAATATTACTTTGAATTTAGCTTTAAAAGAGTACACAAAAGTATGGGCAAAAGTTGATGTTTTGATAAAACACCTGAATTATTCTGATTGGCTTCTCTGGATTGATTCAGATTTATTGATAATGAATTTCGAGCGACGTTTAGAAACATTCATACCGAGAAATGATCATATCGATATTGTGATTACTGCTGATAAACTTGGAATAAATGCTGGAATTTTTTTCTGGCGAAATAGTCCTTCAGGTCGCGAAATATTTGAAAAATGGAAATTGATGGCAACATCACACAGTCATGAACAAAGACAACTGGCTTCCCTTATTAAAACTGATGTGAACATATCCAGACGCGTTCTAATTTTACCCCTATGTGCTTTTAACAGCTATATGATAGCTAATTATTTGACGACGCACTACGAATACGGAGATTTCGCTGTACACTTCGCAGGCGCTGCATGGAATCTTGAAACACATATCTTCAATAAGTATGGATGGGATCTCTTCAATCATTTTGCCGATCTTGCTAGTACTGATGGAGTTACTTTGAAGAAGTAGTTGGGTTGGAAAAATTTAGTAAGATTGTTTCAAATACCTTGGCGACCGTAGTCTCTTGCTTAGATGCATGGATTTGAAATTCTCTTCATATCTAAAAAAAAGGACAATGAAAAAAGGACAATGAAACAAAGCATTGAAATAAAAGAAGCGAGATGTTGAGAGCACGATTATTGCTCTATCTAGTAATTCGTGCTTAGATCATTTGCCAGTGGTATATGTTTTTATTTTCAATGAAATGAAAATTACTAACAAAATATCTTGTTCTTTCGAAAACAGTGATACATCTGTACGAGTTCATAAACTGACTGTATATTATTCATTCTAGTACTAATGAATAGGAATGTCAGACACACTCAGGCTTGTTTAGCCAATATTTTAGTATTCTCAACTACTGGCAGAATTTGAGATGTATTAAAAGTATTTTAGTTGTTCTATTTTCTTGTTCCTTTCTTTGACTTTTTACGATGTATCATCGCGCTGTATTGATATCTAAATATACATGGCCTTTCGCAAAGAGTGTATGATTCTTGCTTTGTTTCTTTGACTGCTATTTATTATTATTATGTTCTATTCTTAATAGTTAAATGAACTAGATACCAATATTGGTCTCTTTGTTCTCCATAACAGAATTGATATAAATTTTGTATCAAATCTAAAAGTGTCGTTGGTAAGGGACGATTTTCTGATACAGGATCGAAAGATTCGATGTGCAATATTGAGTCAGTATTCTAAAAGTTTCAATATGATTGATACATGCAAAACACTTGGTCCAACAATTTGATTATAGTCATCGCTCGATGACTTCATATGAGCTGCTGCATGTAAATTTATCTCATCAGAATACTTCTGTCTGATTCAAGTATACATATGAAAGCGTTACAATGAAAACCATGCATGAGATCAATGAGAAATTGATAACTGCCATCATCAATGTTGCGGTTGCTATTTAAAAAATAGAACTTTATCTAATAGAGTTTGATGCAAACATGGACATAGAATCAACACAATATTACCATGGCTAATTCTAGATGAATGAATTTTATGGATTCATGTCACCAGAAGATGACTTCCTCTGTTGAAAGATGAAGAAAATCGTTGTTTCTATAGTTTATCCAGTTCTTCACTTTTATTCTCTGGATAAAGATTGAAACTATAGCAATGGTTACTCAACATTCAAAAAAGATTGTAAATTCTGTTAGTATGTATACAGTTTGTTAGTTTTACTTGTCCCTACCTAGCTATACCCACGCCCTCAAGTTCTGAAATACAGTTTGCCAGTGAAACATACTGAAAATCGTGTAATATTGACAAATTTTACTTTAAAGGTTCTATCTAATTAGTTTTTCTGTGTACTATAGATATGATCCAAATCCGTGAAATCAGCATAGATGAATATTAAAAATAGAGGTATATTTAGAGGATAAAACGAAAAGAGATTAGTGATCAGTCCTCACAAATGGGTTGTATCCGAATCATTTGTTTCAATTTCGATATCGTCACTGAAACTATTTTCTGCCATTTTTCGAAGATGTTCTGCCTCGCCAGATCCTGTCTGCTCAACCAATGAAGTGAAGTGAGAGTAAGGATTGCGGATTAGATGATAAGGTCTGTCGAATTCCAATAATTTACCATTTTGAAGTACCTATAACGATAAACAGAAATAAACTGAGTATTTATTAAACCTTGATGTGAATTTTCAAATTTTGTAGAAATATCTCAATAAATAAATATCAACGAGAGAACAATTAGATTCTAACAGAAATAATTAAAGACTCATTTTACATCAGTAATGTACTTGTAGTGAAAAATCTTTTCATTTATTAATGAATAGCAGACTCGTATATAAATGCAGAATATAACGAAACTTTCATTTTACTACTATTTGAAATTCGTATAGGCTTGTGTTTGTCGAAACTATTTTTCTGGTAGAATACTATCCTTCATTTTCTAAAAGTGGGCATTGGTTTGAATCGATTATAGAATATCAGAAAATTTTTCTATCAAAAATCTATTGGTTCTTATCGAGATTTTGCAATATCATGTTTTTTTTACCATAACACGATCACTGTCGATTATAGTACGTAGACGATGTGCTACTGTGAGTACTGTACAATCTTTGAAGTTACTACGAATGGCCATTTGTATGAGCTTGTCTGTACTGTAGAGAAAAAAGATTTACTTGATAATATTATTTAAAGTGAATTAATAAACTTTGATTACTTACGCCATGTCAACATTAGCAGTGGCCTCATCAACAAGAAGTATTTTACTCTTTCGAAGTATTGCACGTGCCAAACACATCAATTGCTTTTGGCCAACGCTCAAATTAGATCCACTCTCGGTCATTATGGAATGAAGCCCGTCCTGTAAATTTTCCGCTACGAATTTTTTCAATTGTACCTATGAGAATGAAAGAAAAACTTTAGCACACATTGAGTCACTCTAGAGTCTAAGAAATATAACCTGTTCAAGCGCATCCCATATTTCAGTATCAGCGAATTCATCAAATTGATCGAGATTACTACGCATAGTACCAGTGAAGAGAAAAGGATTCTGTGGAATAATCGAAATTTGACGTCGCAAATCGTTCAAGCCAATAGTTGCTATATTGATATCATCAATTTTAATTTCGCCATCGAGCAACGTGTTCATACGAAAAAGTGTTTGAATAAGTGAACTTTTCCCAGCACCTGTTCTTCCAACAATGCCGATCTTTTCAGCAGCCTCAATGGTGAACGAAAGATGACTTAAAATAAGCGGTGCCTTTGTATCAAATGTTTGACTCATTGAAACATCATCAAACACGATGCGACCATGTCTTGGCCAATCTGACGGTGGACGCTGATCTACTGGCACCTCTGCAGGTGGTTCCTGTTCGAGATTACAATATTCGAGTACCCTTTCAACAGCTGTCATTTGAGTCTCCAAATTCACTGACTGCCTATTAAAAAGAAATATTTTCGTTAAAAGAAAACATTTCTTAAAAATTATTTGTAGAATTTTTACTTGATAGTCCATTGTAGAAGACTCATAAGATTAAGACTATATGAAAGTGTAAGGGCAATGTCTGCTGATGAAAAGCTATTCCGAGTCATGCGTAGAATCACAGCCAACATGGTGACTAATGCAATAAAACCGAGTGCAATCCAATCGAAACGAAAGGCAGACCAACGATTAACTGTAATAAGTAAATAGTTAGCACGGGTGTTAACATCGAGATGGTGGAAGAAGATTTCAGAGCTCAAGTATTCAGCATGATAGGATCGAATTATTTTTAGTCCTTTTGTTGTCGATACCAAATGAGAATAAACTGGACTACGTGTAACACCTTCAAGCCGCTTCAAATCCCGAGAACACTGAGCAAAACGATAGCGAACAAATAGTAAACAAGCTGCTGCGATTGCTGTTGGAATGAGAGACCACGGATTCAACCATCCGACAAGAGCTACGGTGCCCAATATTTGAAAAAAACCCTTCAAAACAAAGTTTAGAAGTACTCGAAGAGTTCAACTATGTTTAACAAACTATTTACTTGAAGGCAATCGAAAAAGTAAGATGGTAAAGAATCATCCATGATCATTACATCTTTCGTGAAACGATTGAAGATTCGACCTACAATTAATAGCATTTGATATTTTTATAGTTCTCTATTTCTGTTATGTATTTTCATGTTTTACATACCAAGGGGATTCATATCAAAAAAATTTATGGGACAACGAATGATTCTTTGCAACATTCTATACGTAGAAAACAAAAATTATTAAACACTAGTGAATACATATTGAAGATGAATACTTGTCGTGGAGTACTCTTCCAGCGTTTAAACACATAAATTTTGTAGCAACAACGCGTAATAACGTGATCAATGCCACAACGAATAGAATAGCTAGAAGTTTATTTCAAATAATGTTTATTAGAGAGTAATTAGTAGATAAATAGTAAACATACCACAATAGATAATGAATCGTTGATTTCGGTGTTTATTCCATTCGGCATCAGTCATATTCAAGATTTCATTATTCATCGCGTTCATCGTCGTACAGTTGTTGAAAGTATAATATCGATATGTTTCTTCATCACTCCATTTAGCTAGCCACCAATTACTGAAAATTGACACTCCTTGATGTGCTGAAAAAACTCCTATAGCAAGGAGAAAACCAAGGAAAAGTCCAATGCCTGCCCGCAAATAATCAGTATAAACAGTCCATTTAACACTGCCTTCTTTTATTAGTTCATCATTCTCCACTGGTGACAACATTTCTTCTTCATCTTTTTCCGAAGATTGTGTACCAAGCATGGATTGTCGTCTGCTTCGAGCAATAAATTCTTGTTGCTTTTCTTCCTGATTTTGATGTATATCATCGATTAAACGACTGAAAGATGTTGATGTGGCGAGTAGCTTGTTGTATGTGCCCATTTCTATCGTTTCACCCTATTATTCATATATATTAAATGGAAATCAGTATTAAAAATCAAAGACAACAATGACGTTCTAAGCCATGTTGGATCTTTACATACGTATTTAAGTACAATAATTTTGGTAGCCTCTTGTAAGAATTGAACTTGATGTGTGGCGAGAATACATATCTTATTGCGCAGGTAACCTTTGATAGTTCTATTTGAAAAATGAGTATAATCTTTGTATCCGAATCGTAAATAGCTTGTATATATACGTGTTTAGTTCCTTCATCAGTACATCACGTACTGCGTAAACAGTATGGTGCAAAGAGCTATACTTCGTAGCTGTAGTCCCTTGTACGACTGTTTTATATTTCGATTCATTGACGAAAGTGTAAATATTATGTTAAAAACGGCCAAAATAGTTTTTCATAAGAATTCTGAAAGTTTATTTGTAGAACTGTTAGCTGCAAACCTTTTTTATCGTTATTATTTTTCTATTTATTCATCGTACTCTTTAACTATCACTGTTTTTTTTATGAAATTCTGTTTACTAATCTGAATTAGGCTCATAATTGATCATCAGAAGGACTATTTTACAAGGAGAAATACAGAGAACTACTACTTTTTGAGTATGATACTAGCCAGTTATTTCGTCTTTTCTAAATAATGATCTTTCAATTCCGAATCACATTTTCAAGCAACGATGGATATAAATATACCGATTTTGGTTGACTTTTAGTAGTCACGATCGATTAAAATCTGCTGGGAGAAAAATCACATGATTTTCCTAATAAGAATAAAAGTAACTACTACTATCCACCGAAAGATAATATTAAAAAGTTGAATTGTATGAATTTCATTCTTTTTCTTTCTCGTAGAAAATCGTATCATCACTGAACATACTTTTCAAAAAGATGCTTGGATACTTGTGCGTCTAAAGCTGAAAGAGGATCATCCAACAAGTAGATATCAGCATCACGATAAAGTGCTCGTGCCAGATTTATCCGTGCCTTTTGTCCCTGTATAGATCAAGCATGTTGTATCATGATATTATCGAAATGATTCAGCTTACTCCAGATAAGGTGAATCCTTGGTCACCAACAATCGTATTTCGCCCATGCGGTAACTGGTTTAAATCCTATTGATACAATGAAAATATACTATTGAAAAATTATTAGGAACAATTAAAAATCTGCTGCGTACCGATTCCAGGGCAGCTGCATATACGACACGTTGGAATAGATGTCGATTGTATTCTTTGCCGAAAAGAATATTATTCAAGATACTTGAGGAGAAGATCCCTAGTACAAAATAAATATATTATCATTCGTATCTAGTATCAACTTCAAAACAAAAAAGATTTACATGGTTCTTGTGGTACGTAGCAAAATGAACCGTACAATCGAACTTTTCCATCGAAATAAGGAATTTCACCTGAGAGCGTTTGCAAAAATGAGCTCTTATAACAAAACAAACACACAAAACGCGTTGATATTTTCAGTGTACTTTTTACCTTTCCACTTCCAACTGCTCCAATCACACAGATTAAATCACCTGGTTTAGCATCAAATGCAATATTTCGTAGTTGAAAAAAATCATCCTGAACAAAATATGAAAATTTTGATTATGAAAAGTAAGAACTTCTGCAATATTAATTCGGACGATATCTTACTTTTTTCCATGTTGCACGTTTCAAATTACACTGCAGGCCCAGTCCTTTACTTGGAACTTTCGCTGGTTCTGGCAAAGCTTCTCCTTTTGTGCCATAGAGTTGAGTAAAGAGATCGGTAGCGCATATTGACATCAATCGATTGTCGCGTTCAGATTCACTGAGTAAAAGGAACGCCTATTTCAAAGGATTTTTCTTCAGAATGAAAATATATTAAAATATTGATAGACTGACTTGAATTCGTTTTTGTGCAGCCATATAAAATACAAAGTAGCGAATGGCATAATAGACGAATTCGATAATAGACAACCGCATGAAGCCAAGTAAACCAGCAGCTATGGCAAAAAACCGGGTGTTGAATCGAATGTTGAGCGACCACATTGCTGTGTACATAATGAAAAATGCCACGTCCGTATAAGTACTCGCGAAGAATGTTTGAATGCATTCAAGTACCAAAGAGAACGCATATTGAATGATTTCACGCCTATCAAAATTAAATCATCCTATATTAGTTTCAGTTATGTAGTAGAATAAAAAAAGAGAACGGATGTGCTATAAAGAATGAGGCCTTTGTATTCCAGAACTATTTCATGTTTGTTTCATTGTATTAAAGAAAATATTTTTTAGAAACAGATTTAGCCTAAAATCTTCTACAAAATGCTAGTATTTTTATTATCTTTAGTAATCCCCATAAATTTTTAACATGCAATGCAATTCACTAGTTCAAGATGTATACGAGTTTTTGACTGATTGATAGCCCCTATATTAGTCTATTAGTTTTCTATGTTTGTGATGAGTTCGTGAATGTTACTAACTGAAGTGAATTGACATGAAGAGAAAGAATTGTTTAAGAATTGAAACGAGCGTTAGTAAAAATTCGAGATCATCGTTATTATTGAAAATTGTGCATCCTAAATTAACCTATTATATTGCATATGGCAAAATAATGAACTAGTATGCGTGAAATATTGGCAAAATCCAGGGCTTGTGATTAACGATGCAAGTATTGTTGATGAACAGGAGCAGCTCACCTTCTAACTGAAAGAATTTTCTTTGCAAAGGCCGACTCCCAACAATACATCTTCACAATGCTCATTGATTGAATAGTCTCTGACATCATTTTGACGCGTTCATCAGTCACTTGCATAATTTTGCCCCTAAGGATTCAATCAATTAGAAATCAGTTAATGACATAATGTGTAAAATCTTAAAACAGACGTTTTACCTTAAATGTAGAAAGAAGCGTCCAAAACCAAGTTGAATAGATAATAACAGCAGTGTATAGCCAACCGCTATAAAGGCAATATACTTGACGAATTGCCAGAAAATGATAATCACAATTATTATTTCAAGAGGAGCAATCTCAAGAAAGAAAATATTTGAAATTTGTTTTTAATCAATAAATAAATAAATGATTCCTACCCACAAATTATTAATGAACTGTAGAACTAATTCGATTTGACTAGCATCATTTGACAATAAGTTAGTGATTTTACCAGGACTTATCTTATTCATGGAATCGCTTGATAGGCGTAGCAGCTAAAATAATCGATTAAAAATAACAGATAATCTCTCTAGAAACAATTGCATTCTCACTTTACGATAGATAAGACCACTGTAGGCAACTCGCATCTTTAGCCCAAAAATTTGCATCCAATAGAAGTACTAAATAATTCAATTTTTTTTCCGATAGAACCCATCATTTCAAATATGATCACTTACGGGATTGTAGATAAGACTGGTACAAAGAGACGCTAGAATGGTTGCAGCAGTGAGGAGCCATGCGCCCCAAATAGGCATCGTCGAACACGACTCAAAGAAATTCATTAAAAAGATAAGCACAATCGGTTGAGCGATTTTGGAAAGTTCCTAGAATATTTCTTATAAAATTAGATAGCAGTTAAGATTGTACTCACGATAGGAATGAGAAGAAGCCCAACTAAAAGTGGTTTCCATCCGACTGTACGTAATGTGGCACGAAGGAGACTCGGTTGTTTCTGTTTTTGTTTGTACCGGTTCAATTCGTCGAGCCAATTAGCTTCCATTTGATCAGTAAGTTTTGTTGATTCCATATGCGGTAATAGATCATACAGATCCGATAGATGAAGTGTTTGTTGTTGGTGACTTTTTGAGAGCAATTCTGAGAGCCAACTAGATTTGTGAAAAGTAGGGTAATAGTAAAGTTTATCTGAATACACAAGTTCTGTACCTGTGAAAGAAGCGTGATAATCGATTAGCACGTAGATACGGATTCGGATTTGAAAACATTGTTGTCATCTAAAAGTTGTTCCTTTCACTATGTAGTCTATTGAAATTTATACAATATCTAGTATATAAAAGTGATCGATCATTAAAAAAATAAGTAACTAGTAAATTTTAATATGCAAATTATTGAGAAGAGCTTGAATTAAGCATTAAAATATGCATTTTCACATTGTAATATTGTCTAGGCGAGAAAAGAATTCGAACTTCTAGGAAGGCAAAAAGGTCAAGGTGTGCCTACCAATATTGAATATCGGAAGAAGAAATACGATTGTGCAGATTTATATTTATATATATATATCAGCAATGCCAAAGATCGAAGAAACGTGCACTTTACGAAACGTCCCATAACTGTACGTAGGACCTTACATGCCTGATGAAATATCACATACTTATATATAAGTAACTGAAGGAGAGGCAAAACATGGATAAGCTACAAGTAGATCTTTCCTTTATCCAGCTTGTAACGTTATGGGTGGAGAGCGTCCAAATTCCATCCGGGGGTGTAATGCTCTCGTTCGAATGTAACCTACACATAATATTTGGTCTTGTGGTGCCTGTAACGGTATTTACCGTTACGGCTCACTTTATGTACTTTATCCTCTTCGCTGTATCCTATGTCTGTGCATTGACCTGATGAACTCTCATTATCCTATTGCATGACCGTTCCCTCTTTGTCTATATCCGCCCAAGCGTGATCACTCTCGCGTATATAAGGGAATGTAAGTAAAGGAAATGTACGACTAGATATGTGCAGATGACACAATACATCATCATGCCGATGGGCATAGGCGAAACTCTCTATGTTCGTCACAGTGCCATTTATTCTCATCACACCTATTGCCTTTATCTTTCAGTCATTTACATTTGTCGTTATCTATCCTTCTTCTTCGTTCTCTCAAATGGCTGAGTATTTAAGCGTGTGCTTTATATGTAATTGATGTGCTTTATGACTTGAAGAGTTAAATAAAGTGTAATACCATCAGCACAGACATCTCTTCTATCTAAAATCGTCACACAGCTGACTTTTCTGTTCTGTAAAGGACTTTTCCTTTCACTTCAACTAATTCATTCATTTACATATAGGAGATTTCCAAAGAAATACAAGTCAAAAGAATGAATGATATATATGTATATATATGATGAGCAAAAATGGACTTGTTCGCTTTGACGAACTTTTCATTTCGATGTTTTTTTCTCTGTACAGAATTTTATTCTTAGATGTGAAAAGAGCATACGTTTGAAAGAACTTGAGCTAACAGGGCAAATGTGTTACATATATATATATTTATATATATATATGTTGTAGGCGAAATTGAAATTCCAATTTTGACTGAGAAAATTTAGTATGCGTTTTATAAATCATAAAACTTGAAGATATTTCAACAAATAGAAAGCATGACTATCAAGCATGAGGGTGAGAGCGAGCGTGATACAACTACTTTGGTCAATTTTAGATGAGGTCTGAGCCAAGGTTGAAGAAAAAAAAGAAAGCTGTGTAAAAGAACAACCTCATTCAACTATTCACCCTCAGTCTCACTGAGACCCATATAACTAGTACCAAGATAGACTCACACACTCCTGTTCACCCTCATGGACGTTCGGGACAATTCTTTCTTCTATTTTTTGAAATATCTACAAGCTTTATGATTTATAAAAAACATATGTTAAATTTGCTTGGTCGAAATTTGAATTCCAATTTTGCGTAGAAAACCTTAGAATCTGCCGGGACTCCAATTTCGCCTATGACATATATATGTGATAGTAGTAGAGTTTAGAATCTAGTTGAGATTGCAATTGTTGGTTATTCTATAAATGTTGTGAGAAAGCGATTCATAGAAATAAATTTTTGTTAGTGGGTAATATTAGATAGTTTGATTGAGTATGTAGATTCAAAAAAAACGTTTCTGTTTCCAAAATTAATTGTGTCTATTTTTCTGATTGAAGAGAGAAAAACGACAAAGATTCTAAATAGATGTTTGTTTTAATGCTCGGGACATTGGGACATAGGGACATTGATTTTTTTCTTTCTATACTAGAAGAAAATAAAGATATTTTCGCTATCGTTATTCCGAAGTATGGATCTCGAGCGGCTGGGATTGGAATGGAACGAGTTTTTAACTCAAATGATATGGAAGGAAAGTAAATGCGTTTTTTTAAATTTTTAATGAAATTAATAAAGAGTTTCTTATATGAGTAGTCCATTTGATGTGTTATTATCTACAATCGTTCTTCGTTAAAAAAAAGAAATAAGTTAATATAAAAGAAACTTCATAATTTATGTGTAATCATTGTCTGTTTCATAGTGACGAAGATCGATTATTAAAATTCAAAAACAATAAACAAATAATAACAAAAAACTTAGATTTTAATAGATTCTACTAAATTTGAAAATGTAAAACTACGATAAATAAATATTAATATGATGATGTAACATAAATGTCATAATTAACGGAGTATTTTATTTCCTTTTCATATTAAAGTATCAGTTCAAAAAGATACATTAATTACAATATGACTCATACAAGCGATATGAGAGCGCATTGTGATAAATGAAAAATAAGAAATAATTTTTGTTTTTGTTTTGGTCATCGATTCCCAGGTCGAACATTCCGGTCCCGGAAACGACCGGTTCTATGGTATTCCAGAGATTTCATGGAAGCAGTATTCCGGTGAAAGGATCCGATGACCGGATTTATCCGGTTCCGCCGGAATCGACAGAAACCTATCAAAACTGGTAGTCGGATACGGTTTCCAGATTCCTGCATCGAATTCTGGACAATTCCCAGTGGGTTCCGGTCGGAAACAGCGAGCTTCTTGCAGGTTTTCGCCGGAAATTCACGGAATACTGCTTCAGGAATCATTGTCCTGGGTTTAAAAAAGAAATCTAAATTATGATCAATTAGAAAATGCTGTGCTAAATTTAACTCATAGACAAACTCTCCATATCGTTCATATAACTTTATTTGCATTTTTATTTTCGAAATTCTTTTTTCTTTCCTTTTCTTTTCTTCACTCTCTTTTGTGTCTGTTTTCTCTATCTTTAATTAAATCTATTATTCCAGTTTCAACTAAATTCTCATGTCAACTGCCACATATATGCATAGTCTCCCATATAAATATAAGTAAATTTAGACTTAAGAACAGTTCATATGAATGGTTCGGAGAGGAGAGAGCACGTCTCTCCATGTGACGGTGGGGCATCGATGTCTTGCTTGGACTGGGTGCCAATAAATAGAAATATTAGTTTTCGATTAAATAACAACGTGTTGTGAAATCTTCGGGGGAGTAACTCATCTTTTATTTCAGTGTCGAGAGCCGAGTTAGTCTCTGTGAACGAAGACACATCTATCTTCAGTTAGGTTTTACTTCGAAAAGCGAAATCGCTGCTGATGTCACTTAGTACCATCATACCTTTAGTATTTATACACCATTGAAAGCAACTCCTAGAGCAGAACTTATATATATATATAACTAAAACAAAAGCGTTAGCTAAGGATATGTTTACGATTGGCTTCGTTTTGTTTTGGCTGTTTATATTAGAACAGGAATTAGGCAGCTATTCGGATGAACTCACGAAAGTCGAAAATGTTTTACTATTTACTTTTACAGGTGTCAGCCGACCGGCTGAGCCGCCGTATCAGCCGATTTTTCTATAATATCAGCCACTCCAGCCACCAGATTACTGGTAATTTTAAGAATTTTTGGAGGTGCCGCTGCGAAAAAACAAGTTTAGCCGTTGCGCCGCTGGAAGAGATAAAAAATTTTGATAGTGTCATCCACCGCTGACATCAATACACATGCGATCGAATCGAACATTTTTCTTTTAATTTTCATCAGTGAATTTTAAACTCAACCGGCGCCACCGCTGTGGAAAAAGTTTTAAGAAATTGTAGCAGCCGCCGCTGAAGACATTACTCATTCAAATAACGAGCCGCTGGAAATCTTCAAAAATTGAAAATTGTTGCCCGCCGCCGCCGTTCAACCCTTCGACTGACATCTCTATTTACTTTACGTTTATCTTATAAAGATAAATTGGCGAAAATCATTATCCTTATTCTTTTAAAAAGAAATATTTTATTTATCTTTATTTTGTAAATATTGAATATTTATTTTTTTAAATATAAAAACTTTATTTATCGCTATAAAATAGAGATAAATTAGAGAAAATATTTATCCATATTGTTTTAAATACAAAGATATTATTAATCTTTATTTCATAAAAATAACGGCTGTATTTATATTCGTTTCATTTATCTTCTTATTCTCAACTACCGATATTTTATTTTCTATTTATTCCTTATTGTAAAAATATATAAAGATAAAGTAGCACCCAAATTCGAGAGTGAACCTTCTGTGCTAACGACTATCAAATTCTATTTGAACCCATATTTTCATTCAATGCATAAAACGTTTTTCTTTTTCGTCTTCAGCAAATGATTTTCGTATTCTTTTTTTTGCCACGTGTTTTTGCTTTCGTTTCTCCTGTGCTTCGAAACATATTCATGCTATTCAATTCTTTATCGATGAAATCCAGCAACTTTGTAACACAAACATTACATAAAAAATTCAAACAAGATTCTCTTTTACATATAAACAAATTCCATATCAGTCTCAACTCTATTCTTATTCTTTTCTATATAAATTCATGAATGAGCATCATATCTTGAATCTATTGTGAAAGACATAGACAAATGATCTCAATTTTCTGTCTACTGAAATCCTTTCATCATACAAAAAAAGATTTTAAAATACGTTCCCTCCGACACAATATTTCACAATATTCATTCGTTAACTCACCACTAATAGAAAAGTCCTGATGATTTACAAACATCTCGTGGTGAATATGAGAAGTCTGATGAAAGGTCCGCCGAAGAAAAAGAGAGACTCACTGTAAAAAAGAAAGGTACGCTTGAAATACTAGGAATAAGCCAACACAGACAGAGAAATGTTCTTCTAGACATAGAAACGCGCCGAATAAAAAACAAAAGGTCCAATGAAAGGTCCGGTAGCAT